TTTACAGTCGACTGAGCGCGTTCGGAGATGGAATATTTAACTTGACATGTCCTTGTCCAAGAGAACAAGACATACTTCTGCAAAATACTAGGTCCATTTTCTTCGTCTTGATTTGCAATTTTACAAATTGCTACGAAGAATAGATAAAAAATGAGCGCCTATGGTCAATATGTTAATTTTAAGCAAAAATTATAAGACTTGCCTGATGAAATTAACGACATTTTGAGGTACATGACAGCTGTATCTTCTTCATTTTTCAATGCATTAAAATGATGCACTTTTTTTTTTACAGATTTTATTTATTTTTGAACATTTATAAATTATTACTCCGTTATCGAAAATTAAATTAAAACTTTTTAAGTGTTGTCATTACCATCCCATTAGATAATTTAACTTATTGCAAACCTGTTACCAAAGTTCAAATTTGAGAATTAAAAAATGCCTGATATTCAACATAAAAGATAATTTAATTATAAAATGAGATAAAATATTTGGTCACGGTCGTTTTTGACATGGGAGTCACCGATTATGTCCTCGTTAGTGGGATCTTTGCAGGAAATTACAGATATATCTCTGATAAGAACACGACAATGTGTTGATAAGAATTTGAAGCAAGAAATTAAAGGGTCACAAAATGTCATCCTGCCTCAGAAAATTGCCTCCGTGTAATATTTATGTTGCACTGGCTGATAGCCATGGACATTATTCTGTTTCATTACATATTGGTCATGGACAATATACCAAGGGAGGTAACACACTTGTATTATCATGAAAGTTACAGTTGATAGATACGCTGGAGTTGTCTCTGATAAATAGGCTGTAAAAAATATTATCATTCTTCTAAATAATAAAAGATACTAGAAAACAGAAATGGGGAATTAAATGCTTAATAATATGAGAAGCTTATATATGAATATACCATTATATGGAACATTTCAGTTTTATATTAGACAAGGGATGTTTTGTTTTGAAATAGTGTAAGATAATCTAAGGAAATAGAAGTCCCTAAGATATGGGGTTCAGATACTTCACAAACTTGCCAACATCATATGCATTATAATATATTGCTATTATTTTGTTGTGTGTGTTTTTTGTTGGTTTTTTTTTAATTATTACTCATGTTACATATCTATTGTCTAGATTGCATTGCATATGTTATTTTTATTGTTTATAATCATATTGTTTATATGCTATATGCCCTCCTGGGGCCCTAATTTGGTGAAATAAAATAAAATATTCTATTCTATTCTATAATTTTAGCTTATTTTAAAGTAAAGCCCAACACCTTCCCATTTTCTAATCGATCGTTGTTAAAAAGATTCTTAATTTTAACCCCGAAGCTTATGAAAATACACGCAATCGAAATGTGTCGCAGAAACTTTTCAATTTTCTGGTACATTTCCAAGAAATTTTTATATTGATTCAAAAGACAAAAATTCAAATTTGGTTCGAAAATTGTGTTCGTTTATAAGCAGAAAACACTTATTAATTAGAACATGACTTTCGAATTTTACTTGATAATGTGTCAATGAATAAAAGGAGATGTGGGTAAACGCCAATGAGACAGCAACCCAACAAAACAATAACCAAAAAGGCATCTAGACGACAAGTCGACAAGTCAGTCTTCAACAATATATCCACGTGTCTGTACAATATCACTAGCTCTAAACCGTCCCAATCGGCAAAGATCTGGAATTCGCACATCCATGCGGTTTTGATATTAGATAACAGTTGCACTCATTAACACTGTGGGTTTTGCTAGTGAAGCAGGAACTGCTGACTCTTCTGCAGCACACGACTTCACTACCTCTTCGTTTTTTGGAGGGTTCGTGTTGCTCCGATTTTAGTTTTCTGTATGTTATTATTGTTCGTCTTTTCGGCATTTGTCGTTTTTGCCATTGTGTTGTCTACTTTAAATAGAAATTATGATTTCTATTGCCGACTTTTTATAAAAATAAGACGATGTGGTATGATTGCCAATGAGACAACTCTCCATCAGAGACCAAATGGTATAGAAGATAACAACTATATGTCACCGTACGGACTTCAACAATGAATAAAAAACTCACACCGCATATTCAGCTATAGGCCCCGAAATGACAAATGTAAAACAATTAAAACGAGAAAACTAGCGGCCAGATTTATGAACAAAACAATGAACGAAAACAGATATGATATACACCAACAAACGACAACCACTGAATTACAGGATCCTGAATTGGGACAGGCACTTATAGAATGTGGCGGGGTTAACATGATTACAGGCGCCAACCATCTCCTTAACCTTGGACAGTGGTGTAACAGTACAACAAAAGAAAAAACTATACAAATTAGTTGAAAAGTGCTCAGCTCATCAGATCGATAAAAAGCAGAAAAAAACATCTAAAAACGAACAGACCGGACGTGACAGGGTATTTATACATCCCTAAAAATAAAAAGACACAACGTACAGATCTGAGAGTACTCACAGTAACTAAGCATGTTTAATACTGCAACATTCTATATGTGCATTTTCAAAGTCATTACCCTGTAATTCGGTGGTTGTCGTTGGTTTCTGTCTGTTTTATCTGTTTTTCGATAACTGTTTCGTTTTCATACACGAGGCCGATGTGTTTTGTTTGAATTGTTTCGCATTTTAACATAGCTTTTATAGCTAGCTATATATACGATATGAATTTTGCTTTTTTGTTGAGGCTTTACCGGTGATCTATAACTGATTAATCCACGTCATTTGAACTGTTGGCTAGTTGTCTCATTGGCAATCATACCGCATCTCATTATTTTATATCAAACCCGAAGAAAATTATATATATAAATAAGATGTGGTACAACTCTCCACCAGAGACCAAATTACATAGAAGTTAACAACTACATGTCACCGTCAACAATGAGCAAACCCATATCGCATAGTCATCTATCAAAGGCCCGGAATGACAAATGTAAAACAATTCAAACGAGAAAACTAACGCCCAGATTTATGTACAAAATAATGAACGAAAAAGAAATATGATATACAGCAACAAACGACAACCACTAAATTACAGGCTCCTGAATTGGGGGCAGGCACATACAGAATGTGCCCCCCTAACCTGGGATATTGATGTAACGGTACAACATAAGAACCAACTATAAAAATCAGATCGAAACAAAGCAGAAATACATTTAACAAAAAACACAGACCGGACGTGGCAGGGTACTTATACATCCCAACTACAAAAAAGACACTAAGTACAGATGTGAGAGTTCTCGTTGTTACTGGCAGCTAGTTCAAAGCCAAAAACAACTAATAAAAAATCATCCGGCATCTAAGAATAAAATGTATTGATTTTGTATTTACATTGTATCATAGATCAAATTTATTCGCTCAGTGTATGTTCACCTTTGTTAATATATCTTTTGATTGAGTTAAGCCATTTCAATTGATATTTTATAGTGTGTCTTTCTATGTTGTGATGTTACACTATTGTTTCATATAAGAATGAAGGTTTGGTACCATTAAAACGTTTAAACCCACTGCAATTGTTTGCACCTGTCCTAAGTCAGGAATCTGATGTTCAGTAGTTGTCTTTTGTTGATGTGGTTCATAAGTGTTTCTCGTTTCTGGTTTTTATATAGATTAGACCGTTTGTTTTCCCGTTTGAATGGTTTTACACTAGTAATTTTTGGGACCCTTTATAGCTTGCTGTGCGGTGTGAGCCAAGGATCCGTGTTGAAGACCGTACTTTGACCTATAATGGTTTACTCTATAAATTGTGACTTCGATGGAGAGTTGTCTCATTGGCACTCATACCACATCTTCTTATATCTATGTATGATTTGGATTCTTTAAATGAATATGTGTTATTGTCTTCACTATGTTACAGTACTTAAATGAAGAAAAGTCAGTTTTAAATGTCCTGAAAGTATTATTCTATAACATTTTTTTTTCAACCTGGAAAAAATATTAACATTTTTGGACAATAAGAATGTAGTACTAAAAAAAAGTTTAATCTTTAATGAAAAAGACGACAATAAGTAAATGCTAATAATGAGACCCTCTCCCCATGAAAAAGAGAAAATAGTTAGTAATGACAGAAAAATTGATATTTACAAAAATGGGACGAAAAAGTGGTAAATTAACAAGGAATAGGTTTTTTTTTCAAGATTTATAACTCTCCCGAAAGGTTAAACCATTGACAGAGAAAGACTTGACTAAAAGAGGGGGCACAAAAGTATATTATATTTTAACAGAGACGTTTTACCCAATTAAAAGTGGATTAGAAATGTAAAATGCTGTATTTTGACCTTTAAGGTAGATGGGTGTCTAATTGTTCGACGATAGACATAGGGAATCACGGACCTTACTTTCTTGGAAAAAAAACACACACACACAAATTGTCCTATCAAATTCAATATAAAAGGAAGTTTTCTGAATTTTTTTAAAAACACTTAACGACACTTTAGTTTTTTATAGTTTAATCTTTAAATTTCAAATTTTAGATGTTTCTGTTGAACTGTTTCTGGGACATAATATATGACGTTAGTATAATCATAGATGTATAAACCCTGCTGTACTGTCAATACAGATCAACAATTAAGAGATGTAGCTAGATTTACTTGACTGGGGACAACACACATGGAACATCAAAGACAGTCAATTTGGTCATGGTTCTTTTTTAGCTAACAATAGAGAACAGTAGGGAGCTTCTGATGAGCTTCATCTATGGGTTTATACATCTATGGTATAATAGTCCCAGTGTATATTAAATTGTGCTTGGTAATTTAATATTTTCAAACCAAAAAAGTTATTTTATTTGGAACATGCCCAAATGAGATGCTCAGAAAAAGACACACCGATCATCGATCATCCAGTGTAATACTCCTTATTTGCTTGTTAAAAAAAGTTGGTAAAAAAGGATAGGCTAGAGTGATTAGACGGGACTTCGCAGTGGTTTTTTAATGAGGTACAAAGTCGGGATTGGTTGATAGTTTTTAGCTTCTCACGTAGGTTTCCGGTTCCGATGAACTGATGATGAAACGTTAAAAATGTAAACAACTCATATTTTCAGTGCTATCGAATCCTGAAGATAAAATGCCATCGAAAGCAGTATTATGCGAGTATAATAGGAGTTTGTGCTATTTATGAAATGGCCGACGACTCTCTCCTTCAGCGACAAGAAGAGGAATGGCAAGTTTTGCAAGCGGTTTACATGGACGATGTTGTCGATCTTAGAAAGAAGGTCGCATGGAAGGTATATTGTACACGACATGGGCAATACATGATAATGCATACAAGTATTTGTGTATTGCAATTTAAAGTAGTTTTACTTGCACACAAACCTCTCCTGTGTCTGTTTAGATCATATGTCGTAAGAGTAAAACCAAATAGATAAATGCATAGTTCAGAAATGCATAGCCTCACTGGACACAATTACGAACGATTTTTTAACTTTTATTCATTTATTTGTTTGTAGAATACTTTTCTTGAATTGTATGTACCATAGAATTTTAGATGTATGAAGGCTTTCCATTTTACATAATAACCTACATAATTTTCTATTCATGTCAGGATACTTTAGTAGATTTGGGTGACCTGGTTTTACGGGTCAAGGGAGCCAAATACTGTATGGACGCAATTTCAAACAGCACTATATTTAAATATCTGACGCAAGAAATCAATGAAAACAATCTAGATGGATAAAACATACATTAATCTCTTCTCAAACACTTTTCCAGAGGAAAATAAGAAGAATAAGTTCTAATCTATTTTACTTCAAATACTTAGCTGTGTTTGCAGACGAAATTTCTGCCATATGCAAGGAAGATATTTATCTTTCTATATATATTGACAAAAGAAGGCAATATGCATTTGCATGATTTTTTTTTTATATAATTACCAGACGAGAGTGTCGTTCTTTTGATGTTTTCAAAATGATTTTGTCGACATCTGCAACATTCACCAAGTGCGCATGAATTATCTAATAATGAATACAAGACATTTTAGTTGAATTTTTTTTATAGAAACATTTATTAATTATCATTCATAAATATGATTTCAGATGGCAAACATTTGAAATCGTTCGTTATTGTGTTCAGTCATAATTGCGTCTGATGAGGCTAGTTCAGTTACCAATAGGATGACCACCAACCGTAATAAGTAAATACAATGTGAAGGATGGAACATATTTCAAAAAGCAAGCAAAAATGTGCTCCATAATACACGAAGGTAGTCATACATGTAGCTGTTGGTTGGATACTGCTGCTAAAAATAAAACCCAATAGGATCAACACTCCTGACATGATTCAAGATGTCAGCATGTTCAAAATGTATGATATCAATTTCTGGCATTTGCTCCCCAATTTGTAGTTTCAGAATATAATGCATTTTGGTTGATATTTTCATATTTATAAATATACTAGCCTGAAATAAGAATAGATTTCCATTTTAGTCCATTCTCCAAGAAATTAGACACCTACAATGTAATAGTTTTTCAACATTTTTTCATGATGTGTGTTGCACCACCCCTTGCTCATTGAAATTTTGGTGGAAAAGTAAAGAATTTTTAGCAAAAATATCTGTGGACAAGAGGTGGCACCACTGTTAATCTTATTCTTATAGAAAACTGTCATAAATTTTACCATCTTATGCAAAAAAAATCATGATTTTGAAAAAAAAATCACCTACATGAACATTTACATGTATGACATCATAATGACACATTTGTTGAAAATCTCTCTTAACCGAAAAGATTGGACATTTTAAAATATGTTTTCATAAAATTTTCACAACATTATAGCTATATGAAACAAGTTACATGGAAATTACTGGTGTTTTAAGTCATTAAAATACTTGATTTGCAATCCTGTGATAATGATATATGACCTAAGGAATATACGAAGGGGTATTTTAGAGTGAATCACCAGATTCACTGTGAAAAATCACCATATAAAGAGTAAATTTTAACAGAAACACTGTTTACTGTAAGTTCTCTTTTGTTGTCCAGTAATGTATAAATATATTTATGTGTGTTTCTGTGTTTTTTTAGGTTGAGAGACCTCTACATATATGCTTGGTATTGAAACAGCAGCAGTCAGAAAGTGTAGCTGGGACGACTGACAGTGATAGCATGATTCATATGGTTATAAAATGTCCAAATAAATATCCTGATGAGTAAGTTAAGGAAAAGATTATTTCCAATAAAATATTGCTATTTATATTACTGTAATTTCAGAAGTCATTGTGTGCATTTATTCTGATAACAGTTATATGTATCAGATATCAGACTGCAAGATCTTTTTATTGCAGTTCTCACCCAGTTGCATTATTCACATTAATAAAAACCTTGCAATAATTTCTGAATTTACAGTATATAATTTAATGCAGATATGGCAGTCACAGCAATTAGACAGCAATGCAACAAAACAAACAAACAAATTTGCCCAGAAATTATTGAGTATTCAAAATCATGATATCAAAACAAGTATATGATATGAGTCAGTGGAACAGCAACCCAACAACAGAAATAAAGTAAACGAAGATATTAAGAGGCATAATACAGTCTTCAGTGAGCAAACAACTTCAACAACATTCAGTTATAAATTTGATTAAGACGATTAAATGATAAAGATTTAATACAGCAGTTTAAGACAAAACTATAGTTCTACAATTTTTACATTTTATGGATATTTGTGAAATATTGCTTGATAAATAACATATCTTTAAAGATTTAATACTGTTAAAGATGTTTCTTTTTAAAGGGTACCAGAAATAAGACTAGAAAATGCCAAAGGACTGTCTAATGAACAAATTGCTGTGTTGAATACAGAACTAGTAGAACGATCCAAATCAATGGTTGGAGAGGTAATTTATGTGCAAAGTAGAAAAACCTACAATTTTGTACAATAGCCTAGTCATGTGAAAGTAAAATTTTTTGTTTAGATTCAATAGATTGACATTTTTAAACTGAAGAGGTAGAATATATTTTTTTATTTTATACAATACCCAAACATACACATCACATGCAATCTAACATACATCCTGATAAATAATTGAGAACAAATATAGAAATATAGGGGAGGAGATTACCAGTACAAAGAGGGATAACTCTGTTTGTTCACTTTAACTTTTATCTCTTTTTCTCCTGTCTCATCTGGAAAATTTTATTTAGATACAGACTTAATAGTGTACTAAAATCTAAATCTTCATTTATCATGATCCAGATAAAAAGATTTTCTAAATAAATGTTTGCCAGGTTTGGAAAATATGGACATTGATTTTTCTTAGAATTCTAATCTTAGTGAATTATAAAGAGGGCACTCTTGAAAAAAATGTACTTTTTCTATTAAGTTAAGTAAATAGTGGCGACAGAGCCAATCACATCTGGGTAGGAGCTTAAAATTTTCCTGAATTGGTATTTAGAATTCATCAATGTCTCCCAGTTTCTATTCTCAAACTGTGGTTAATCCGCCTAAATTTAGATGAAGTTATTCGGACATTTGAAAGGCAATAAGCAAAAAAAGAGGAAATAAAAGAACCATTTGAAACAAATAGATGACTAGACAAATAATGGTTCAGGAAATATCGCACTTAAAAATTGGGTTTCCATTTTAAAACCTGCACAGAAATGAAAACTAGGGTAAAAGAGTAGCTTTATGAGATTGTTCATAATTTATAAACCAATTCTGGTGGTAAGTTGCATCAAGTAATACATTTTATTTATTGGCAGGGAGGATAAGATTGTGGTAAAAAAAAAGACTGAAAAGAATCATTGATTGTCATTCAAAGTTCGACAATTGTGCATACAAATTAATAAGAAAAAATTTCACTGAACATTTAAAATCTCTGTACCCACTTAATCAACGAAAGAGATTGATTGATTGATTGTTGGTTGCTTAACGTCCAGTGGCAAATATTTCATGCATAATCAGGACGAGAACAAATTAACAATAAATACAATAGGTAGGTTCTGTAAAGGGGGCGTCCAGGATTAAGGTCGGAGAAATTTAGACTGCCACGGGAAATGAGGGTATATTGGATAGGGGCAGAAATTTAGCCTGGCAACAGGTCACCTACGGACCCCCAAAGAGTTGTTCAAGGGTTCTTAACGTGCAAAGAGCGTGGCACTCTCTCTACACGAGACATCGGATTTAACATCCCCATTCTGATCGGACGTGACTGCAAATTTGTACATCCCTCACAGCCAAACGAAAGCCCCACTTTAGCAAGGGTTTTACTGCCGGTCGGAGGAAGACCAATGGTGACCATACTTCTATTCCCCAGTCACCCTTGGGGGGCCAATGAAAGAGAAAAACCCAGACAGTATAGTTGGCTATAAAATGCCCACCATGAAAATTGTGAAACAATTCAATTGAGAAAACTAATGGCCTAATTCAAAACAAAACCATTTAAGGAAAAAAAGTATGACAGACTTGAACCAACACCAACCACTGAACTACAGGCTCCTGACTTGGGACAGGCACATAAAGAATTTGATGAAGTTAAATATGTTTGTGAGCGCTCAACCCTCCCCTAGCCTGAGATAGTGGTGTACAGCACAACATAAGAACAAACTGTAAATTTCAGTTGCAATGGGCTTAACACAAAAGATTGGTAAGAGGCAAGAAAAGAACTCACATTAAAACAATAGACACAAAGCAAATAAATATGAGAATTTCGCAGTTACTGCAAGCTATTTGAAAGCCAAATACAACTAATAAATAAATCATGTTCTCCCAGACTAAAGTATCAATCATTGCACATCCAACAGGATTTAGTGTAAAGACGTCATAAACAGTCTGAGAAACACATGACCTTATGCAATGCTAAAATTTAAGTAAACTATCGACAGGATGTAGGATCATTAGTTCTCATAACTGTACATATATAACGATATATATTTAGTTATATTTTATTTTTTTCAAAAATGAAATCAGTTTTAATACCAATAATACCAATAAAACAATATTTAAAGTCTTTACTAGTGGTAAATTGATATCCTTTAAAAATAAGTTTATTCAAAGGATCAATTAGTTTACATTGCTCATATCTAAATTGATCGAACCTGTTTTCGAGGTTTATAATTGCATTTTTCCTGTCCCTTATCTTTTTTAATTTTCAAATTCACTCAAGGGGGATATTTTCATGATTTTATTTTAATAGCGAAATTAAATCCCATATGAAAATATACCACTTTTTTACAGTACATGATATATGATTCTTTATTGTGTTTTTTCATATTCATATTCCTTGACAGAATTAATTCTCATTCCATGTTAGCCTTTTTATATATAATAGATTAACCACATGGAAATATTGTAAATTTTCATTTAAACTTTTTACCATCAGTATAAAAAATGATAATGTGACAAACAAGCTCAAAACATCTCTTTACTTCAAATACAAATGTTTAAAATGTTGTTTCAGAATTTCCTTTTTATACCCTTTTCAGGTTATGGTACTAGAGCTAGCTCAGCATGTACAGACATTTCTGCGTGATAATTACAAAGGTCCACAGAAATCTTTTTATGAAGAAATGTTGAGTAACCAATTGAAACAACAAGAAAAACAAAAATTAGAACAACAGAAAAGACTTGATTTTCTAAAAAGAAAAGAAGAAAAAGAGGTAGAGGTTTTTGTTTGATTATTACAGTGATTTGCCCTTGACCTTTGACCTTACACCATATAATTCAAAACTATGGAGTTATGCTCTTCTCAAATGAATTAGAAATAACAAAAAATGTCTGGACAGATTGTGTGGACAGATAGTGTTTCCACAGTATTTTCAAATAGCACTATGGGATCATGGAAATCTTAGCCAAAACTTTATAATACGTTAAATTTATCCAGATTACACCATGGTGCCATTTTAAAGATTCAATTTTAAATCTTTCTTGTCATATAAACTAAATAAGTTTGTGACTAATTCAAAAACACTAAATATATTTTATGACACACAGTAAATAAATCAATTAAGAAATCAGGCATAAGTGTCATCCATTTCAATGGGTCTTTAAAAATAAAAATCAGTATAAAATTGTTGTATTTCAATGAAATAAATATTTCTTAATTCTTCATTAATTTTGCAATCTAATGAAAAGTTTTGTTTTGCCTGCTTACAAATTACAATTTTGTATTTACTTTATCAGGTGTGGAAAAAAAATTCAAGGGGAATAACTCTAGCATAAAACTACAATATTTGCATTAGTTAATTCTTTTGTCCACTGATTGCTGACAACCTAGAAAAGTTTTCTAAATGAATTTATTCATAATTTATTACCCAAGCTGTCAACAAAATACTTAATAATGTAGATTAAAAACCCTTTTTATGCCCCCGCCGTAGCGGAGGGAGCATTAAGTTTTACCCTTGTCTGTGTGTCCGTCCGTCCGTACGTCCAAAAGTTTGTTTCCTTTCTCTAACTTTAGTTTGCCTCAACCAAATGTTATGAAACTTATACACAATGCTTATTACCACAAAATACAGACCAAGTGTGAATTATGGTGGTGTCACTTTAACCGTTCTAGAGTTATGCCCCTTTACAAAGGGAAAAATTGTTGATTTTTTTGTTTCCGTTCTCTAACTTTAGTTTGCCTCAACCATATGCTATGAAACTTATACACAATGCTTATTACCACAAAATACAGATCAAGTTTGAATTATGGTGGTGTCACTTTAACCGTTCTAGAGTTATGCCTTTTACAAATGGAAAAATTGCTGAATTTTTTGTTTCCGTTCTCTAACTTTAGTTTGCCTCAACAAATGCTTTGAAACTTATACACAATGCTTATTAACACAAAATACAGATCAAGTTTGAATTATGGTGGTGTCACTTTAACCGTTCTAGAGTTATGCCCCTTTACAAATGGAAAATTGCTGAATTTTTTGTTTCCGTTCTCTAACTTTAGTTTGCCACAACCAAATGCTATGAAACTTATACACAATACTTATTACCACAAAACTCAGATCAAGTTCAAATTTGGGTAGGGTCACTTTTACCGTTCTTCATTTGCATTTTGAATTCTGCAATTCATCTTAAACAACTGAGTATTTCATTATGACATTAAGAAATAAAACAAGTTAACAACATTTTGCACCTCTTATAATTGTTGTTTGGATTTATTTTGGGGTAGGCTTTTTATATCTGTTACTACTTCAAAATAAATAGCTAGATTTTCAGATGTAGTAGTGGAAGAGATTTGGGGTTGGGGGTAGCAATTTGTGAGATTTGTTCACTGTTTTTTCTAGTTTATATATAAGAACATTAACAAATAGAAATAAGGGATCTCTAAGGTCATTTAGACCACATAACAAAATGAACACTTGACTGGATAAAAAATTGAGTATGGTGCTCACATTATTAACAAACAATCAATAATTTTCTATGTTAAAAAAAAACCTGTTCAGACATGACTCAAATGTTTTCCCCTTAAAAGGTTTTGAAAAAGATTTGATATTCTTTTACTTGAAGTAAATGCGAATATAAAAATTATTTTCATTATATTCCAGTATATTCTGTTTATCATGAGAAAAATACTTTCCTGAAGTGTTAGAGCAATAAAATGTTATTTTCAAATTTGTAAAAGATTTTGTAACTTTTAAGACTAGTAACTAAGAAGACTTAGAAACAAAGATAAAGTAACATTTTGTATGGGAATACAACTGTCAATCCATATGATCATTGCAAAATAATTTGTAAAATACTGTGAGCTCTCCATTTATAACAATTCATATGTCTCAATGATGTGTAATATATTTATTGAAAGTAAAATAATGATACTGTATAAAAATACGGAGATGTGGTATAATTGCCAATGAGATAACTATCCAACAGAGTTCAAATGAAGTGGATGTAAGCCATTATAGGCAACCGTAAGACCTTCAACAATGAGAAAAATCATATTGTACAGTCGGCTATAAAAGGCTTGGACATGAAAAATATGAAACAATTCAATTGAGAAAACTAACAGCCTAACTTATAAGAAAACAGTTTACGAAAAAAAAAGACAGACATGAACCAACAACAACGACTGAAATACAGGCTGCTGACCTGGGACAGGTGCATAAAGAACATGGCCGGGTAAGAAATGTTTGAATGCGCCAACACCCATGTTCAGTTTTTCCTTTAAATTGAATTTAAATTCACAGATATGAATTTTATACATTCCCTTGCAAATCCTGTTGTTTTGTTTGTTTCAGAGACAGCTTCTTGAAGATGAAATACAGAAGAGACAGCATGCTCTGAAAGAAGAAACAAAGAAAATAAAGGAAACTAAACAGGTAGAATTCAAATATTTATACTTTTTGACTCCCCTATGATAGAAGGGGGCATTGTTTTCTGGTTTGTGAATCGATCTGTCCATCCCATATCAGGTTAAAGTATTAGTTTAAGATAGGTTACCATTTTGGTGGTTTAAGGTACATTACCATGAAGTTATGCTCACATAAACTCTAAACTTTGTCCACATGTTCATTATGATATGAACTTTTTAAAATATATGCCAAAGTAAAGTTTTGACCCAGATATCATAGTGAACTAAACTCTGAAATTTAATAGTGCAAGCAGGGCATGATATCCTATAAGCATATGTTTGTTTATGTCTGCATACTATAATAGAAAAACAAAGGATATGGGGTATCCATCCATGACACAAAATCAGTATATGCACAGCAAAAAACACACAAAAAGCAAAGGAACAGCGCTTGATTGTTGTTTTTCATCTCATGTTCTTATGTTTGTCTTTTGCTATATTTTTTATTACAATGTTTCTAGTTTTCAATCTTCCAACATTATTGAGATTGTCTTGTAAGGATGATATTTTATAAAATTGTTGATGATGGGGGTATTAACAACCTTGACTGGCTATAAAGGTCTCGCACGGTCGGTATTTATAAAATTATAAATTGCCTGCTATAGATTTTATCAAGAGCAGATAACTTATGTAAAACATATGATTTCCATTGGAGTAGGTTTTGTTTTTATTGCATCATTTAATTGTATAAATTTACCTAATTCTTTGTTAATATCCACCATATTTTTCTAAATATAGGTGAAATTAAAAAACCCTGAGATTAAGTAACATACAAAACACACATTTTCTCCGTTCTCCGGAAATTGGAATCCACTAAAATAAATGATTCCACAGTATATTAATATTATGCCAATAATTTCTGTTGTTAGATATCTGATGAGAAACCAACAGAACAAGAGAAAACTGTACCAGCTACTCCTATTACTGAAGTACCAACATGTTCCCCAATTGGTACCCCAAGTACTCCTAGAAGACCAAGAATGTCACATTCACCCTCACCATTAATTGTGCTTCCAAGTAATGAGAATAAATATAACCAGGATAAGAGAAGAAGGTATGTAGTTGTTATGTTTTTATTTTATGCCCACTTAAAAAAAAAGCAATCAAATTGAAATTTGGTTAAGAAATTATGGTTAAATTTAAGTTGTTAAAAACAAAAGTTTAAGTAGATTTATGTCAATCAACATGGAAAACTACACTTACCTTAACATACATATACTTGTACCTAAATTGTCATGTTTCTCAAATTTTCATTTGGTAGATCAAATATACTTCATGGATGCAGAATCAAGAAAATAGTCATATTATTTTATTATGACAAAGAAAACATAGCTACATTGCACATATTTGTTATTTGATTAGAGTAAATGATTAAAAGTTATTTCATATAACTGCTCATTGTTTTCTTTGAATAAGTACTAACTGAAAGTTTACTAACAAAGGGAAAACTGATAATTCTGTTATCATTAATTGCCTTGCAAGTGAATTTCCAATTTGTTCAGTGTGCGATGGAAACATTTTGTAAGGACATTTTCTGAAACTACACATGGATGATTTGCAAATACACATTTAAATATAAATGAAAAATACCAATCTTGGTCATATTTTCACATTACCCGGTATGTATAATAGAAGAAAAATGTTATATTTAAGAATTTTTCCACCAGAATTTAACTACTTTCGTATTTTTGTGGTAATGACTTTTCAACAAAAGCATTTATCTGTTTCATCTGTGAATATCCAATATTGGATAAATACGTAAACACTAGTTTTTGTCTCGCCTTGACAGAGTCAAATAGCGAGACGTAGGTATGCTGTTTCCAGCGTTGGTGGCGGCGGTGTCAACAATGTATTAGTTTGTGATTAGGTCTAGTTTATGGTGAACCACAAGTGGTAGGTCAATGATATTTGTAATGCAGTTGTATTAGCATTGGCATATCTCGTTTCCATGGAGATTAATTAACCCTGCCCCTTCAGTCATGGTCTATTGACTTTGAAACTTTTGCTTAGTTTACATGTATTAGTTTGTGATTAGGTCAGTTTATGGGAACCACTAGTGGTAGGTCAATGATATTTTGTATGCAGTTGTATAAGCATTGGCATATCTCATTTCCATGGAGAATATTTGGCTCCGCCCCCTTAGTCATGGTCTATTGACTTTGAAACTTTTGCTTAGTTTACATGTATTAGTTTGTGATTAGGTCAGTTTATGGGAACCACTAGTGGTAGGTCAATGATATTTGGTATGCAGTTGTATAAGCATTGACATATCTCATTTCCATGGAGAATATTTGGCTCCGCCCCCTTAGTCATGGTCTATTGACTCTGAAAATTTTGCTTAGTTTATATTTATTAGTTTGTGATTAGGTCAGTTCAAGGGGAACCATTAGTGGTAGGCCAATGTTAATTGGTATTCAGTTTAAGATGAACTGCTAATGTTACGTCAATGATATTTGATATGCAAATTTATTGGCATTTGCAAGTATTGTTGTATGGAGATTATATAGCCCCACCCCCTCATCATGGTTCATTGCATTGACTTTGAAACTTTTACATAGTTTACAAGTTAATGTTTGTGTTTAGGTTTGTTTTCGGACAAAAACTCAAAAATGCTTTTAGTAGTTCTTATGAAACTTTGGTGAATTGTTTATATCTATTGATGTAAGCTCCCTTTAGAATTTTATAAACTTTACATTTTACATTTCTGAGTTATGGGGTTTTATTCATTAAAAACTTGGGGATTTTCCAGTTTTCGGACAATAACTCAAAAATGCTGTCAGCAATTCTCATGAAACTTTGGTGAATTGTTTATATCTATTTATGTAAGCTCCCTTTTGATTTTCATAAATTTCTAATATGATATTGAGAATTAATTGAACTTTATTTGTTTATAGTCTGACAACAGATTTACTAAGTATTGCGCAACAGCACAGTGTATTGCACAACAGCAAGAAATCTTTAATTGAATATAAATTCATTTCATATAACCAATCTCAAGTTCTTTGACTACATTTATTCAGAAACCTGTAATATGTCAAATTTTTAATTACAATCCAAATTCAGACCTGTATCAAGCTTGAATATTGTGTCCTTTTTTGCCCCAACTGTTCAGGGTTGGACCTCTGCGGTCGTATCCAGCTGCGCTCAGCAAAGAAGTTTGTTACTGTTTAGGAGTAATGGTTCTTGATAGATTGGAAAATGGCACTTTATGTCGTTTCAGTGCAATAACTTATGAATTTTTCAGTCAAAACTTTTTTTTTAATATGTTGTTACTGATGACAAAATGGAGGTCAAGTTTGATATTTAACTTAATTATTTGTTTGAATGACTTATATCCCATTAAGTTTGCTAGTGACAATAGTTTCTAGTGAAAAAAGTGGCAAATTCTGAATTTTTTTCTCCTTTACATATTTAATTTTTGTATTTTCAGGAGAACCAGTACCCCATTGAGAGATATGGATGATTCTGACCACCAATGTAAAGATCATACTGGAGGGATAGTGGTTATAGCCTTCAATACTAAATCAGAGAGAACAATACATAGAGGCACATGTTTAGGTAATGTTTTATAACATGGCGAACGTAGATACAAGTATCTTGTCTTGGGGAGGGATAAATCCTACTTTGTAAAGAATCACTCTGATTCAAACAAAATATTCTCTGAAACTGACATTATCAAGATGCTTGATTTCTTGATTGACAACATATTTGTTACGTTTGGAGGACGTGTTTTTCAACAGACTGTCGGAATTCCAATGGGAACCAATTGTGCCCCTCTTCTTGCCGACTTGTTTCTTTATTATTATGAGGCTGACTTCATACAGGAGCTTCTTAGGAAGAGAGATAAGAAGTTAGCAATATCCTTTAACTCTACGTTCCGCTATATAGATGATGTTCTCTCACTAAATAATACAAAATTTGGTGACTATGTTGAACGAATCTATCCCATCGAACTAGAGATAAAGGATACTACAGATACAGTTAAGTCTGCCTCATATCTTGACTTACATCTAGAAATTGACAATGAGGGTCGATTGAAAACAAAACTTTACGACAAAAGAGATGATTTCAGCTTCCCAATTGTGAACTTTCCATTTCTATGTAGCAACATTCCAGCAGCGCCTGCATACGGAGTATATATTTCCCAATTGATACGATATTCCCGGGCTTGTGTTTCCTATCATGATTTCCTTGATAGAGGATTGCTGCTCACAAGGAAGCTATTAAACCAAGAGTTCCAAATGGTGAAGTTGAAGTCATCCCTTCGTAAATTTTACGGACGCCATCACGAGTTGGTTGACCGTTATGGAATAACCGTTTCACAAATGATATCAGATATGTTCCTTATGTCGTAACTACAATACCCTTCCCTTTTCACGAATGTGACTTACCGAATTAGACTATTTACCGGATTTGTAATAACATAAGCAACTCGACGGGTGCCACATGTGGAGCAGGATCTGCTTACCCTTCCAGAGCACCTGAGATCACCCCCAGTTTTTGGTGGGGTTCGTGTTGCTTAGTCTTTAGTTTTCTATGTTGTGTCATCTGTACTATTATTTGTCTGATTGTCTTTTTATTTTTGGCCATGATGTTGTCAGTTTGTTTTCGATCTATGAGTTTGACTGTCCCTCTGGTATCTTTCGTCCCTCTTTTTGGTACTGTTTTATAACATGTTTAGGTACTGTTTTATAACACATGTTTAGGTACTGTTTTATAACACATGTTTAGGTAGTGTTTTATAACACATGTTTAGGTAATGTTTTATGACATGTTTAGGTAGTATTTTATAATACATGTTTAGGTAGTGTTTTATAACACATGTTTAGGTAATGTTTAATGACATGTTTAGGCAGTGTTTTATAACACATGTTTAGGTAGTGTTACTATGAGGAAAATTTGGGTGTGTAAAGTTATTCTACAAACTTTGATAGAATAGTACATTCACTTTGTCCATCTAATTGTTACGAAGTGTGAAATGAAAAGTTTTTACTAAGCCTCTGTATTGAGAATGGATTTAATATTTTGTCTGTAGCCTAATACGCTTTGGATGCATGAAATTTATAACGTGTTGTTTTCATTTTTTACAGCACTGGGTTGATACCTCTGCTTGTGGACTATAAGACCTCGAGGGTATTATCAGCTCAGTAGTCAGTACTTTGGTACTGATGATTTATAACAAACATTTCTAAAAATAGGTTTCAACTCCCACAGGCAAAGTTGACCGTAGATGGATTTGGCTATTTCTTTAGATCCTTTTTGGTTATATCACTCTTCAACTGCTTAGGTTCTTATACATTCTTGGCTTTCAAATATTCAGCTTTGAGCTACCTGATGAAAAGAAATCCAGAAAAGCACTTCGGATGCATGAAATTTATAAGGTGTTGTTTTCAGTTTCTAATAATGTTGAGAATGTAAGTTTTTCATGATTGCTTTTTGACAGTGGAACTGCTCATGTCAACTGCTAAAATACTCCCAATGGAACCTACTTGTTTTATGCAAAAAAGACTTTTAGCACTATATTGGGAGCATGCTCAGTTAGACCTATGCAGAGTAAATGCACAATTTTACATAAACAAATGTACAGAATTTTTCATTGAAATTTTCATGGGAAAATATAGCATTTTTTTTTCTCAGAAGTATGATTGGACATTTATGCTTTGAAATTTATCAGGAAAGGGTCTGTTTATCAGTGTGCAGAATTTGGTGCCTAACGGAAGACTTAAAAATTGGTTTCGCTGTTTCTATGCCAAGCACAGGGCAGTAAGTAGTAAAAGAAAAGACTGTATTGAAATTGCAACATTTTGTTTAGGAGTGACAACGTCTTCCTATGGACTGTTATCCTGTAAACTAGCAATGTAACAGTCTTGTAGGGAACAGGTTTCATACTCATATCTCAATAACACGTCCTTGTCCTGCATATGCATTTAAATTGTTTTTTATGTTTAATCTCCATTTATCCATCTACGGTTATTTAGACTTGATGATTGGATTGACATGGCTTCTTGAGAGTTAGTACCTTTATGCAAATGAATTTTAAGTGAATAAATATTTTTCAGGTCATAGTGTCCATGGTAGTACAGTGTATGCTGGGATAGATACAGCCAGTGGAGAATTAGTAGCCATATCAGAATGGGTTTTAAAGTGGCGGCATATAAAACAAAAGAGAACTCAAAGAGTTGATTATGAAGATAAAGAGGGTGCTTCTTACTTAAAACAGGTATATGAATAAAAATGAGCTCAAATAAATAATTGGTAGAGTGAGGCGTATATATTCACCGGGGACACAATTTCGCCGTTTTATGATTTTGAGGTGTAGAAACTTCAAAGGATTGCTGAAATGGAAGAAATATGCCGGTAAATTATATGTTTATAACAAATATGATTATTTTTTAAACTTAGAAAAAATTTCGGCACTTACCGCTAAGGACAGAAAAACGGACAACGATTTTCGGCCAATTTCCTGAATGAAAAAAAGATTTCAAAGAAGTATTTCTTATTAATTCTTTGACTGATTGCCCTAAATTTCAGTTTTTTACACATTTGAAATGTCTGCTATTCACCTATAAAGAAATTGATTTGATAAATATTGTTTAAAGCTGCATTTATTTGGTTTTAAATAGATGTGTAAAAACGGCGAATATGTGTCCCCCTATGACAAAACATCAGGAAATTTCAAATAGCCTTTAATCTAACTTTTCAGATGATTTTTTTCAGAGAAACACGTTTGGTTTCAAGCTAAGAATATTTTGCTTTTGATGTTATCTTCATATAGAAATATCAGTATACTTCAAAAACTTAAAGGTCTGAACATAAACTGCAAAAAACATGGAAAATTATGGCGAAAATGAGCACCCCACTCTAAATGTCATTGAGAGATAAACCTAAAAATGGAAAAATGTTGAGAGGTTAATAAAAAATTTAATTTGAATTTCATGTAACATTGTTCTACTTCATTGTTATAATTTTTCATTAATAAATACTGTTTAAACTAAATTTTCATAAAAAGGTAAAAAGTCATGTATGTGATGTTCAATTTTAAGTTTTGCTGAGTTGTCCCAAAAGTGATAATAATTTGGTACAATATTCTATATTTTGAATTTATTGCTTTTATTATTCCAGATTTCCAGCATTGAACAAGAAATACTCATATACATATATATATATGCCATTTGTGTCCAAATTGCATTTAAAAGTCTGAGTTATTTTCCATTTGAATATGAATTTTTGAGTTTCAACATTTTTAATGAATTTGCCAGTTACTTTCTAGTCAAGACTTTCCAAACTCTTCAGCAGTTTCCTGCAAAATAAAAATAAAAAACCAAGAGCCCAAGATTCTAAAGAAAATTGATGTGAAATGAAATCTTCATTGCACAAAATGGTTACTATAGTTAGTAAATAAAGGCAACAGGAAGTGTTCTAGCTGCAGTATATTTTTTTTATCAGACATATTTTCTTATTTATTTCAAATAGCGGTATTTTATTGAATGAATTCATAAATAAAAAAGATTATAACTAAAGAGTCTTTAAAAAAATCATAGGAGAGACAAAACCACGGTCAAAAGAATAAAGACAAATAAATTAATTGAATTCTTTGTTTACTTGGATATACTGAATCTAACTGTGTATTCAGATTTTGGATATTGGACTATAATAGGTAAAAGTCCAATTTAAAATTTTTCAGTTCTTTGACCACATTCATTCTGTGTCAGAAAACCTATGCTGTGTCAAATATTTAATCACAATCAGAATTCAGAGCTGTATCAAGCTTGAATGTAGTGTCCGTACTTGCCTCAACTGTTCAGAGGTGGACCTCTGCGGTCGTATCAAGCTGCATCCTGCGGAGCATTTTATTTCAACTAAGACACTACCAGTACACAGAAAACTTAAGATTAAGAGAGGCCAATCCCACTCAGACCCGGCAGGGTGAACTCTGGTGTTCTAGAAGGAAAGCAGTTTCTAGTTTCTTTAGTTAAACCTGAAGAGGTGTAGGAACTATATATATTTTTTTTATGTATATAGCGTTTATTATAATGAGAATACATCTTTTTGCTCTTTGTTCACTATTACTGGACATCTCAGATGTTCCTGTAAAATTGTGACGTCATTAGAGAAAATGTCTGATTCCCAAAAGCCTAAAAGTAATTGTTTTGTTATGTCAAAATTTCAAATGATCTAATAGGGATAATAGTATGGTAAAAAAAAATATATTTTGAATTAACACCATAGGTTTTATTATTTCAGATTACCAGTATTGAGCAAGAAATACACAGCTTGATACGATTACGAAATAAAAATTTAATTCACTACTTAGCAATAAAGTATATACAGGAAGCTGGGAAATGTACAGTTTATGTAAGTAAACTTTTGAAGTATAAGTTATCCATAATGTCAAGAACTGATGAAAACCATGTTTTAGCAATTTTAGAAATGTTCATACAGGTAGACATATTTTGTTGCGAATAAATAGTATCAGAACAATGTTGGAGATCCCCATTTTAGTGAAGATGAATAACAGCTTCAGCAGTTTCATATGAGATCACAAAATCACAAGCAGTTATCCTGACCTATATCAAATTGCTACATATTATTCTCTGTTAGTTTACTGCTAATGACTATATACAAGTAACTTTTACAGACTTGTGAAATCACTTCTTAAGATCTTGTAGATTTGATCATAGGAATGGACATTATATAAAACCCTGGAAATGCACTTCTCTTTTTTCTTTCCCTTTGAACTGCCAAGTACAATACTGGTATTTTAAATGTGTAAAAATACCAGTGATTTTATGTGACCTGAGTGATTAGAGCTTTCTGGAGTCGGTGCATCAGTTAATTTTTCATGACTTGTAATCTTATATCCAATATATTTGTATATTCTCTGTCAATTCCAAAAATAATCTGATCACTAATTTAGGAATTGCTCAATGTGACATGACCTATAATAGACTACTTTAGGCCATGGATATCATTATAATCAATTCATGTTTCATTGACTCATTTTTTGTGTGATTGTCAATTTTTAGTAATTATACGACCGCAAAAAAATTTTGCGGTCGTATATTGGTATGACGTTGGCGTCGTCGTCGTTGTCGTCGTCGTCCGAAGACACATTGGTTTTCGCACTCTAACTTTAGTTTAAGTGAATGGATCTCTATGAAATTTTACCATAAGGTTCAATACCACAAAAGGAAGGTTGGGATTGATTTTGGGGGTTATGGTACCAACAGTTAAGGAATTAGGGGCCAAAAATAAGCATTTTTGTAACTTCCAGACACAACTTATGTGTTAGTGTATGGATCTCTCTGACATTGTACCACAAGGTTCCATATCACAAAGGGAATGCTGGGACTGATTTTGGGGGTAATTGCTTCAAAATTTTAGGAATTAGGGGCCAAAAAAGGGGCAAAAAACAAGAATTTTTCTAGTTTCATGACAATAACTTGTGTGTAAGTGTATGAATCTTTCTGAAATTGTACTACAAGGTTCCATATCACAAAGGGAAAGCTGGGTTTGAGTTTGGGGGTAATTGCCCAAAATGTTTAGGAAAAAGGGGCCAAAAATAAGCATTTTTCTAGTTTCCAGACAATAACATGTGTTCAAGTGTATGGATCTCTCTGAAATTGTACTACAAGGTACCATACCACTAAGGGAAGGCTGGGATTGATTTTGGGGGTAATTGCCTCAAAATTTTAGGAATTAGGGGTCAAAAAGGGTAAAAAAACAAGCATTTTTCTAGTTTCAGGACAATAACTTGTGTGTAAGTGTATGGATCCTTATGAAATTGTACTACAAGGTTCCATATCAGAAAGGGAAAGCTGGGTTTGAGTTTGGGGGTAATTGCCCTAAAAGTTTAGGAATTTGGGGCCAAAAAGGGGCAAAAAAACAAGCATTTTTCTAGTTTCCAGACAATTACTTGTGTTCAAGTGTATGGATCTCTCTGAAATTATACTGCAAGGTACCATACCACAAAGGGAAGGCTGTTATTGAGTTTGGGGGTGATGAATCATAAGGGGGTTCAAAAAATTGGGGGGGGGGGATTTTTTTTTCTTTAAAATTTTCCATTTTAAATTGGTTATTTCTGATTTATATATAAAAGCAAATAATAATGATATGGTTTGAATAGGTAAATTAAAATTTTTTAAAAATTAGACCACATTCATTCTGTGTCAGAAACCTATGCTGTGTCAAATATTTAATCACAATCCAAATTCAGAGCTGTATCAAGCTTGAATGTTGTGTCCATACTTGCCCCAACTGTTCAGGGTTCGACCTCTGCGGTCGTATCAAGCTGCGCCCCAGCGAATCATTTTATTTTAAGGATGAGATCAATTATATTTTGTCTATATATTTATTATTGTGTAGCCTGACAACAAAACTGTAGCAACCTATAGGAATAAACTGACATTTTCACTCTTCATAAAAGTTTGTTGGTCTGACATTTATCATATGAACAGTACATGAAGACTCTCAGCATGTTGTTATTTATTGTAAATGAATGATATGCTGGTAAGACACTTTCATGCTTCCACACTTGTTCATTACTCGTTTATACAGTAAATATAGAATGTAATGTGTACATTTATCACTATAAATTTTGTGTCAATTAATTTTTTTCTCCAGCAATTTTTATGCCCACCTAGGGGCATTATGTTTTTCGGTCCGTGCGTCCGTCTGTCTGTCCCGCTTCAGGTTAAAGTTTTTGGTCAAGGTAGTTTTTGATGAAGTTGAAGTCCAATCAACTTGAAACTAAGTACACATGTTCCCTACAATATGATCTTTCTAATTTTAATGCCAAATTAGAGTTTTGACCCCAATTTCACGATCCACTGAACATAGAAAATGATAGTGCGAGTGTGGCATCTGTGTACTATGGACACATTCTTGTTTTTAGCTTGTTATCAGTTAAGCAAGGGTCTAGGTGGGTGAGTGTTCTTAGAAGTTCTTTTACACTAGCCTGTCAAACACTGAGGTTGTGAGTTTCAAATCAATTGGGCAAGGTGCTTTTGACTCTGATCTTAATTGACTAGTATTAAGTTTCCCTGCCTTAAGTTGATGCATCTCTGATCACTATAATATAGCCAGGTGTGAAAGTGGTGTTAAACACGAACAATCAATCAATCAAACAAACAACCAGTAATTTGGCAGATTTTTGGTGTGTCTCTGTTGGTACTCCTGCTTCCTCCACCAATAAAACTAATCAATATAAAAGAGCCAAGTGTCTGGAAGGTGGTGTTTAACACCAACAATTGATCAATCGACCAACAAGTAGCTTTTATTGTATGTGTTTTATATGCCTTTTATACAACAACACCTCTTGGTTTCAGTATACACACTTCAACAATAAACAAGTGTCAACACAATATGTCAGGCACTTAATTGCCTAAGTCTTAAAAAGTAAATATAACTGAGATTCTCAAAGGTCTGTCATACTCACATATTTCTTAAAAGGCCAAAAGTATGTAGGTCTGAGTAGTTCATCTACACTTGGTGAGAGGTCTAAGTAGTTCATCTACACAAGCCTGTCAACATTGAGGTGGTGAGTTCTTTGGTTCAGTATACACACTTCAACAATAAACAAGTGTCTTAAAAATATGTCAGGCACTTAATCGCACCCATCTCTCATGAAAAATCAGTATAACTGAGATTCTCAAAGGTCTGTCATACTCATAAATTTCTTGAAGGCAAAATGTATGATATTGTCTATTAAATTGTTTTTACTATGTCTTGTTTGGGTGTGATTTAGGGCTTAACTCATTCCCAGTTAAATAAAGAAATTAACTTGCATGTTCCTAGTAATATCATATTCTAAATCAAAATAAACATATTTGCATGGACCCCCTCTCTCTTTTTCGCTATGAAATCAATCTATCAATAAATCATGCTAGCAAACCAATCTACAAACCAACTATGCCAATCTTCAGTTAACTAAAGTGAAATTCGTCGAACCTGACTGTATACAAATTTCAATCAATCAATTATTCACCGAACACACTTATCAACTACTGTGGATTCATTTATTTTCGTGGATATCAATTTTCGTGGATTGAAGAAAACTTCCATTTTCGTGGATATTTGATTTCATGGTTTTGTTTTAGTCGGCATATATTTCTATAGAATATTTGTAATTCGTTGAACATTTAAATTTGTGGTTTCCCTGTAGCCACTAAATCCACGAAAAATTGGTATTCAACGATATTGAGAAAATGTCACTTGATTGGTTGGTGGTTGGTATAACAAAAAAAATCAATCACTAACCAATCAACCAACCAAAAATTCATGTTAGCAAAGGGAGAGACCTCCATTAACAATTGTTTGTACAATTGATTTTATTTTTTATTAAGTTGTTGATAATAATTCTGGTATATTCACTTATCATTGAAGAATGTATGTTGATGTATATATTTCTTTTGTTTAGATCTCTTTTGTGTTTTTTAGTTGCTGTCTTATTGTCAATATCATATGTCTCCTTTTATCCATATTTGTTGGATGTCAAACTAAAAATAATTTCACTATCAATTAAATTGATTTTTTTACTTTTTACATAATGACTGTTATTGGGATTCATGTTATTAAAAATGTTATGCTTGAAAGGTAATATTTTCCATAAAAAAAGAAAAGATATAATGCTACTATGCAAAAGAATTTCTCATCCATTATTGTTAAACACAAGATATCTGTCTCATCAGTTGTGGTATGTTCATTTGCACATCATTATTCCAGTTGTCATATGACAGGAATATTGGTTGCCTTATACTATTTCACACGTTTCTGTTCCATAAAAGTTTAAATGTTTTAGAATCCTTCAATGTTTATTTCATATAGCTTTGCTTCCTTAGTTTTACTACCTGCAACCCTAGTGCATCCTATATAAAGTTGTCCAGTTGTGTTGATGGCAAGAGAATATGAAAATTCTATTCCAATTTCTTTCAAATTGAAATAAGAAATCAAATGACCATTGTCATTGTGGATGTGTAAGATGTCAGTATCAAAATCCATCACAACAACATTGTCACTAGGTGTTGCCATAATGTCTACTGGTTTGAATGGTTTACTCTTATTGATGGTTGAATGACCTGTATACTTGTTTATTATATGTCCTCCTTGTCCTAAGATCACTACTTTACCACTCCAATCATCTGAAATCTTATCCACTACATGTATATTTCCATTACTGGTAGTGGTTATGCGCCTACTGTTAGTAAATAAAGGTTGATTATGTTTATCATGTTCATATATAGTCTCCTTGTCTCCTTTCTTGTTCATTATCATCACAGCACTTCTTTTTAGTTCACTACCAATGAAACCATAAGTTCCTACTATAAGTTTATTTTCACTGATAACGTGGATAGCCGAGGGAAGGTAAGGTTTTACATCATAAACAGAATCAGTCAGGGTACCAGTACTGCTGATTTGTTGTAACCTTGTTTCCCCTAAAACACTCAGAAGGAGTTGATTAGATGGAGTAATTGCCATTCCACACACTTCAATGTTAAATTTAGATATTACCTTCAGATTGGTTCCTTCAGGTTTTACTCTCTGTAACATTCCATAAGTACTGGAACTTAACCAAATTGACTGGTCATGGCATGGTCTTGCATATGTTATCATCTCAAGTTCAGTCTGATATTGATTATTGAAGACTAGAGAGATGTTTATTTCTTCTGACAAGTTTCCATCATCTTGTAGCGATCCAATGTTTGATTGGGTAAAATTCCCTTGAGCAAATTTAGGGGAAGAAGTATAGCTAGGCTTGGTTCGTGGTTCTTGGGTTTCAGTGAATTTTTCCATCTTCTTGACCTCTTTGAAGAATTCAGAAGCATTGGAAATGTCAATACAGTCCTGGACTTCAGTAATTTTGTCCTCCTTCTGGTTTGTGAATAATGATATAGCATTAAGATCAGATTTAACTGATGTTAAAACAGTTTCATGATTCTGTTCCAATTTTTTTTTGAGTTCTTGAAAATATTGTTCTATTTGCTGTTTTACAGTTTTCTCATGACTTAGAATATCTTGTCTTACTTTTAAATACTTTGAATTTTCGGCTGACACTAGTTTATTGAGTTCATCTTTCTTCATGTTCATTTTAGAATTACTCTTTTGCATTTTACTTTGTCCTTTTTTCAATATTTTTACTTTGATGTTGTATGCATCACTAATTTCAATTAAATGATGCTTCTTATGAAATTTTGTAATACAGGTTGGACACACAAGGATTTCACATTTACTACAGTAAAAACATGATAATTGTCAAGTGTGTTCATAACACTTTATACTAGTAAAATCCATCTCTTCCCTATGCAGTCCAACATCTTTTAAACTTATAATCTTGTGATCATTTGCATTTTTGAATTTTGAATGTACATTGTCGGTGCAATGACCACACATCAGAATACTGCAGTCCATGCATTTCCACTGAAGTGGTCGATTCGTTTCACATAATTTACATATAACAGGAACTTGACTTTTTCTAACTGACTGGGAGAACGCCATATTGGTTAGATGTGTCTCAGATATTTCACTTCCTTCTATGATCTTTTTTCAACATGTTAAATGTTAAATACAAATGTTCACTTCCTTAAGAAACTGAAACAAGATAACAGGAGGCATTAGATTTTCTGATTGTGTAAAAGTGAAGTATATGATTGAGAACAAGATATATATTTAAAAACCCATAAAAGATTCAAGGCTTATAATTTGAAACGCTAGACGCTCAATCTTTCTACATAAGACTCATCAGTGACTCTTAAATCTAAATAGTTAAATATTCTGTTAAAATAGAAAATTAATGGGTATTTTAACGTATGGTAAACTGGCACTTGACAGTACATGATATACGTAACTTTAACATAAAGTGATAAGACATAACAATGTATAGAAAAAAGTCAGTCAGAAAAACAATGACAAATAATGTACATAAAACCCAAGATTTTTTAGCCAAAAAAACAAACAATCTATTAAACAAATAGTCAATTCGAATAATTTTGATATGCCATACAGAATTTACAGATCCTGTAATTTAGTGGTTGTAGTTGGTTGCTGTCGGTCATACTTGTTTTTCGTTTATGGTTTTTGAATGAATCAGGCTGTTGTTTTTCTCTTTTGAATTGTTTTACCTTTTGTCATGCCAGTCCTTTTATAACTGACTACCGGGTATATGGGATGAGGTTTGCTCATTGTTGAAGGCGTCAGCGTCAATGCTGCTTACATCAACATCATTTTGGAATTTTTTGGATAGATGACCTTGTCTCATTTGCAATGATACCACAACTCCTTATTTTTATATATATATATATATATATGCACATTAATAATCAGTGGCTATCCATACCTTTAAAAAGTCTGCAACAGAGGTTTTGACAGAATCATAATACCGGTATACATATTATTGACTTTTCAAGTTTTGGATGAATTTTTTTTCTAAAGGATGCTTATGACTAAGATAGATATCATAAATATAGTTTGTCATTTAGTATATATTTTTGAAAATATTGACAAAAATCTTAATTTGCTTACATTTGACAAATTTTCCTGTTTCCTTTTTTCAGAAATTTTGTGAAAAAAATCTTAGTTTTTGACTGAAGATAGAAATTTCTGGTTGTGAAATTTTGTCGGTTTCCTTATACTATCATGTTTGTGATGTTTAAAATAGAGTAACATATGACAAATTTTCCAGTTTCCAATTTTCTGAGAATTTATGATAAAATCTTAGTTTTTTTAAAGCAGTAACAACAAATTATTCACCAAAAGAAAAGCTTTTTATGTCCTTCTCTGGAATGCGGCGTAAATTTAAGTTTTACGTAAGGACTTATTGAAACCTCCTTGGAGACAGTCAACTTTTATACGGATAGTTCATTCAGCTTGAATACTTCAATTAATCATTTATAATAACATTTCTATCATAAATGAGTGAAAGTTACCCCCAAATTTTTATTTATTGGCCTAAAAAGTAGAAATTTTGAGGAAATGAGAGGTATAAATGGATCAAAAGAGACCTTATAAGGAAGACTTAGAGGTCCATTAGTAGTATTTATCATCCTAAAGTCATCTTTTGTATCATATTCAACTGTTTGTAAGCAGATAAGATAAATATTTGATCATTTATTGGTCCACATTATATTCTATCATGATGCGGCTTGGTTTGGATTTTTCGAAGAAATTTTGCTCGAATCGCTGTAGCAATATAGTATAATATAGTCTTACATTATACTAGATTTTTCTCAAACTGTTGAACTGATTATGACAAAACTTGACAGGAATGCTTGAAATGACCAGTATTACAAAGGAAAAAAGTCACATTCAGTTTATTTAACAAAAAAGTCTTCTTTAGGTGTAATACCACCAAATCATAGTACGTCACATCCGGTTGCATACGAAAATAGGTCGAAAAAAAATATTCCCTTGAATTTGACAGTTGTAGGTAATTGATCCTACATTTCATTGCAGTAAAACATTTCTGGGTCATAAACATATATCTTGGGTATTTCAAAGCACAATTAATTTTTTATTTGGGGTTTCTATAGAATATTTTGGAAACTTGAGGTTACATGGTTACTAAAGCTTGTACACAGGTTAAAAAAGGGGGGAAATTTGATTGGTTAACTCCCAGTGATGGTTATTTTCTTATATGCAATGAAATGTTATGTGAAATTTTTTCTATAGTACTGGACAGGATAAAACTTGACTCATGCCAAGTATTTCTTTATTTGAAACAAAGATAAATTCTGCACAATTTTTTGAAAAGTGCAAATTTAACAAAGACTAATAGGGGAAAATCAATGGTGGTATTACACCTATATTCTATTGTACATCATTAGTCCAGTTGTCATGTGACATGAATATTGATTACCTAATACTATTTCGCACTTTTCTGTTCCATAAAAGTTTGAATGTTTTAGAATCCTTCAATGTCTATCTTATATAGCTTTGCTTCTTTAGTTTTACTACCTGCAGCCTTACCACATCCTATATAAAGTTGTCCAGCTGTGTTGAATGCATGGGACCCTGGAATTTTTATTTCTACTTTTTTCATATTGAAATGTGAAATAAAATGACCATTGTCATTGAGGAAGTGCAAGCTTTCGGTAGCCATCACAACTACATTGTCACTTGGTGTTGTTGCAATTTGTCGTGGAAAGATTCTGTTGTTGATGGTTGAATTACCTGTATACTTGTTTATTATATGTCCAACTTTTCCCAAGACCACTACTTCACCACAGTCATGTGAAATTCTATCCACTACATGTATATTTCCATTACTGGTACATGTTATACGCCAAGGGTGAATAAATAACGGTTGATTATGTTTATCATGTTCATATACAGCCTTCTTGTCTCCTTTCTTGTCCATAATGATCACAGCACTTCTTTTTAGTTCAGGATTATAAGCTCCTACTATAAGTTTATTGTCACTGACAACATGGATGGCAATGGGATAGAAAGGTTTTACATCATAAACAGAATCAGTCAGGGTACCAGTACTGCTGATTTGTTGTAACCTTGTTTCCCCTAAAACACTCAGAAGGAGTTGATTAGATGGGGTAACTGCCATTCCATACAATTCAATGTTAAATTTAGACATCACGTTTAGATTGGTTCCTTCAGGTTTTACTCTCTGTAACACTCCAAAAGAACCGGAACTTATCCAAATTGACTGGTCAAGGCATGGTCTTACAAATGTTATTACATCAAGTTCAGTCTGATACTCATTATTGATGACTAAGGAGATGTTTATTTCTGTTGACAAGTTTCCATCATCTTGTAATGATCCAATGTTTGATTGGTTAATATTCCCTGGAACAAATTTTGGTGAAGAACTATAGCTAGACTTGGTTCGTGGTTCTTGGGTTTCAGTGAATTTTTCCATCTTCTTGACCTCTTTGAAGAACTCAGAAGCATTGGAAATGTCAATACAGTCCTGGACTTCAGTAATTTTGTCCTCCTTCTGGTTTGTGAATAATGATATAGCATTAAGATCAGATTTGACTGATATTAAAACAGTTTCATGATTCTGTTCCAATTTTTTTTGGAGTTCTTTAAAATATTGTTCTACTTGCTCTTTTACGGTTTTCTCATGACTTAGAATATTTTGTTTTTCTTTGTTATACTTTATATTTTCTGCTGACACTAGTTTATTGAGCTGGTCTTTCTTCACATTCATTTTAGAATTACTCTTCTGCATTTTACTTTGTCCTTTTTTCAATATTTTTACTTTGATTTTGTATGCATCACTTATTTCGATTAAATGATGCTTCTTATGAACTTTGGTAATACAGGTTGGACACACAAGGATTTCACATTTACTACAGTAAAGACATGACAATTGTTCAGTGTGTTCCAGACATTTAATGTTAGTAAAATCCATCTCTTCCCTATGCATCCCTACATCTTTTAAACTGATAATCTTGTGATCATTTGCATTTTTGAATTTTGAATGTACTTTGTCGGTGCAATGACCACACATCAGAATACTGCAGTCCATGCATTTCCACTGAATTGGTCTATTTGTTTCACATAATTTACAATTAACAGGAACTTGACCTTCTCCAACTGACTGGGAGGACGCCATTTTTGTTAGATGTGTCTCAGATATTTCACTTCCTTCTATGATCTTTTTTTCAACATGTTAAATGTTAAATACAAATGTTTACTTCCTTAAGAAACTGAAACAAGATATCAGGAGGCATTAGATTTTCTGATTGTGTAAAAGTGAAGTCTATGATTGAGAACAAGATATATATTATAAAAACCCATAAAAGATACATTAGGCTTATAATTTGGAAAGCTAGACGCTTAATCCTTCTACATAAGACTCATCAGTGACTCTCAAATCTAAAGTTAAAAGTTAAATGTTCTGTTAAAATGGAAAATAAATGGATATTTTAACGTATGGTAAACTGGCACTTGACAGTACATGATGTACATAACTTTAGCATAAAGTGATAAGACATTACAATGTATAGAAAAAAGCCAGTCAGAAAAACGATGACAAATAAAGTACAGAAAACCCAAGATTTTTTAGCCAAAAAAAAACCAATCTATTAAACAAATAGTCAATTAGAATAATTTTGATATGCCATACAGAATTTACAGATCCTGTAATTCAGAGGTTGTAGTTGGTTGCTGTCGGTCATATTTGTTTTTCGTTTATTGTTTTTGAATGAATCAGGCTGTTGTTTTTCTCTTTTGAATTGTTTTACATTTTGTCATGTCAGTCCTTTTATAACTGACTATATGGGATGAGGTTTGCTCATTGTTGAAGGCATCAGCATCAATGCTGCTTACATCAACATCATTTTGGAATTTTTTGGATAGATGACCTTGTCTCATTTGCAATGATACCACAACTCCTTATTTTTATATATATATATATATGCACATTAATAATCAGTAGCTATCCATACCTTTAAAAAGTCTGCAACAGAGGTTTTGACAGAATCATAATATACAGGCCATAATCTTGCCGGCGAAATGACGATTTAAGTCGCCAAAGAATTTTGAAAATCGCTAAATCTCGCCAGCCGACTGACTTCATGGCGAAGTCAAATCGCTATGAAAATTGGTAAAAGGGACTTGTAATAATACATATGACTAAGATAGATATCATAAATATAGTTTGTCATTTAGTATATATTTTTGAAAATATTGACAAAAATCTTAATTTGCTTACATTTGACAAATTTTCCTGTTTCCTGTTTTCAGAAATTTTGTGATAAAAATCTTAGTTTATGACTGAAGATAGTAGTTTCTGGTCATGAAATTTTGTTGGTTTCCTTATACTATCATGTTTGTGATGTTTAAAAAGTTACATATGACAAATTTTCCAGTTTTCAATTTTCTGAGAATTTATGATAAAATCTTAGTTTTTGTCTAAATATACTAATTTCTGGTCATGCAATTTTGTCAGCTTCATTATACAATCATGTTTGTGATGTTTCAAATAGAGTTACATTTGACAATTTCTCTGGTTTTCTATTTTCAGACATTTTATTATAAAATCTTAGTTTTTGCCTCAAAATACTAATTTTGCATCATGAAATTTTGTCAGAACCTTAATCATGTTTGTGATGTTTCAAATAGAGTGAAATTGTAATTAAATAGGTTGCTCCATTAATTACCTTAATATTAAAACTTCCTATTTTTCATTGGTTTTTTTTCAGTAAAACAACAAAGATTTTAACCCAAACTCATCAATTTTGACCACTATAAATTTTGTAGACTTATGTTGTTTTTTTTTGTTTATTTCTGTATGAGTCCAGTTAAGACCAAATTTGCTAAGGTAATCAACTTATTTTCAGTCTGTTCATTTATTTGTCTTAATGTTTTCAATCTGTCCATCAATACCAAATCAGGTTCAATAATGATGTGAACTTTAAAAAATTATATGCTAAATGGATTTCAACCATATTTCACAGTTCACTAATCGGATTAAAGTTTGGTTTATGGTAGTTTTCGATGAAGTTATAGTCACATCAACTTAAAAATTTAGTTAACATGCTCATTATAATGTGAACTCATAAAAAATAAATGCCAAATAAATTAGGGTTTTGACCCAGATTTCACTGTTCACTGAATATGAAAATTTGGTAGCATGAGCGGGGCAATGAGACAGATGGACACATATTCTTGTTAAGACTACTTTCTATTTTGTTCCTTTTTGGTTTTATCTGTCTGCAATGTTTGTATTTGGTTTCAGACTTTCAAATTTTTTGGCTTCCAGCATTACTGAAGAGACTCTACTACAAGATGCAGTAAAAATTTGTACCATTAATGCTATTATAAATGAAGATGGCAACAGAGCATTTTAATTTTAGTGATATCAATGTCAGGTCATCATAAAAGACATTTACCATTTGCAACAAATATTATTGTGACATGGGTCATGTGACTTACAAGGGTCTAACTAAATATTTTGAATTACATAGAAATAAATGTTGTTGCATTTGTATCAGTCATACAGAAAAGTCATATTTACAACTAATTCTATTCAACTGGTACTGTTTTGTGGTAAATAAAGAAAAATTCTTTTTTACATTTTCATACCCCCGCTTTAAAAAAGTGGGGTGATACTGTTTTACCTCTGTCTGTCCGTCCTTCCATCCATCCGTCAGTCCATCCATCAGTGCTTCCGTCCGTCCCATGAATATTTTTCGTCGCATCTTTCTCTGGAACTACATAAAAAGGATTTCTGAAATTTGGTTTCAGGGTTTATATGAGTCAGCTATACCGTGTGATGCGTTTTCAGATTCATCACTCAGCAACTTCCTGTTTACCTGATACTTTTAGCAGGGCCGGGGTATCATTAGTGAGTAGTAGCTCAAAGATTCACTTGTTGATTTTGATTTCTTAGCATGAAATCAGTAGCATATATAAGACCATTGTATAATTTTTTATACGCCCGTTTACGGGACGTATTATGGTATACCGTTGTACGTCCGTCTGTCCGTCCGTCTGTCCGTCCGTCCGTCGTCAACATGTCGGACATTAACTCAAAAACGCTTTAACCAATTTGCTTAAAACTTTGGTGAATTGTTTATATGTATTGACGTGAGCTCCCTTTCCTTTTTTATAAATTTTAGATTTTACGTTTCCGAGTTATGGGGTTTTATTCATTAAAAAAAGGGTGATTTTCCAGTTTTAGGACAATAACTCAAGAATGCTTTCACCAACTTGCAAGAAATTTTGGTTAATTGTTTATATCTAATGACATGAGCCCCCTTTGGATTTTTATAAATTTTAGATTTTACGTTTCCGAGTTATGGGGTTTTATTCATAAAAAAAAGGGGGGATTTTCCAGTTTTCGGACAATAACTCAAAAATGCTTTCAGCAGTTCTCATGAAACTTTGATGAATTGTTGATATCTATTGATGTAAGCTCCCTTTAGAATTTTATAAATTTTAGATTTTACATTTCCGAATTATGGGGTTTATTCATTAAAAAAGGGGGGATTTTCCAGTTTTCAGACAAAAACTCAAAAATGCTTTCAGCAATTCGTATGAAACTTTGGTGAATTGTTTATATCTATTGATGTAAGCTCCCTTTAGAATTTTATAATTTTTATTTGTTTATAGTCTGACAACAGATTTACTAAGTATTGCGCAACAGCACAGTGTATTGCACAACAGCAAGAAATCTTTAATTGAATATAAATTCAATTCATATAACCAACTTCAAGTTCTTTGACTACATTTATTCAGAAACCTATAATAGATGTATGTCAAATATTTAATTACAATCCAAATTCAGACCTGTATCAAGCTTGAATATTGTGTCCATTTTTGCCCCAACTGTTCAGGGTTAGACCTCTTCGGGCGTATCCAGCTGCGCTCAGCGAAGCAGTTTATTATTGTTCTATATCTTATAGTTGTTTTTTATTTATATTTTTAAACAGATTTTAATGGATTACTCTGGAGGTGCAAGTCTCAACATACATATAACAGAATCACGTCCACTGTCTGTAGATATCATCAAAGCTTACACAGAGGAGATTTTGTATGGATTGGAGTATTTACACAAAAAAGATGTAGTACATAAGTATCTAAGGGTAGGTAACTGATGTTCTTCAAATTCAAGTGTATGCTTGTTCTTGTAAATATGTAGTACATAAGTATCTAAGGGTAGGTAACTGATGTTCTTCAAATTCAAGTGTATGCTTGTTCTTGTAAATATGTAGTACATAAGTATCTAAGGGTAGGTAACTGATGTTCTTCAAATTCAAGTGTATGCTTGTTCTTGTAAATATGATGAATAGGGGATGTGGGGTATTATTGTCTATGCGACAGCAACCTAACAACACAAAACACCAGAAAAGACTTCAAAAGCAAAGTCTTCAACATTTAACAAGTTTTATATCTCAAAATCTATAAATTACCCAGAGTCTTAAGATTTTAACAAGAGAGACAACCTGCAATCAATTGTTAATTCTTTGATTTAAAAAATACGATATCAATAAAGATGCCATTTCTGACTTTTGAGAAGCAAATTGATCCTCTTTTTTTAATCCTTTTTATACGACTGCAAAAAAATTTTGCGGTCGTATATTGGTATGACTTTGGCGTCTTCGTCGTCCGAAGACACATTGGTTTTCGCACTCTAACTTTAGTTGAAGTGAATGGATCTCTATGAAATCTTACCATAAGGTTCAATACCACAAAAGGAAGGTGGGGATTGATTTTGGGGGTTATGGTACCAACAGTTAAGGAATTAGGGGCCAAAAAGGGGCCAAAAATAAGCATTTTTGTAACTTCCAGACATAACTTGTGTGTTAGTGTAAGGATCTCTCTAATATTGTACCACAAGGTTCCATATCACAAAGGGAATGCTGGGAATGATTTTGGGGGTAATTGCCTCCAAATTTTAGGAATTAGGGGCCAAAAAGGGGCAAAAAACAAGCATGTTTCTAGTTTCATGACAATAACTTGTGTGTAAGTATATGGATCTCTCTGACATATTACCACAAGGTTCCATATCACAAAGGGAATGCTGGGAATGATTTTGGGGGTAATTGCCTCAAAATTTTAGGAATTAGGGGCCAAAAAGGGGCAAAAAACAAGCAGTTTTCTCGTTTCATGACAATTACTTGTGTGTAAGTGTATGGATCTTTATGAAATTGTACTACAAGGTTCCATATCTCAAAGGGAAAGCTGGAATTGAGTTTGGGGGTAATTGCCCAAAACGTTTAGGAAAAAAGGGGCCAAAAAGGAGCCAAAAATAAGCATTTTTCTAGTTTCCAGACAATAACTTGTTTTCAAGTGTATGGATCTCTCTGAAATTGTACTGCAAGGTACCATACAACAAAGGGAAGGCAGGGATTGATTTTGGGGGTAATTGCCTCAAAATTTTAGGAATTAGGGGCCACAAAGGGGCAAAAAAACAAGCATTTTTCTAGTTTCAGGACAATAACTTGTGTGTAAGTGTATGGATCTTTATGAAATTGTACTACAAGGTTCCATATTACGCAGGGAAAGCTGGGTTTGAGTTTGGGGGTAATTGCCCTAAACGTTTCGGAATTTGGGGCCAAAAAGGGGCCAAAAAACAAGCATTTTTCTAGTTTTTAGACAATAACTTGTGTTCAAGTGTATGCATCTTTCTGAAATTGTACTGCAAGGTACCATACCACAAAGTGAAGGCTGGGATTGAGTTTGGGGGTGATGAATCATAAGGGGGTTCAAAAAATTTGGGGGGGAGGATTTTTTTTTCCTTTTTTTTCTTTAAAATTTTCCATTTTAAATTGGTTATTTCTGATTTATATATAAAAGCAAATAATAATGATATGGTTTGAATAGGTAAATTAAAATTTTTTAAGTTCTTAGACCACATTCATTCTGTGTCAAATATTTAATAACAATCCAAATTCAGTGCTGTATCAAGCTTGAATGTTGTGTCCATACTTGCCCCAACTGTTCAGGGTTCGACCTCTGCGGTCGTATCAAGCTGCGCCCCAGCGGAGCATTTTATTTTACTCTTTTCTTTTCTTGATCAATAAATTAACAAATGATACAGAACAAATGATACAGAGAAACATACATTTTAAATCATTTCAGTGGAAATACCATATAAATGAATTTTACAGACAAAAAACAAAAACACCATAGGATGAACTAAAACAATACTTTTTAAATGCTGTATGTATCAAAGGATGCTAGCAGATACTACAAGGGAACTCAAAGTATATTATCTTCTGATGAAAAAAGAATACCTTCTTATACTGTATCATCTACTGTATTTCAGAAAAGATTTCACACACAGCAGTGTCATGATCGACAATTGCAAGAAAACATGATCTTGTGCAAATCCTAAAAGTAAATTTGTATTTGACTGCAAGACAGAAAATAGATTAAATTAAATATTTTGGATGTGTTTTTAAACTTGTTAATATCTATACTTAAAAAAAAATTGTACAAGACACAGTGATTTCACAGTAATCTTATATCAATAATTCTACTTAAGATATATTAGTGATAAGCTAGAAAAAAGCACAGAGACAATCTTGGTAAATAAAATTTCTTCCAGGAAACTTATTTTATTTTAATTTTATCAAAATGTTTATATTAATATTATTTCCTGAAACCTGAATTGCTGTGGTGAAAGTTCGGTAAATCTACGATTCAGTACAAATGTAATCAGTTTCATCTTAGAAATATTGTATTCAGTACATAAAGAAAGTCTTCATCTACAGTTTAATTGTGAGACAGGTGTCAGCTAGATTTCTTGCAACTAATGAGATTAATTTCAATTTTACATAGAACTAACTCAAAATTTGATGTGTATTTAAATAACTATTGCTTTGGTGAAATATTTCTTCTCTCTGTCCATCCATCTGTCTTTCCACACATCATACATTAACTAGATAATGCTTTGATTGAATCGGTGGCAAAAATCTTAATCTGTATTTGCTCTAATCACTATCCTCTAGTTTTCTTTTAAAATTGTTATGCTAATTTATCTATTTCAGGCTTCCAGTATAGTTGTTGATAAGAATGGCAGAATAAGGATTGGTGATTATAGTATTGACAAGCGGTAAGTTTTTAATCTTATAGTAGATACACATAATTCAGACATTGTTGCATGATTGAAGTTGGAGCTGATTTGTTATCAAAGATGGCCAAAAGGGCTGCTTATCTTAAACTTCAAATTTGTGTGAATACCAGCAGCCAGTTGTACGAACGTGGCATTAGCCTAATGGGTCATTAAGTCTTCATTAAGCCTTTATGATGCATTAGGCTAATGAAGACTTAATGACTCATTAGACTAATGACACGTTCGTACAACCGGATGCTGGTAAATATCTCAAGCATTATAGTTGTATAACACATTTCTGAGTAGTAAACATGATGATATAAACCTAAACAAATGTATGTATAGTGTGTATTGATTTCATCAATTAGTTCTATGTAATAACCTCAGTTGTAGACATGAAACCACCAAGTTGAAGTATACACAACAGGTTTCAACTTTATGTGTTACTGTTTTTCAGGCTGTCAGATCTATATTATGCTGTGGAGTCTTCCCGGCCTGGTGTCCACTTTACAGGAGAGAGAGAATTGATACCAGTTAGAGGAGGAAAGAAAGGAGATGTTTATCAATTGGTGAGGATCTTGATTTTAAAAGAAAAAGGGCCTTTACTATGATTTATATTTCTTTAGACTTGATTTCCTCTGAAATGTCAGATAAAACATGCATTATAACATCTTGAATGTGTGCATGTTCTTTTCATTTGTACTTTGTACCCCAATTACATTTGTAAAATACTTTTTTTTAGTCATCCCTCCTTCTCCCCTTCCTCTGCAAAAAAAAAAAAAGAAAAAGCAAACCAAACCAAACCAAACCAACAACCTAGAAAAAATCCTAGAAAACAAAAAATGAAAATAGACCAAATGAAGTAAACAAATTAGAGTTCTATATACATGTTGAGTGTCCTTCAACTTCAGTATGAAAATGAAAGTAAAACTCTCCGAGGTCACTTTTTAAGTAGAAAATTAAGAAAAATTAAACATAATACAAGATAAATTGTTTCAGCCTTTTTATGTCATTTTATCATTCAATGTCTTGTTCTTTTTTAGGGTTTGATTCTGTTATCTGTAGCTATTGGATTGGATGCTGATCCAGACAAGCCAGAAATACCACAAAATTTCCCTCCTGTGTTTCAAGATTTCTTAACTAAGTATGATAAGTGTTGTATGACTTATATTCATTAGTCTGACTTTCCTGTAATACGTAAAAAAAGAACATTGTCTAAGCAGGTTATTATGTTTCCCCCCCCCTTTTTTTCAAGATTTGTTGACTAAGTATGTGTCCATTTGTATGAAAAAGAGCGGCAGAACATACCAAAAAAGGGAATATTCAAACTCATAAGTCGAAAAGGGACTGATAATGCTTTGGCAAAATGTATGACTTATATTTAATTGTATGAATAATTTCACTTTGCTCTATCACAAGTTAAAAATTATTGGCTTGAAAGGATATCAAGTATATATAAGTGTAAAGCTGTCGGCAATTGAAATTTAATATGATATCATTTTCATAAATAATGTCATTTGCAATAGAAAATTTATTATACATAAAAAAAAAATATTATTATTTTAGATGTTTAATGAAGGATGAGAGACATCGTTGGTCAGTCTATCAATTGTTGGACCATAGTTTTATCAAGGAAGAATTACCACACACCATTCATTATGCTCCTCACAAACCTGCTGTTACAGAAGAAGTCGAGAAAAGTATGTTGTGTAAAAATTGTACACTTATAGTAGTACAATGTATAATGTCTCCTTTGATCTTTTTTCAAGGATAATATAGATTTGAGAAATAAATTATGTCTTAGTTTATTAATAATATTTTTATTTTAAGCTCATGTGACCCAAAGGTATGTTTAGTTATGTTTTAATTGATCAAAAACAAAATCAATGTTAGTACAGATAAATAATATATTTAAAGATTTCACTACTGTGTTAAATTAATAACCTTTAAGAATAAGTTTATTCAAAGGATCAATGAGTGTACATGGATCATATCTAAAACTATGGGCTTTATGAACAATATCACTGTGAAAGCCTACTATGACAAGCCTTCTATTACAATATAAATTTGAGCCAGAAATGGAATATATATCAAAAAGAAAAATTAAAACATCAGATTAGGATTTAACTATACATTTTTCATAAGTGGTTATTTTTCAGACCAACATCTTTCCAATATATGTACATTTCCCCCATGGCAAGGTAGATTACCTCAAAATTTATTTTTGTCAAATTTTATCACATTCCAGAGCGTTCAAAAAGTTTTAAATTGTCTGATGATGCAGGAACAGGACATATGATGTCATACTGTTATGTGCAAAAGACTAGATCAACGAGTCACAAACTTTTCTATTTAACATAAAAAGAATTTTTACCATTTTAGAGAAATAGGTTTAACAACTCGTGAGAATTGCATATTGCTTGATATCAACTCTGGTCTTTTCCTTTGAATAGTAATAATAAACTCACCGAAGATTGTTTATAATTGTTTTGAAATTAGATAGTTGTTATCAAGCAGTATCAAATTCTCAATCATTATGAAACCTATAAATCCCAATTTCAAAAAAAAGGAAAGATAACAGGATGAGTAATAGTATTTTTCTAATTATAGAACAAGATGTAAACAAAGACAATGATTCAGAAGATGATGACTTAGCAGATTTACCCTTCATCACTGCTTTAGAGGCCAGTGGACAGTCTCGTCTAACAAATGAATTTGAAGTCCTTAGGTCCCTAGGGAAAGGAGGATTTGGTGATGTCATTGAGGTAATTAAATCCAGAACAGGCATTGTCATCTGACCTTGACTCCATTTTCTTGTTTCATTGAGCAGGTTTAAGGGGGTGCATATTGCTGTCAGGTGTGTGTCCATCTGTCCTTTAGTCTGTCTGTCTGTTGTTAGTTGGTCTTTCCTGTATCAGTCACTATCAGGTTTTAGTTTAAGGAAGTCTACCATTAAGTTGTGGTTACAACAACTATAAACTTAGCACACATCATTGCACATGTTCATTATCATGTGAACTTTGGAAAATTTATGCCAAATAAGGGTTTTGACCCATATTTTGTGATTTGTTTGTTTTTGAAGCATGGTGTCTGATGGGTTTATTATTCTTTTGAAATTTATAGTTTCAGATTTTGTGTATAACAGTTTATTTGAACAGATGCATTTGGTACTGAAACTGGTGGTTTTGAAAACAATGAGTTTGCCATTTCAAAACTAAAGCATTCTGGGTATTATTGTCATAGATGTACACCAAATGTTGTGATTGGTTAACAAAATCCTAAACCTTGGATTTCAGCCAATGACCTATCATTATTACTATTTGCTATACAAACAATGAAATTACCCTAATGATTCTGAAACAGTAAATTCCACAAATAAAAGTGCTGTCACAAAACAGTTAAACTGCTGAAAATTTAACCCAGCATTAACCAGAAACCTGTCTAAAGTGAACTCATCAATCAGAATTTAACATGGATATTCTATAAGAGTTCAAACTGTGTAAGCTGATCACCTGTTTAATCAGAACTAAATCATAAGTCCCTGAGAAGTTCGGTTTGACGGATTTCACTGTACATGTATTATAATTGCATTTTACAGTTGATAACTTTGTATCTGTATGTTCTGGTTTCATGATTTTATTGCCATTGTTTAAAATTTGTTTTTCTTCTCACAGGTTAGAAATAAACTAGATAGAAGAAAATATGCAATTAAAAGAATACCATTGAATCCTAAAAGTAAATACTTTAACAAGAAAATCACCAGGGAGGTCAAATTACTGTCTCGTCTCAATCATGAAAATGTTGTTAGGTAACTATTTATTTCCCTTTTTTAATTTTTTTTTTAACTTATGTTACCGTGAATTCATTTATTTTCGTGGGTACCAATTTTTGTGGATTGATGTACACTTGCATTTTCATGGATATTTGTTTCGTGGTTTTGCCTGATAATGCATACATTCTTATAGGAATTTCCTATAGAAAATTTGCAATTTATTGGAAATTTAAATTCGTGGTTCCCTTGAAATCACGAAATCCACGAAAATTGGTATCCAAAGAATAATAATGAATCCACAGTACATTGTTGAAGACAATATTTATATTTAGGATGAATTTTTATACGGCCGCAAAAAATTTTTTGGGATCGTATAATGGTATGATGTCGTCGTCGTCTGCGTCGTCGTCCTAAGACACACTGGTGTCTGGACAATAACTTTAGTTGAAGTGAATGGATCGCTATGAAATTTTTTAAGAAGGTTCAATACCACAAAAGGAAGGTTGGGATTGATTTTGGGGATGATGGTCCCAACCGTTTAGGGGCACAAAAAGGGGCCCAAAACAAGCATTTTTCTAGTTTCAGGATAATAACTTGTGTATAAGTATTTCGATTGCTCTGAAATTGTACCACAATGTTTAATACCACAAGTAGAAGTTTGGGATACATTTTAGGGGTTATGTAGCCAACAGTTTAGGAATTAAGGGCCAAAGAGGGGCCAAAAACAAGCATTTTTCTAGTTTCCAGACAATAACTTGTGTGTTAGTGTATGGATCTCTCTGATATTGTACCACAAGGTTCAATATTACAAAGAGAAGGCTGGGATTGAGTTTGGGGTTAATAGCCCCAAACATGTATGAATTAGGGGCCAAAAAAGGGCCAAAAACAAGCATTTTTCTAGTTTCCAGACAATAACTTGTGTGTAAGTGTATGGATCTCTCTGAAATTGTACTACAAGGTTCCATACTACGAAGGAAAGGCTGGGATTGAGTTTTGGGGTTATTGCTCCAAGGGGGGTTTCAAAAAGTTGGGGGGGATTTTTTTAAGGGATTCAAATTTTTTTCAAAATTTTTAAAATTTCGAATTTTTGAAAAGTTTCAAGAAGAAATCTTTAATTGAACAGTATTGCGCAATGGATTTATAAGATCTTTGACCAAATTTATTTTGTGTCAGAAACCTATATTATGTCAAAAATTTGATTACAATCCAAATGCAGACAGTATCAAGCTTGAATATTGTGTCCAAATTTGCCCCAACTGTTCAGGGTTCAACCGCTGCGGTCATATCAGGCTGCACTCAGCGAAGCATTTTATTGGATGTTTGTTTACTGAATAGAGAATAATAGTTTTAAAAATGATCTGCAATGACCTAAAAATATATGAAGATGTAATACACAAACCAAAATAGATATAATAAAACATCAAACTGAAGAGTCATTTGAACTTGCAGTGAGTTGAGATCTTCCCTTCATGTCGAAGGCTTAACTGTGACTTTGAGAAGAATAAAAGTACTTTTGTATTACGTTTGCTTTTAATATCAAGTGTGTGCAGGAATTTTGTATCATGAATTAATATATCATTTCAGTTCTTTCAGATTTTTCAAACACTATGACTTTTTTATACGACAGGTATTATAATTCCTGGATAGAGACCAGTGAAGATCCAGCACACAGTGACTCATCCACATCCACCTCCACGACTACAGGTACAGGTACAGGTAAAACTCAAACGACCAGCGACAGCAGTTCTTTAATGAAGAACAGTCTGAATTTTACCGATGACATAGAGAAGTTTGCTCCTCAAGCTCGAGATGTCTCCGTCGAGTGGAGTATGTCCTATAATACCACGGGAATACAGAAAATACACGATGATTCATCTGATTCAGAAGACGAAGCTGAAGTATTTGGGACATCTTTCTTGTAAGAATCTTTGTATGTTCAATTAAATGTGAAAAAAGAAAGAAATTTTTTTTTTAATTAAACGTCTGTTTAAGATATTGAAATTAGATATGTTAGGTATCGTCATACAGTATGAATACTGTAAATTCAGAATCTATTATTTTTAGGTTTTTATTAATGTGAATAGTGTGACTAGGTGAGTATTGCAACAATAAGAACTCACATTCTTGTATCTGATACATTTATCTGCATACAGATTTTCCTGAAATCACAAAAATTAGTCTGACAATTTTGTCCATTATTTAAAAATTGCAATAATATTGCACAAAATAATTTCTGAATTTATAGTAGTTGATAAATGAAGTAGAATCTACTTTCTGTCAATCATGAAAGCTATCAATTAATATTTTATTACAATATGTACCCTATCTTCATATCAGAATGCTCATTAAAAACTGGGTTTTTAGTACTGTTTGTTTGGAAACAATACACTACATAAGAGAAAAAAAGGTAATATATATATATATATATATATAAAGTGCCTAGAAAATCAACCTAACAATGTTAGAGTAGATCTGATTCTTTACTTCCTCCCCGAGCGGGGCTGGAACCTGTACTTTTTATTTCTTACTTCTACGATATATATAGTATATTTCCTATTCCAGGAAATTGCTGAAAATTATACCATTAACGTACTATCAATTGATCATAGTCTGTTTCAGAAACTTTTAAATGTAGGTATTTTATTTATTACAGTGGAAAGATGGACGCATCAGATGATGTACTGTTTGAACATGATAGTTCTGACAAGTCTGAGGATGAGGTAGGTCATACTAGTTCAAACATACTTATATACAGTCTTAAGTCAAACGTGTTTCACTTATCGGTAATTCCATTATTATTTCATATAAAAACACATTTTTGATAAAAATTGTACTGAAGATATTTCTTGTCCAAATTGGATGATGATTTTTTCATTAAATGCAGAAATGTCTGCAGTTCATTGCAATAATTATGAATTATAAACTATATGATTTCTAAGTAATGACATTTCATAAAAATATTTCATAATAAACATAAAAAACTGTACACATTTGTGAGTTTAGAATTAAAAATTTTGTTAAAATCTGACCAATTAGTTTTTAACAATGTTTTAAAAAATGTATTTTATATGAAATTATAGGGGAATTTGGGATAGGTGAAACACTTTTGACCTAAGACTGTAATTATATTTTTTTAGAACAATAGACTTTATTGAATAATAAAGTATTATTGTCATATGCAGACAAGGGGAATTAATAAGATATATTAATGGAAAATAAGTGAAGGTCTATTATTGAGAAATATGAATATTGTTCTAAAGCAAATAGAAAATTTTATGCTAAATATAGATTGGTTTTTTTTTAATATTTAATACTGTTTGCCCTCGGACCTCAGAAAAGAAGAAACCATCTTTATAGTTATCATTTTGGTAATTGAATAGATTTAATCACTTATTTGCATAAATGTTAATTAGATGTCACCGTAATATGATCTTGACCAAGGGTCTGGAGTTTTTTTTTTGGAATTTTTATCGTTTTTTTTTTAGTTGGAAGACACCTTTTACAGGATGTCATGAGATTTCATACATGTTTTTGAAAAAAATGATAATAAATGAGTACAAATTTTTTTTTAAATGTACACGCAAAGGGACATAATGTAAATTTAAAATGCAAATTTTTTTTTTGTGAAACCCATCTCTTCGCAATAATGAAAACATAGCATACATTTCTGAATTTATAGTATATGAATTAGTTAAAGTGGACAATGTAATAAAACATTTTACAACAGTACATGACATTGAAAATAATGCTGAAACAGTATAAACCTTACACAGAATTGTTTTTTGTGGTCTCTTGAAACAAGTGTAAAGATTTGATGTGAAAATTTAGTTTATATTGTAAACCAACACTTATTTTAGCTAGTAATGAATTTATATAAATTTTAAGAGTAGTAAGTTGAAATGATAACAAATCCTCTTGAATTTGACATTGCTTATTCTTAACAATTAGTTTGCATCAATAAAGATGGAAAATAGGGAATATAGATCACCTCTAAGACATTTAATAGGCCTCAAAGCAAAAAAAGTAACCAGGAAAATGAATAGGTTTACAGCATTGAAATGTTGACACATTTCTGGTCATGATTATCAAATTATTGCTTCCCATCATGGTGCAAATCTATTAGCTTCATTCGATATTCAGGCCATCTTGAAATTATTACTTAATAAATATGGGTTCTGATTGGTTGCTTTATGAGATGGCTTTTATTCAATTGACTGAAATAGAATTGGGAACATTTCCTGGACAGTAGAAGATATTTAGCAGTGTTCTCCCCAGGGCCTTTTAGCATCATGGTTATGTGATGCAATCTGAAATGATTTTCTTATAGGTTGTGTTATGGATGTGATGCTATAATTTTTAGAAACCAGATGGTATTTCAAATTTCCCTGTTTGCCTGTATGCTATATGAAATATCTGTGGAGAACACTGTATTAAGGATATAGTCAGGGGAAATTAAAAAAATCTGGAATTTAGAATTGAAATTATAAATCGGGAGAGCATAAGTTGGGAACAAAATAAGGTAAAAATATTAATAGGTTATGGAACTCCTTTTCAAGATTTTTGATTTAAAAAAAAATGGTGGGAAAAGGCTGACTCAGACTTTTACCTTATATTTAGCATTGGCATTTATTGGGTCTCAAATTGTAAGAAAAGAAATCTAGAATCTGCTTGAAATTTGGTAATGATCTCATGTGAGCTATTGAAGTCTTCTATGAAAAGAAAAGTGGGTGATATGGGGCAAAATATTTTAGCCTGTATCGTTGAAAAAACCCAAAAATCTGACAAAAAATTTTTAAACCTGAAATGACTACATCCTTGAATACAAAAGATAAGGAATAAAGAACAGTATGGGTATTCAAGCCATGATCTACAATTATTGCTTTATATTGACGTAATTTATGATACTGCGAATAAGGGCTATTCCATTAAAATGTATGTCGGAGGGTAGGAAGGGAAGTTTAATTATTGAATGTGGGTCATGGGTCTTTTTTCAGTATGTGTCTATTACCATTATGCAAAATTATCTAAAAAATGGTTCTTGGTTGTAGGGACATTTTGAAAGTCCCTTCCTACCCTCCGACATACATTTAATGGAATAGCCCCAACTTCGTATTTTTTTTAAAAAGGTTAAACTTGTATAATGTTTAGTTTTATTGGGAGTATTAAACCAAAAAAAAAACATGTATATACAGTGTACAGATTTATTCCAGTGTAAAAAGAAAATATTAAATTGATCTTTTTTAAGCAATTTATCAAATTTTACATGCCTTCATCAGACAAAAGGTTCAACAACATTATGTGTAGGTATTATAGTTAAAGGTTAACAGGTTTTGCATGTTATAAACTAGCTGTCATTCCCAAATACACATTGTCAGATAACAGTCATCTCTTGTAAGTCAAAAAGCCGGGTCAGTTTACTATGAAGTTACACAAAAAATTGTGGAAGTGCCGACACATTCAAAATTTTAAAGAATATCATGTAATTCCATTGTTTGGGAAAGCTTAATGCATATGGTGATAGATGGAGCTATTAGTCTGTGGTTTACACTAAACAACTAATTGAGATTGTATAATACATGGAATAAAGATATTCTTTGTGTGCATCTATGTATCTTATTCATGAAAATGGGAATAAAAAAATATGGAATAAATTGCATGTATATTTAAAAATTAAGTAAACTAACCTGTGACTGAGATTATGAGAGTTGACTGTATTTTTGTATTTTCATGTTACATTAACACACAAGTAGCAAATTATTTATCAGGGTTCTAGGTGAGGTTAGGGATTCAGGTTTTTGAATTCAACTGCATGACATTAATAAGTTTACAATTCACAGTTTTCACTAAATTTAAGGCATTTTAAGTAATATTTGCAAAGGATATGCCAAACTATTATGATTGATTTATAATGTACTAAACAGTGGATGTCCAAACAATTTTTGTCAAGCCTGCGACTTTTGTTGCAGAAAGCTTGACATAGGGATAGTGATCCGGCGGTGGCTACGGCGGCGTTATCTAACTTCTTAAAAGCTTTGTATTTTAGAAGGTAGAAGACCTGGATGCTTCATACTTTGTATATAGATGCCTTATGTTACGAAGTTTCCATCTGTCATATGTCCTTTGTCCATAACCTCATTTTCATGGTTCAGTGACTACTTGGAAAAAAAGGTTAAGATTTTTTGTAATGTTAATTTCTCTTTTATAATGAGTAATAGGATAATAGGATGCCCGTCAGACAGTTTTCACTTGACCTCGACCTCATTTCATGAATCAGTGAACAAGGTTAAGTTTTGGTGGTCAAGTCCATATCTCAGATACTAGAAGCAATAGGTCTAGCATATTCGGTGTATGGAAGGACTGTAAGGTGTACATGTCCAACTGGCAGGTGTCATCTGACCTTGATCTCATTTTCATGGTTCAGTGGTTATAGTTAAGTTTTTGTGTTTTGGTCTGTTTTTCTTATACTGTATGCAATAGGTCTACTATATTTTATGTATGGAATGTTGTAAGGTGTACATGTCTAGCTGGCAGGTGTCTTCTGACCTTGACCTCATTTTCATGGTTCAGTGGTCAATGTTAAATTTTTGAGTTTTGGTCTTTTTTTCTAATACTTTATGCAATAGGTCAACTATATTTGGTGTATTGAAATATATTATGATGTACATGTCAGTCTGGCCAGTTTTATTTGACCTTGACCTCATTTTCACGGTTCATAGCTCAGTGTTAAGTTTTTGTGTTTTGGTCTGTTTTTCTATTACTATAAACAATAGGTCATCTATATTTGTTGTATGGAAGGATTGCACGCTGTACATGTCTGCCTGGCATGGTTCATCTGACCTTGACCTCATTTTCAGTCAATGTTTAGTTTTCTTGGTTAAGTCTGTATCTTAGAAACTATAAGCAATAGGTCAACTATATTTAGTGTATTGAATGATTGTAAGGTGTACATGTATTTTTTGTTTGGTTTATATGACCTTGACCTCATTTTCTTGGATCATGTTAAGTTTATGTGATAGTTGTAGTAAAGCTTTATATTTAGAACTATCAACATAATATCAATGATTAGTAAAGAAGGCGAAACATTTCAGCGTGTGCACTCTTGTATAACCTTATCATTATTTTGATGTATCAACTTTGAAATTATCCACAATTCTGTTTGTTATCATTATTATGAAATTTAAAAAGTTTTAAATTCTATGGTAGAATAAAAACAATACCTGTACACGGTATTATCCATATTTGCAGGACATGAGTTTTACATTTTTCTTAGTTGTATTTCTATTTCAAGTATCTTAAGTGAGGGTGTGAATGGTATGCACTTATTCATTTTGGGAACTTGAGATGCTTGCATCTAACTGAACACTATTTTGATCATTGATAATCTTGTATATCAGCATTTAGATACTTAGGTCTTACTTATTAAAGCCAAATAATCATATTCCCACTCCAAGAGTGGGTTTTTTTTCAATCACCTTGTTAGTCCGTCTGTTTTCCAGGATATGTTTTCCTCACACTGTTCTCAAAAACTACTAAACAAATTGACTTCACATTTGGTCAGCAGCTTGACAGTGATGATTGTAATGTGTGAATACTTTTTTCTTCGGTCAGATACCAACTTCCTGTTTGCTGGTACTAATGAACATATCTCAAATACTACATAATAGAATAACTCCATATTTGGTTAGCAGCTAAACAGTGATAAGTTCAAATGTGTATGTGCTTTTCGGATCTGTTAGACACCTACTTCCTGTTTTCCAATAGTTAGAATCATTGGTATGCTAAGATCCACAATATGTGGAACAGGGACCCAATTATTTCCCCCATTACTTCAATGCAATTTTATCATAACTGAGGGGCAGATTTGTATTCCCTAGATTAGACTGCAAAATTTCTAAATCTAAAATGTCTAAAACAAGCATTTTTCTCGTGTTGGGATAATAACTTGTGTATAATTATTTTGATTGCTCTGAAATTGTACCACAATGTTAAATACCACAAGTAGAAGGTTGGGATTCATTTGGGGGTTATGGTGCCAACAGTTTAGGAATTAAGGGCCAAAAAGGTTCAAAAACAAGCATTTTTGTAGTTTCCAGACAATAACTTGTGTGTGAGTGTATGGATCTCTCTGACATTGTACCACAAGGTTCCATATCACAAAGGAAAGTCTGGGAATGAGTTTGGGGGTAATTGCCCCAAACATGCAGGAAAAAGGGGCCAAAAAAGGGCCAAAAACAAGCATTTTTCTAGTTTCAAGGCAATAACTTGTGTTTAAGTGAATGGATATCTCTAAAATTGTACTACAAGGTTCCATACTACAAAAGAAAGGCTGGGATTGAGTTTTAGGGTAATTGCCCCAAGGAGGGATTCAAAAATATTTTTTCCAATTTTTTAAGGGGTTCATATTTTTTTTTCAAAATTTTTCAAATTTCAAATTTTTGAAAAGTTTCAAGAAGACAGAAGAAACCTTCAGTAGCACAGTATTGTGCAATAGATTTGTAAGATCTTTGATAACATTTATTTTGTGTCAGAAACCTATATTATGTCAAAAATTTGATCACAATCCAAATTCAGACAGTATCAAGCTTAAATATTGTGTCCAAATTTGCCCCAACTGTTCAGGGTTCGACGTCTGCAGTCGTATCAGGCTGCGCTCAGCGAAGCATTTTATTTATACTAGTAGCCCCCTTCATGGTTTCTTGTAGAATTCTTCAAGGTTCAAGACCTGCATTTACGAGAGCAATACTGTTTTGAGTATTAATAGGGTCATTTTATTAACTTCCTTGCTTAAAATTGAAAATAAAATTTGGACCATTTACTCAGACAATCCTATACATTTCAGAATCACTCAAAATTTAATTGAAGTTGAAAGTTTAATGAATACCCTTTGGATATACTACAAATTTAAGCATCTTTACATAATTTTCATCTTGGTACAATATCCCATGTAAAAGATAGCAGATTTATTAAGGGATTTCATTTGTGGGTACTGGACTGGTATCCTGTAACTGGGATCCTATTCCATGTGCATTTCTGTTTGTATAGGCATTTTGCATATGTTTATATATCTGTGTCCATTCTTATCTAACTATTTTCTATAATATAGAGTATTTGAATTTTAAATCAAAATGGGAAAATAAATTAGTATGGTGTAATTTATTTTTATTTTAGTTATAGTGGATGAGGGAAGCTGACTTTAAAGTTAATAATTGCAAAACTTATTTATTCTCTACATAATTTTGGTAATTTGAAAAAATGAATGAAGATAGATATTTTATTTTCATTTGTAATTTTTTAGAACTCTGACATTTACTCTTCTCTTTTTTTCATTAAATTGGATAAAAAAAATCGTGTTACTACTATGATGGATATGATCAGTTTATATTAAAAAGATAAACTTGATTTACAAAATGAAATGCTTATTAATTTTTTATTTAGTTCAAATAAGTACCCCAATTATGAAATTCATATTTTAAAACTAATTTGAAAAAAAACAGGTTTTGTGATATGCAACTTCCACAGATAACAAACTCAGACTTTTGTTTTAACTTTGCAGGGATTAAAAAAAATATGTGAATTTCAAATACAGTTATTTAAAATATATATGTATGTATTCAATATGAATAACAGGAAGTATGGGGTATATTTCAATGAGACAGCAACCCTATGACATAAAAAGTGAAGGTCATTGTATAGATGAATTATTTACTATTATTATGTAGACTTGTTCATATGGTAGATTGTATGACATGTGTCTTGTCACAAATTGTATCCAAAATTATCTTAAAACAGTGACTAGATTACAATGAAGCTATTACAGAATATTTAGTACATACTTTAATGTTTAAAGAAGACATTAATGATACTTGATCAGAAATTCCAGTACCTAATGCCATTGTACACCTTCTATTTATTTTATATTTTTTATCATGTTTATCTTAATGGATTTTTTGGGTTTCCTTATCTAAACATTGACATTGCAAAATTCATACAAATTTTGGGAATTCATTAATATAAAGATAAGAAGATATTGTATGATTGCCAATGATACAACTCTCCACAAGAGACCAAATGTCGCCTTTATCTCTTTTTACTGAAAGAAGATTTCAAAGTGTTTTAATAAATGCATTCATGCAATGTTTGTTTATAATCATTTTATATTGGACAAGCTTGCAAAGGCAATTGATGTTCTTTGAGGAATAATATTCACGAATATACAGAAACTGATATATTAAGAAGGTACATAACACCTAAGGGAGTTAACTCTTCAAAAATCAGCTGAACATTTTAATCACATGCTATTAGTAAAAAGAAATCATTAGCTTCTCAATGATCAAAATTAGTGTTTGTCAAAGTACTGTATATCCTATGAAATTATTTCTGTAAAAAGTATGGTTCAAATTTCTTGAAATTTTAATATTTTTATCAACAGGTCAAAGTAAATATTTTATCAAATCTATCTTAGTCAAAGTATTGGGTACCCACTTAACTTACTGATAATGTCATTTTCTAGCTATATAACACCTATGACACTGCAAGAGCAGGAAATTTTGAACTCAGAATTTTGATTAGGATGGAATATAAAGTTACTTTTAGATTATACTTATAAATTATCTATGGTTTTGAACACAAGAGGGAATTTCTAGACTTGATTCCTTTGAAAGGTAATAACCTTGAGGTGAGATGCAGTGGAGAAATTTCTTCTAGTTGAACAAAACATAGAAAATCATTTATCACTATCAGTATTTTCCTAGGCAACATCTATGATGTTCTCTTATGATGTCATCATGATCTCACTCTACTCGACTGAGAAAAAAACTTTCTCAGTCGAGTAGCTTGAGATGTAAAATTATCACACAGAATGATCAAACGAAAATTTAAAAAAATTATTATAACGAATTTTATAGTATTTTTTTATACATATTTCACAAAAAAAATAGAAAATTTAGATAGTATTTTATGGTGTATTTCAGGAAGCTGGTATTAATAAAAGTAATAAGAACATACAACCAGAACAAGTAGCCAAGTTACAGTATCTATATATACAGGTAAGGAATCTGGTTACAGTTTCTCTCTATAAAGGTAATAATACACAAGATTCTAATTTCAATTTTATTTACCGACTGCTGTGTTGACCTGAGGTCATTCAGGGGAAAGCCTGTCATAGGACATTATGACGTAAAGATATTTGCTTTTTAACATCAATTTTTCGAGAGAAAAATCCCCAATTGGAAGATCAGTTATTCAAAACTTATGTTACTAACATTCATATATTTTGGGAAACCTCTACAAATATTCATTTCACAAAGATTGTGGCATACAAAACACCAATAAAAGTTCCGGTTGAAACCTATAATTTTGTTTTGTTTTAGTCCATTTAAAAAATATATGCCTGCGAGATGTACTTAAATAACTGTGATTCTTAGTCTCATTCATTTAATATGTAGCTTCATTGAGCCTCTAGTTTCGTTGTCTATGATTCCATGTTTTCTTCCATTGACAGATGGAGTTCTGTGAAAGAAGTACATTACGAAACTGTATTGATGCTGGGTTGTACTTAGATATCAATCGTCTGTGGAGGTTTTTTAGAGAAATTGTTGAAGGCCTTGTCCATATACATGAACAGGTATGGTATGGAATGGTTTAATGTTAGTGTTAAAGAATAATGTTCCTTCAGGGAACTGTTAAAGGTTTAACTAAAAATTGAAATGCATCACAATGTACATAGCTGTGAAACTGTAGCTGTTATGTTCCTTGTAATTTTTTTGACAATTTGCGGACCATAAGAGCTAAGGTTCCACAGCTACAATATACCAAAAAAGTAAAAAAATACCAAAATACAGCTGTTAACCTCCATCACATGAAAGGTGGAAGTACGCTTAGGCACTTTTTTGCTTAGCGATTGAAATATTACAAAATAATTGATATGTTTGGCAAACTTTAAATCATTAGGAATTTCAAATATTTTAGAATTCTCAGAGATTTTGGCATCAAAAGTTAGCATAGAATTAACTTTTCAACAAATATTAACAAAAATAATTTTGACATATAATTGTGAGTCAGGAATATTGAGCATATGTAGGTACCAAATAAATTTTTACATGAGAGGTGGTTTTCAAACAGTCAAAAGATTGTTGTAAATTATTAAGGTGGTACCAAACACCTTGACTAAAATTAAATTGGCTCATTTAATTTTCATAAAATTTTGACAAAATATTTACTTTGACCCTTTACAAAAATATAAAAATTTCAAAAAACATGAACCACACACTTTATCGGAAAAAATTCTTTGGATATATAGTATACAGTCCGCCAAAAGTTAAGCACCACCTAAATATAACTGGCAATATTTTTTTAACTATTGCGAAAAAAAATATTTATGTTTGGTGTTATGAATTGCCTATAACATACACTAAGAAAATTCATTACGACCAAAAAAATAAACTTTGATAAACACGCCAAGCAATTTTTTATTAAAGGTCATCTGCACTTTTTCAAATACACTGTTTCGATGCCTTTAAATCATCTTCCTACTGTCACGGGAACACCTTCACCAAGTCACTGTGAAATATGGCAAGGGGTAAGTTATATGTGACTGAAACTTGACAACCAATTGATATGTCAAATGCCGGTAGGAGCACTAGTTGCATAGGTAACCATTTCAATGTTAAACACACCGTCATTGTCAGATTTTTACAACGTCCTGTTGACACAGGAACTGTAAATGATAGACCAAGGTCCGGAAGACCCTGTTTAACTACCGATTGTGATGAAAGACTCCTTATTGGTTGTGCTAAAGCCAACCCATTTACTCCTGCCCCACAACTTAGACACCACTGGCGTCAAGGTGGTCATGTTAGTGTTCGAACATTGGTCCGTCGACTTCATGGAGGCTATCTAAGAGCACGTCGTATTGTCAAGAGACCTGCCCTAACAGCCGGGCACTGTATAATCAGGTTTCAAAGGGCTAATGACCAGCGACGCTTGAACAAGAGAAGCTGGCAAAATGTTCATTGGTCAAATGCGAGTCAGTTTCTGTTACGACCAATAGACGGCAGAATACGAGTTTGTCGTGGAAATAAAACTGCTAATGACCAAAACAACATTTGCCCAACGACTTCATACGTTGCTGGTGGTGTTACAGTATGGGGTTTCTTCTCATACTGTTGTAAGGTGGGTATGCATATTCTGCAGGGTAACATGAACGTACAGACATACAGGGATTTGGTGCTTAGAAACATTGTAGTCCCTCATTTTGATAATCCTCCACTTGCTTCAAGACCCTTGTGCATGTACGACAATGCTAGACCACACAGGGCAAGGATTGTAACCGAAAACAATGTCTCCAGACATGAACCCTATCGAACATGTCTGGGATGCCATTGGCAGAAATCTCAATCGCAGAGATCCACCTTTGCAAAATCTTAGCGATTTAAGAAGCGCAATTGTTGCTGAATAGAATAAATTTGCTCAACTAAAGTTCAGAAGGCTTGTACAGAGTATGAGACTCTGTGTTATGGAACTGTATCGGACGAGAGGGTGTTACACATCCTATTGACTTAAATATTGACATTAAATTTGCCGAACATACCAAAGATTATTTGTAGAGACTTTTAAAATGATATTGGGTGATTAATTGTTGTAAAAAAATAAAATCACAGTGAAACTTAAATTCCGTTTCTGATTTGTGTAATTTTCACTATTTCTATGAACGCAAATTTCAAATGCATAGAACCTGCATACGTGAACAAACTTAAGTCTACGGTTTGTTTATGGTATATGTTAGCAAAATTGCTACATAAATATTTTCTCTTTTTCGAGGATTAACTGATTTTTTTAAATGAAAAAAAAATCGATGCAATAAAAATAGGTGGTGCTTAACATTTGGCGGACTGTATAGTTTAACAAACACTTATTTTAATCATTGAAAATCATTATATTTCCTTAACAATAGAACTTGATTAAAACGTTCAGCTGATTTTTTACACAGTTATCTCCCTGTAGTGTAACTAGTGTTATGTAAAATATTAAGTTGGTAATTGCATGTGCTCTATTTTTTGGGTTTCAAAATTGTTGAAAATTGACAAAAATATCATATGTGCATTGTTTTATAAAAAATGTAAAGGACCTTTTTGATGGCATCAAAACTACATTTATTATAATGTCATGGAAAGTAAACTACCTGTTTTTTAGCTCACCTGGCCCGAAGGGCCAAGTGAGCTATTCTCATCACTTGGCGTCCGTCGTCCGTCGCCGTCCATCGTCGTTGTGTCGTCGTCATTAACTTTTTACATTTTAAACTTCTTTTAGAGAACCACTGAATGGAATGGAACCAAACATGGCATGAATGTTCCTTATGAGGTGTTGACCAAGTGTTGTTGCTTTGAAGCTGATCCATCATCCAAGATGGCCGCCAGCGGGGGGACTTAGTTTAGCATAGGACCCTATGGGAAATACATACAAATGTCTTCTTTTAGAGAACCACTGAATGGAATGAAACCAAACATGGCATGAATGTTCCTTTGAGGTGCTGACCAAGTGTTGTTACTTTGAAGCCATTCCATCATCCAAGATGGCTGCCAGCGGGGGACTTAGTTTAACATAGGACCCTATGGGAAATCCATACAAATGTCTTCTTTTAGAGAACCACTGAATGGAATGAAACCTAACATAGCATGAATGTTCCTTATGAGTTGCTGACCAAGTGTTGTTACTTTGAAGCAATTCCATCATCCAAGATGGCTGCCAGTGGGAACTTAGTTTAACAAAGGACCCTAAGGGAAATACATACAAATGTCTTCTTTTAGAGAACCACTGAATGGAATGAAACCAAACATGGCATGAATGTTCCTTATGAGATGCTGACCAAGTGTTGTTACTTTGAAACCGATCCATCATCCAAGATGGCTGCCAGCGGGGAACTTAGTTTAACATAGGACCCTAAGAGAAATACATACAAATGTCTTCTTTTAGAGAACCACTGCATGGAATGAAACCAAACATGGCATGAATGTTCCTTATGAGTTGCTGACCAAGTGTTGTTACTTTGAAGCCATTCCATCATCCAAGATGGCCACCAGTGGGAACTTAGTTTAACAAAGGACCCTAAGGGAAATACATACAAATGTCTTCTTTTAGAGAACCACTGAATGGAATGAAACCAAACATGGCATGAATGTTCCTTATGAGATGGTGACCAAATGTTGTTACTTTGAAGCCGATCCATCATCCAAGATGGCTGCCAGCGGGGAACTTAGTTTAACATAGTACCCTATGGGAAATACATACAAATGTCTTCTTTTAGAGAACCACTGAATGGAATGAAACCAAACATAGCATGAATGTTCCTTATGAGGTGCTGGCCAAGTGTTGTTACTTTGAAGTTGATCCATCATCCAAGATGGCCGTCAGCGGGGGACTTGGTTTAACATAGGACCCTAAGGGAAACACATCCAAATGTCTTCTTTTAGAGAACCACTGATTGGAATGGAACCAAACATGGCATGAATGTTCCGTATGAGATGCTGACCAAGTGTTGTTACTTTGAAGCCGATCCATCATCCAAGATGGCTGTCAGGGGGAGACTTCGTTTAACATAGGACCCTATGGGAAATACATACAAATGTCTTCTTTTAGAGAACCACTGAATGGAATGAAACCAATCATGGCATAAATGTTCCTTATGAGGTGCTGATGAAGTGTTGCTACTTTTTTTGCCGATTTACTGTTCAAAATGGCGACCAGGATTTTTTATTAAATTACGGGGCCAATATTAAACCAAATTTGGCCTCAATCATTATTTGGGTATCTGTTATGATTTTTATCTATTTTTACATAATTTCCAAAACCAAAGTAGAGTCAGGTGAGCGACACAGGCTCTTGAGAGCCTCTAGTTGTTTTCTATTACATAATCTTTGAATAAAATTAATGGAAATCTTGAATTATAGTTCAGATTTCAGTGATGATAATAACATTAATGGTACCATTTTTACTGCACCAGATTCTCATTTCTACAAATAATAATTAGGCTTAAAAAATTCCAATTCCTTATCACACCTTGTCCTTTAACACATTTAATCAAAATAAAAAAGAAAAGTCCAATTTTTTCTTGAGATACAGACAATTACAATTTAGATACATTGTATACATTTATTTATTTTGTTTATAGTGTTTTCATACAAACCAGATTATCATGTTGTAATTTCAGGGTATGATTCACAGAGATCTTAAACCAGTCAACATTTTCTTAGATTCTAATGATCATGTGAAGATTGGGGACTTTGGTTTAGCAACAACTAGTGTCCTGGCATCTGTGAGTTTGTTTTTAAATACTTGGCATTTAAAGACAAATTTATTATTTCAATAGCATGCATATAAAATAATAAAAAAAATTCTGTGACTCTTTTCACAAGCAATTTTCCAAGATAAATACTATAAGTCAGAAACATTTCATTTATCTTTTTGATTAATTTGAGTTGTAAAGTTTTTTGGGAGAAAACCCCAGTCTATATTGCAGGTTTTGGTTCCAATTGGTCAGTTACTTTAATATTTTATCTAATAGATATAAGAAGATGTGGTATGAGTGCCAATGAGACAACTCTCCATCCAAGTCACAGTTTGTAAAAGTAAACCATTATAGGTCAAAGTACGGCCTTCAACACAGAGCCTTGGCTCACACCAAACAGCAAGCTATAAAGGGCCCCAAAAATGACTAGTGTAAAACCATTCAAACAGGAAAACCAACTGTCTAATCTATATAAAAAACAAGAAACACTTATGAACCACATCAACAAACGACAACCACTGAACATCAGGTAAAGCTATTTTAAATTTTCAAGGTATTTGAAGTCAATTTTGATTCAATGAATTAGTTTTATTCAGCACACTTTAGAACTAGAGTTATGCCTGAGCAATTTTGATTTCAACATCTGAAATTTTACCATTTGCAAGGAAAATAGTCTTTAACAACCTTCCATAGTATTGGTTTTAAAGTACCTACCCTAGGTACTATGTATGTTTTAATGAAACCTCCCTAAGGAAAAAATGGTTTATGGACTACAAAATATTTTTATTATTACGAACCCAATGAAAGTTTTCCACAGTGCCATCTCTATATGGTCAAGGTATTTAAACTTTTGTAAGTTCACCTGTCCTATTGAATAAATACAATAGCTATTGTTCTCTGTGTAGTTTATTCTCTGGGACCTATAAATTTCTTCTTAGAGAAATCTATCACTCATTGATTAATTTACCTGAGTCATGAAATTTTTTTTCTTATAAATAGACAACAATACTTTTTTTATACTCATTAACTGCCTGTGATGATATATTTATTTAAAATTGATAATATATTATCAATCTTTTCAATATAAACACTGATTTTATCATAAAAAGTTTAAGTAATGTTCCCATTGAAATTTGCATTTTTTTGTTTTTGTTTAGTTATAGAATACATTTAAGTAGGTCTTAATTTGAACATCATAATTTTCAAGTTTTTATTTGTCAAACACACAAAAAAACAAATTCTAAAGTTTTGTCAGAAATCAACTTTTATTAATGTTTGAATCACTGTTTACATTCAACAAATTGAAAATATCTTATTAATATTGAATAAATACAATATCACATGCAGTTATGAGTATAAAGCATGTATTTTCGTCTATTTAGAAGATTTTTTTACTCAGGTGAATTAATCAATGAGTGATAGATTTCTCTTAGAAGAAATTTAAAGGTCCCAGAGAATAAACTACACAGAGAACAATAGCTATCGTATTTATTGAATAGGACAGGTGAACTTACAAAAGTTTAAATACCTTGACCAGATAGAGATGGCACTGTGGAAAACTTTCATTGGGTTCGCAATAAGTGTTACCCTTGTCCATATTTAAATTTAACATCGGGTTGAGATAGTAATTCTATATTTAAGGTATGGTAACTTGAGAATAAGCTTACTCTTATATTGCAGCAACCAAATATAGATGCTACTATGTTCAGTTTAAGTGCATTAGAATCACGAGATGGTGTATCCAAATCAATGTCAAGGTCAGATGGAGCAGGGGACTTAACTGGGAAGGTTGGAACTGCTCTTTATGTCAGCCCAGAGATGATGACAAAAATGTCATATAGTCAGGTAAGGTCAAGGTCATAGTCAATTAAGATCGAAGTCTAACATACCTTTTCCAAAGTAAGATTTGAACTCACAAACTCAGTGTTGATAGTCTAATGAAAAAGAGCAGGAAAAAATAAAGTCGCTATACTAATTAGATAGGAGAAAACAATTTGAATCAACAAATATTCAGTGCAAAAAAACAAACTTTGATTCAACCTTAATAAAAATTGGGGAATGACACGATTTTTTTATGCGAATTATAAGGGGTAAAGAAAGTGGGGATGTGGGATATAGGGGCTAAAAAAAGTGGTATCTGGGAAAAAGAAGGGAAAAAGTGGAAAAAAATTACAAAAAAGGGAAGGATTTGGGAAATGAGCACCCCGTGGCAACCTCCTCAAAAATGGAAGGGATACCCAAGCACGGAAAAGAAGAAAATCAGAATATTATTGAGGTTAAAACATAAAAAAACATAAATATGTAAAAAAGTATGTGAAACAATTTTCGATCTGTATATTAAAGTTTTACCCATACTTTGGTGTACACAAACTAGCAAAATAACTATTTCAACTTTGTGACATATCAGAAACAGTCCAGTATAATTTTCAATAGACTATTACTTGTTACAAAAAGTGCAAAGGGCAAAAATACTTTTAAACTTCAGGAATAGTCGTAAAAAAGACTAAAAAAAAGAAATACTAATGATCATATTTCTAATTGGACTCTCATGAAAGTTGAATATCATTAGATATGAAAAATATAATTTAAAATGCAAGAACAATAATCGATATTTAAATATTTTATTTACAGAAGGTAGACATGTACAGTTTAGGGGTGATATTCTTTGAGATGTGTTACAGGTCATTAACTACTGGTATGGAGAGAGTTCAGATTTTGGCTAATCTAAGGAGCAAGGAAATTAATTTTCCTGAAGACTTTGACCAGCTAGAAATGAAAAACCAGGTATATTAATAAAAGGCGTTCTGAAAGTTTAAGAGCTGCTTTTAAAGGGTATAGATTTTACTATTAGGGAAAAGCTACAATGCTTAATCAAAGTTTTGAAATGTTGTACATGGATGTTGACGGAAATTTTTTTTTTACATTTTATGGAAGAACACAGATGATCCAATTACTTGCAAAATATAAGAAATTTGATTTTGTTCTATCAAAACCTCCATTTAAATAACTTTCTAATAAGATTTCAAGATTTCAATATTTTTTTGAACACTGCTGAAACAAGAGTGTAATACAACATAAGATACAATATAACAAGGGCAAATAAGACAGACTGGATAAATATGCACATACATTACCTTGTAGTGCAACTGATCTATACAATCGTGTTAAATAGGATATGTTTAAGTACAACTGACTTGTGTAATCATGTTATCACAAACAAAATAGACTTTGATTGAAATTGAAAAAAAGATGATAATTTAGTTTTAATTTATGATCAGTTTGAAATTCTCAATAGTAAATTGAGGACATTTCAATATATTTTGTTTTCAAATATGATTGATTGATTGGTATTTAACACCACTTTCAGTACTATTGGCTATTTTTTGGTGGTCAGTTTTTATTGTTGGAAGAAGCCCGAGTGCAAGGAGAGAACCACCTACCTTTGGTAGGTAAACTGACAATCCCAGTCAATTAAGAGTGGAGTCAAGCCCACCTACCATGTGCAGGGTTCAAACTCAGAAACTCAAGCCAGTAATACAGTAGTTGGACTTAGACCACTCCGCTGCCGTGGCCCTGTTTTTGTTGAGTCTGCGACTTCTGTCACAGAAAGCTCGACATTGGGATAGTGATCCGGCTGCCGCGGCGTTAACTAACTACTGAAAAGCTTAATATTTCAGAAGGTAGAAGACCTGGATGCTTCATACTTTGTATATTGATGCCTTATGTTATGAACTTTCTATCTGTCATATGTCCTTTGTCCTCCACCTTATTTTCATGGTTCAGTGACTACTTGAAAAAAAAGTTAAGATTTTTTGTAATGTTAATTTCTCTCTTATTATGAGTAATAGGATAACTATATTTGGTATGTGCGTACCTTACACGGTCCTCGTGCCTGTCAGACAGTTTTCACTTGACCTTGACCTCATTTCATGGATCAGTGAACAAGGTTAAGTTTTCGTGGTCAAGTCCATATCTCAAATACTATAAGCAATAGGTCCACTATATTTGGTGTATGGAATGATTGTAAGGTGTAGATGTCCAACTGGCAGGTGTCATCTCACCTTGACCTCATTTTCACGGTAAAGTGGTTAAAGTTTAGTTTTTGTGTTTTGGTCTGTTTTTCTAATACTGTATGCAATAGGTCAGCTATATTTAGTGTATGGAAATATTTTACGATGTACATCTCAGTCTGGCAGGTTTTATTTGACCTTGACCTCATTTTCATGATTCATTGCTCAATGTTAAGCTTTTGTGTTTTGGTCCGTTTTTCTTAAAATATAAGCAATAGATCAACTATATTTGGTGTATGGAATGATTGTAAGGTTTATATGTCTGTCTGGCAGGTATCATCTGTCCTTGACCTCATTTTCATGGTCATTGGTCAATGTTAAGTTTTCCTGGTAAAGTTTGTTTCTTAGATACTATATTTAATATGTCAACTATATTTGATCCATGGAATGATTGTATGTAAAGTGTACATGTCTGTCTGGCAGGGTACATCTGACCTTGACCTCATATTCATGGTTCATTGGTCAATATAAAGTTTTCATGGTTTGGTCTGTTTCTTGTATACTATAAGCAATAAGTCAACTATATTCAATGTATGGAATGATTGTAAGGTGTACATGTATTTCTGGCTTGGTTTATCTGACCTTGGCCTCATTTTCTTGGATCTTGTTAAGTTAATGTGATACTTTTATGAAAACTTTATATTTAGGGCTATCAACATAAAATCAATGGTAGTAAAGCAGTCGAGACATTTCAGCGTGTGCACTCTTGTAAAATATTATACTGTAAACTCAGAAATTATTGAGTGTGTTTTTTATTGTGATTTTTGGAGAATGCGAGTTGAATTTTTTTACGATTTTTGGAAGAGCTAAATACAGATATATATTAGATACCAGAATGCGAGTTATTATTGTGATACTCAAGTAGTCACATTTTTCGCATTGATAAAAACCTCACAATAATTTCTGAATTAACAGTATACAATAAGAAATATTATCATCTGCTGTAGGCTAACTTCAAAATATTGTTTTATCAGAATTACAATTGTTTATGTAGATCTGTTTTTTTTATTATACAATGCACAGGCCTTATTATGACCTTCACTTTTTCCCAGGTGTAACTCAACTACTTTCGAGTGAAATATTTAATAAACAACAACCTGATTTCACTATATGTTAGCTTTTTATATATCCATTTTCAGACAAGTATATTAAAAATGTTGATGAACCATGACCCCTCACAAAGACCAACATCGGCAGAATTACTTAAATCGGAATACATGCCACCTCCCCAACTAGAGGAGGCAGAACAGAATGAGATCTTACGATCTACGATCTCTGATCCTCATAGTAAAGCATACAAACGTCTCATTAATGAGTTGTTCTCACAGACCATCACTTCAGCAGACGACCATCTGTATGATAGTGATTTTCATAAGGTATTTTTCGTAATAAATTTCACTAGAGAGTGGGCTTAGCTAAAAATGGCTACATAACAAAAGCATGTTTCATGCTACGGAAGGGTTCTTGGATATTGTATTTGTAGAAACTGACATATGAAATCATGTACTGTTAACTATATTAATTAAATTTTGCGATCATTTGATTTTTAAAACTTTAGTAGAAAACTTATAGGCCAATATGTCAAAATTGTAAAAATGAATTGCCATGAATATGAAATTAAGGAGATGTGGTACGATTGCCAATGAGACAACTATTCCCTAGAGTAGAAATGTAGATGTAAGCAGTTATAGGTCACTGTATGGCTTTCAACAATGAGCCAAACCAATATCGTATAGAACGCCATAAAAGGCCCTGGCATTACAAAATATTAACTATTTCAAAATGAAAACCAACATCCTGATTTATGACGAGGCAATAAAGAATAAAACAAATATGACAAACAGCAACAAATGACAACCACTGAATTACAGGTTGCCTGAATTTGGACAGGCACATAAATCTGAAGTCAGACAAAGGCACATGAAGTCTGCTAGAAAGAGGTTAACAAACAATAAAGAATCTGCTGAATAAGTAGGTTTACAGTATCATTGAAACAACAATTGATTTTTTAACAGTTGAATTCAGATAATGTCATGAAATATTTTTGAAAGCTCTGAAGTAATAAAGATACACGTATAAGTGGTATTGAAAATCACTTGGAATAAAAATTGCCTGAAGACAAGAAAAAGATATTTATTCTTCCACTAATAATGATTAAAGGGGTATTTGAAAACCCTCATACAAAAATTTTGACTGAAAATTATCTTCAAGAAATAAATTATTTTTGACATGTAGGCTGGTGAAATATTTTTATAGAGTAATGGTTTTGTTTTTTCCCACATATACAGTGAATACGTAATGTTTATAAACATTTCATAACTCTTTTTACAGGGTGGTATTACAATCAAAACAGCTTTGACCAATGAGCTAGTGTATGAAAACCTGATTAGAATATTTCAGAAACATGGTGCTATCCCGGTGTTATCTCCCTTTTTCATGCCTAAATCATCAGTATATGACAAATCGGAGAATTATCCCTGTTTCATGGACCACAGTGGACTGCTTGTTGGACTACCATTTGATCTCAGGGTATGCTATCTATGTAAAATCTTAGTCCCTCTGATCTTTAGGACTGATTTCCTAATGCTTACAAAATAATATAGCTAATTACTATTACTTTTCACGACTATATCAGTTGTTGTTAATGCTAACTTATATCAAAATATGCAACCATGTTAATCATCCTGACTTTGTTCAAAGACAGATTACAACAAGAGTCTGGAAACGGTCATATTTGCCAGTCATGTCCTAAGATGAAACTATTTGTCCTAAACGAGTAATTGGGATTTAGGACAAATTTTTATTTTTTTACAGAAGTAATTTTGGTCATTTCATTGACTCAATGACAATGTTTGAAATCGGATTTCTTAATCGCCATTTTGCACTTGTGATCACTTGTTTTTGTTTATAATCCCTTTCCTGTAATAAAACTGCCATTACAGTAGTTTGATAATCCTGAGGGCCCTCCTAATATCTATATCAATGCCTCCGGGAAACATTGGCTAATGATTGCTAATCACTTTTTACCTGTGGTTTTAATTCACACCTGACAGTGATCACAAGCTCAGAATAATATCTTTAAAACATTAAAGTTCCCTGACAAGTGTATTCATTATTTATTTACTTTTCATCAAAGACAGTCATCAATTCTGATTTAAAAAATAAATCTAAATTTACGTAGAAAAAAGTATTTTTTCATGAGTAACACATGTGCTTTATTTACTATGTAATACGCATGCGTGAAATTGTCTTCAGCAAATTTATATTTAATTGTAAAATGCAAATTGATTTCATGCTAAATTAAACGAGTGCAACTATTATCTGTTATATTCAAACACTTTTAAAGGTAATAAAATAAAAAAAAGCCATAAAAAGCCGGTGATTTACTGTCAATTTGATAAACAAAACAAATCCCGGAAATGAATCCAGAATTATTCGTACTTTAAAATATCGCAAGCTTTCGGTTTTAACTTTTGTCAAATCGAAAGAAACGTATGCAATGTCTGAGAAATTAACCATTTTGAGTCATTAAAATCATTTCAATTTTAGACTGTTGCCTTCCCTAAACTGTCCTTCATGGTAATGATAAGACATTTACTTAGTAAATGCGATGAAAAAGCAATACAAGTTCATCATGTTCGTTGATGCTATGAATATAGTCAAGTTGATAACGACAATTTGAAAAGGGGCACCAACTTTTCAAACATCTCAAAATGACCGAAATTGTCTGGAAAAAATTAAGGATCCTTGGATTACAAGGTGTACTCACGATAAAACAATATGTGTAATACAAGAGCTAGACCTCTTGAGACACAATTCTTGTGTTCGGTTTGAGCACCCGCTTGGTTTGAACCAACAAAAAAAATTGGTATTTTTCTCCAATAATCATACAACATTTAGTTGGTAAGCACAGAGTCAAATATCATGTCTTGGTGTGTAAAAATGTCTTCCTGCAACAGTTATCTTTTGAGATGACATGTTAAAAAATTTGGCTCAGGGTGTCAGTTTTGCCTAAAAGGTGTAATCATATACATGTACCATTGTAATCATCTTCCTGAATATATACCGGTTTGTAATATTTGTTGCTGGATGTGGAGGAATGACAGACATCATTTCACAATATACATGTATATAAACTAGATGAAACATTCAATATATATCTTCATGCTATTTTCAAAGAATTTCTGCCTTCATCATGAATTTGTATGAAATGTTTCATGGGCCAAACCAGAATTTTTAAAAAGTAACCCAGTTGAGCTCACTGAAAATGTGAGCCTAAAATTAGTCTAGACAGTCATACGTCAGAAAAATTTACTAAAAACACTTACACTTTCTGCCAGAACAGATGGTGGGATATTAAGCCAACAATTAATTTATCTATTTCAGGCACCATTTGCTAGATACATTGCCAGAAATAATATCACAAATTTAAAAAGATATTGTATTGGGAAAGTGTTTAGAACGAAGAAACTTCATAAACTACATCCCAGAGAACTGACAGAGTGTGCTTTTGATATAGTTACCTCTTCCCAAGGCAGGTAAGTAAGACATAAACTACATCCCAGAGAACTGACAGAGTGTGCTTTTGATATAGTTACCTCTTCCCAAGGCAGGTAAGTAAGACATAAACTACATCCCAGAGAACTGACGGAGTGTGCTTTTGATATAGTTACATCTTCCCAAGGCAGGTAAGTAAGACATAAATTACATCCCAGAGAACTGACAGAGTGCTTTTGATATAGTTACCTCTTCCCAAGGCAGTTAAGTAAGACATAAACTACATCCCAGAGAACTGACGGAGTGTGCTTTTGATATAGTTACCTCTTCCCAAGGCAGGTAAGTAAGACTTAAACTACATCCAAGAGAACTAACAGAGTGTGCTTTTGATATAGTTACCTCTTCCCAAGGCAGGTGATAAGACTTAAACTACATCCCAGAGAACTGACAGAGTGTGCTTTTGATATAGTTACTTTCCCAAGGCAGGTTAGTGGTATATAATAATGAAAAGATTTAGACGCCTCTTCTTATGGCAGGTAATTACTATACAACCTACACCACAGAGATATGCCATCAAATGTGATAGGGGCCTCGGTGGCCGAGTGGTCTAAGTAGTATCTACTGTATCACTAGCCAGTCAACACTGAGGTTGTGAGTTCGAATCCTAAACAGGACAGATACACTTGACTCCAATTTTAATTGACTAGGATTATCAGTTTTCCTACCGAAGGTGGGTGGTTCTCTACGGGCACTCCGGCTTCCTCCACCATTAAAAACTGACCACCATGAAATAGCACACGAAAGTGGCATTAAACACCAATCAATCAAATGTGATAATTTTAATTCCTCTGGTAAGTCCATGCATTTCATTGATACAACATCAAAAGAATGGATTTATAGGACAAACTATTTTACAACACTAGCTAGCATTAAAATTATGGCTTCTCAGGAGAGATAAGGAAGACATATACCATAGTCAAATTAAAGTAACATCTTTTTAGGGCCAGTAATATTACAAATAACAGCCCAGAGGTATAGCTACAATCTAAGGAATGACAAGTAAGGGCTATTCCATTAAATGTATGTGGGAGGGTAGGAAGGGAAGTTTAATTATTGAATGTGGGTCATTGGCCTTTTTCAGTATGCATCTATTACCATTATGCAAAATTATCTAAAAAATGGTTCTTGGTTATAGGAATATTTTGAAAGTCCCTTCCTACCCTCCCACATACTTTTAATGGAATAGCCCTTATATATTAACAACCTATAGAATCATCCTTTAATGTCTTTAGCCAGTCAGTGTGGTTAGCTTATATTCCTGCCACATAGCAGTTTTTTTAGAAAATATATTTTCTGACAACAGACAAGTGTCCAAGTAATTTTAACTCTAAATACCTAAGAATATTCATTACATCACAAAACTTATCTTAAAAGTCCATTATGCATATTGGAATTTTCATTAATGAAAATTGAAGTAAGTGAAGTCCACAAACTTTTTTCTATTCCCTAATTTATAGTATAGTAACAGAACATAGTTCCAGCCATTATTCAGTAATAGGACATGATATAAGAAATCTGAGACATGTTTTTGGGTTACAAAAAATATTAAAATTTTCTCCAAATATGGCACTTTGTGAACATGTTGAATATTTCCTCTTTGAAATATGAGTAAGAGTGTGTCTAAGCAGTAGCTCATTGATTCTTCTTTCTTTTAGTTTCTCAACTGTCTTTATATCTCAGCAGACGACGACAAAGATACAGCATTTCAAACATAAACAGTTTGCATTTTCAAAAAAATGACTTTTCTGCTACTTAATTATAATTGTTATATGCCTTTCAAGTGTACAAGTATAATTTTTATTCAAAATTTTCAAGAAACAATTAGGCTATAAACTTAATATTTGACTGAAACTGATGCTGGAATTGACATTTTATTTCCAGCTTGATACCAGATGCAGAGATACTGATTGTTGTACAAGAAATTATCAATGAGTTCCCAGCATTGCAGGTAAGAAATAATGTTGAAGACAGGACACACTGTTGTCGCTAAAAATACCTTAAATATTTTAACCACAGAAAGAAAAAGAATTTGGGGTAGATCCCTATTTGATATTCACTCCTCTGTTTCAAAATAACAAGCTTTTTAAAAGACTATTAAAAATTGATAGTATATAAATAATGGAATTAAAAAGAAAAAAAAATGAAGGGTCAGTGTCCTTGTTTTTGAGATATAAACAATTGAAAATTTGGCAGGAAATGGTTCTCTCTAGATTTTTCATACATTTAACATTGACACATTTTTCCTTTAAAAAAACTATGAAAAAATAAAAAGAGTTTTATAAGATTTTCAAAATTGCTTTTTAAACAATATGTAATAAAATTTTTAAAGTAAGAGTAAGTGGGTAAACATTTTTATTGGGACTGTTTGGATAAAACTAGAGGATTCCAAATATCTGACAAAAAGTCATAAACAAGAGTATCACACATCCTTTAGAGTTGGCATAGGGTAAAAAACTATTAGACTACCTCTTAAGATAGTTACAAAAGTAATCAATAATGGTTTGATTCTGAGATGGATTGATTAATTGAATGATGGTGTTAAAGTGCTGTCTCTAGCTGTGCAATGGCTAGATGAAAATATGTAAAAAATATCACAATTTAAAGTCAGACAGATTACCCATCACATAGAAATATGTTAAAACAATATTGTACTAATTTTACAGTACTAGATGCATATTTTGACAATTAATGTCTCTGCAGTGATGCTTGAGGCCAAAATATTTAAAAAAATAAAATCTGATACAAACTTTGAAGTGCTGATATATTAAATGGAAAAGGACTTAAAAGTATAGCCAAAACACAGACAAGGAATCTGACCTATGCATGAGAGAGAGACATTTTTAAAATGAATCTATTTAAGTTAAAAAAAAACCATACAGTGAATTACACTTTTATTGCAGTCAAGAAGTTACTATGTAAAGATTAACCATGTGACTATACTGCGAGCAGTACTGATGCATACTGGTATAGAAGATCATTTTTTTGATGATGTTATGACAGCATTAAGTGGACCAAAGGTAGGTCATACCAATTAAGGTTTTCTTTGATTTGAATTCCTGGGCCTTGAAAACGCGAATACAAAAAGCACATGGTGATGATAAGAACATTTTATTTTACATGTATTAACTCACTGAGTTTTATGCCAATTCATATTGCTTTTCATTTATGAAAGGGAACATGTTCTTACACCTACAGTTGTTTCTTTTTGATTATAGTTTTGTATAGCTGCTCTAGTATCTTCTTACTTTTATTTGATTGTCTGTTAATCCAACAATTGCTTTTGAGATAGAATTTTGCACATTGGATTAGTTACAATTTTTTCTTCGATTGATAAATAACTGATCAAATTAATTACCTTTATTTCTCTTATGGTTGCGTCCTGTTATATATTTCTGGCATTAAGAGATATTTCTCGTATCACACTGCACTGAGTCTGATACGAAAAAGTGATGGGAAAATCTGTGTTAATTTGATTGGCTTATCCATCATCATGAGACGATATTACGACATTTCCATTGGCTATTCGTTAGTTCATTGATGACTTTCAAAGGTTAAGACTATGTACATTTCGTCCATGGCAACTGACATATTTGATTTCTTCAGTAATATACAAAACACTCACAGTTTTCACCTGAAAATCTTCTTTTGGTCAAATTTGATTATATTCTGAAGCGTATGAAAAGTTTTAAAATGTCTGATGTTAAAGTTTGACACTGGAACAGGACATATGACGTCATACTTGTATGTGCAAAAGACTAGATTAATTTTTAATTTAACATGAGAGTGTTGCCCATAAGAGAAATAGGTTTAACAACTTATGAGAATTAGATATCGCTTGATATCAACTCTCGTTATTTAATTTAAATAGAAATGATAAACACGCCAAAGGCTTGTTTATTATTATATTGAAATTAAATAACTCGAGTTGATATCAAACGATATCTAATTCTCACTCGTTATGAAACCTATAAATATTTGGGTTTTATTTTATTTGTAGGTAGACAGTAAAACACATACCAAATCTTTATATACCTTAGGACTTTCAGAACAAGTCACATCATCTTTACTTAATATTCTGGAGATGGAGGGACCATTTGCAAAGATTTCAAGCTTTCTGAGGTGTATCACAAAAACAAAAGGGGAGGTAAGTCATTAAATACAATGGTCTTAGAAAAATTGGTCTATTCTTAAAGTATCAGCATTTTTGCACCATTGAGAAAGAGATTTAGAATGATTTAATTTGTTTGATATAATTGTAATGGTTATGACACGGACAAATTTTCTTCATGACCAAAATTTAACTATTTTATTATTATTATTTCATTATTTTTAAATATTATATTTTTTTATAATAGGATTTTAATCCAAATTACACAATTCTAAGATTAGACTCTTGTCTCAAGTAGATTTAAGTGAATGAAAACAAAGGGAGGTAATTGTTCATTAAAATATAGAAAATTATATAAACTTATTTTACAGAAAATCCTTTCAACAATTTCATTGGGAGAAAAACTAGATTTTCAAACAACAATGAGATTCCTTCATCATAATTTTAATTCAATGTAAAAATTTTCATGATGAAGTCTATTTTATGTGCTTAAAATCTTGAGATTTTGAAAAGTTAACAGGTATGGCTAAAATATACAATTACAAAAATTTTCAGGTAATATTTAAACATCAAACTTATTGAAAAATAAAAAAATAGTCAGTGTAAAAACTTTTGAAATAAATAAAATGTTTGTGGATAGGTACAATTTCTCTGGAGAAAAGTAAAATAACAAAAATACCGAACTCCAAGGAAAATTCAAAATGGAAAGTCCCTTATCAAATGGCAAAATCAAAAGCTCAAACACATCAAACGAATGGAAAACAACTGTCATATTCCTGACTTGGTACAAGCATTTCCACAAATGTACAGATAGAAATTAATGAAAACTGTATGTAAAGTGGAAAATAATAATCTAATAGAATTTCATAATATTCATAACAAATGAGCTACGTCAAATAGAAATCAACCTTATGCAAATGGATATCAATACTTCCGTTAACTTATTTTGGGTTGAAATAATCTATAAGGAAGTCTGTAACCAAGTAACTGTTTGAAAATTGAGTTGTTATAAGAACCCTACAAAACAGACCAAAAATTCATCTTTTATTTCGTATTTGAATGTACTAAATCAATCAAAGTCTTATACATGTATATGTATACGTGCACTTGCATAAGGTCGATTTCTATCCGACGCAGCTCAAATGTATTTTAGATATAAGTTGTTCAAAGTATTGATAAAAATAGAGTTTCTGGGGAAATTTTTTTTAATACAAGGCTAGAGAAAAGCAAGAGGGGTTTCAAAATACTGTGAATTCATTTATTTTTGTGGGTATCAATATTTGTGGATTGAGGAAAAATTGCATTTTCATGGATATTTGATTTTGTGGTTTTTTCCAAAATCTACAAACAAGTCTTTAGAAAATTTGTACTTGTGAAAAAAATGGAAAATTTGTAGTTCATCTTTACTCACAAAATCAACGAAAATTGGTATCCCATGAATAACAACGAATTCACTGTAAATAAGAATGGTTGGCAACTTTAGAAGGGAACTTCTTTAAAAGCAATTTTCACCTCAACATAGCCTTATTGTGCTGAGACGGTGTAAATCAACCACCAATCAATCAATCAATTAAATAGAATTTCTGGAATTAGTCTTTCATATGTGTTTTTGGTCCAGAGTTTTCTTAATTGGATAAGTCCAAGAAGTCATTTTGATATGCATCTAATTGTACTATATATTTCAGGCAGCATCATTAGCTAAACAAGGATTACATGAATTAGAAACTGTTATAAACCATGCTATGTCTATGGGATGTAAACTGCAGGTAAGGAATGAATTATTTGGTGTTTTGCATTGCAATGAATGTTATCTGCTATAGAACTTTTGAAGAAGTTCTTCATGATAGACCATTGATCTTTAGAAATCTGATGAATAAACATCTGAATATCACATTTAAAGAATATTTTAAAAACCCTCTGATTCCTAAGACATGTTCTTATATCAGGTGGTTATCAAATTCAAAGTTGTTTTTTGAAGTGCTTTTAAGCGATATTCACTACCATATATATCAACATGCAAATGATTTGATTAAGAAATCATTTGTTCATGCCATGCTGTATGCTCATTTACTAATGGGTAGGCATTATATTTGTCAGTATCTTTATATCAAGCATTAGCGAGATGTAAAATGTTGACAAATATAGTGCCTACCAATATTTAAATGAACGTAGAGCATGGCATGATAAATTCTTTGGATTCAAATGAAAAATTTATAGCTTTTGTACTTTGAATTAGACCTTTAAGACACGCTCTAAAGAAAGAATTTTGATTAAATGAAGCCAAAAGGTTATAGAAATTTTTTTTTTTTTCATGATTAAAAAAGGAACAAATACATGTAAACTTACTTTAAGAATGATTATGTTTAAAGTTTACTTTATATGGCAAGCTTAGTGACTTGAGAAGATGCAAATGTTATCAATAATGGTGATCAACAAAAATGTTCAAATATCTAAAGAATATACCAAATATTTGTAATTTCTGCCCCCCTGAAAAACCACCAAAACAAAAGTAAATTTTTTTTTTAAAAACAACCAAAACTAGTTTGATATAATTTTTGCTGTGCATGTACTGATTTTGTGTCATGGATGGATACCCCATATCCTTTGTTTTTCTATTATGCAAACTGTGAATTTACCTTATATTTCTATTCATTTTGATTTAACTTATTTCAGATGATTGTTTCCTTAGGATTTTTGTATAGTGTTCATCAGTATTCCGGAGTCATTTTCCAAGTTATGTGTGACCATAGAAAGAAAAATCGTAACATTCCAGATGTGTTAGCTGTAGGCGGCAGATTTGATGACTTGGTATGAAAGGAATGCTTTAATAATTTTGACCATCAAATATGAAAAGGATAATTGTATTTTAAATTTTTTGGTACTTGGGTCATTGCGTTTTGTGATCAGATGTCAATTGCTGCTTTTTTACAGCCTGTTCAAACTGAAATCTAATACTTTCAATGGTACCTTGAAACTTATAAGGATACTGATTTTTGAAGTACAATGAATATGTTTGAGGGTTTTAAACTAGTTTTTGTAAACACTTTTGTATTGATTGGATTCACATGGGTAGAGGGGAAATCAATGCTTTATCAGATATAGTGACTTTCTTGCCTTTTTACCAAAAAATCTACCTTTTAGATTCTGTAAGATTTTTAATTGTGATTTTTTTTATTGCAGATCTCAAAGTTTCATTCACCCATTACTCATTCATTATCACAACAATACAGTATTACCCAGCATGCAGTTGGAGTTAGCATTCATTTTGAAAAAATTGTCTCAGCATTAGTGGATTATCCAGAGGTAATTATTACACTCTCACAAAAATTTGGTACATTTGTTAAAAATTGCTTGCATTTTCTCATGTCACCTTTGATTGGGTATTTTGTAACTTGCATAGTATAACCAATGACAAAATGCAGACCTTTTTCACTGTTTGGGGTCCTGAATGCTTCTAGTTTGGGGAGTATAGACACAACACTGTTTTTGTTGAAAATCAGCAGTACTATAGGTGTCAGACCACCAATTACTCCCTCCAATTTAGAATGTATGTGAAAGTAGGCCTACTCTGACAAAAATAGTGCATTTGATGTCATTGTTTACTTAAACTAACCAACAAATTGGAAGAAATGAAACTTTTGGTGAAAGAGAAATATATTAAGACCATTTTGAGCCAAAATTTACTTGTCTATGAGTTTGCATTCAACATTGAGGATTAATGCACTCCATAGTATACTAATTTAAGATTTCCAGAAAACCAGGGGTTATTTTTAGTGGTACCTCTATTCGGGAGACCTCTTCTTTCTTATATGATTTTAAACGTATGTTGAAAATTGGCATGTAGAAAGCTGATACATGTACAATTCAGGATATACCTGGTTTCTATGAAGTTAAACTTAAGGTAAAATATTTAGAAGGCTGTAAAAATTGCAAAATTTGGTTGAACAGATAGGGACTTTTAATTGGTGGTCTGACACCTTTAAAGCAAAATGCGGCGAAACCTCAAAATCAGAAAACAATTTATTATTTTGTCTTAACTGATCATTTGAAATGATAGTAGCCACATTTCAATCTTTTTTGGGGCAAAATGTCACATATTGCAAATTTAGAGCCTTAAACCAGAGTTTGTGCTATTTTTAGCTTTTCTCACCCTGACAATATGCTTTTATATAAAAAAAATGTCCTAAATTGTTATAAATGCACAGAAAGTTGTTTCTGTGGTGTTAAACATTAAAACATAGGTTGTTTACTACCCCCAAAAAAATGTTGTCATGAAGATTTAATGAAATTATTTGATTTTACCCCTTATATCATTGCGTCATACCATGTATTTGGCAGATAGCATAGCCTAATGTAAACACTGCAGAAACTCACAAAAATACAATTTATTATTCCAAATGAAATTTTTATATCTTAAATTTCATTGACTGATGTAAATAAAAACAGTTAAATGACCATGACTGCACTTTTGATCAATTAGTAGTTCTTTACTGACACCAGGTGAAAAAAAGGGGGGTCAATATTCCTTGACACTTCAATACCTTGGATTTTTTACTAAACTCATTGCAAAAATTGTGGAAAGTCTTTAAGGCAGTAGAACAAACTAGGAAAAATCAACAAAAACTGATCTTGATATTGAAAGTTTATGTTCCTGTAGCCCAAAATGAAATCTTCAAGTATCTTCTATCAAAGTCATACATTACAGTCAGTTTAAATTGAGCTGTGAAATTTTTGATATAAGTCGCATTATGCTCAGATAGGCTGTTTTTAACTACAAATTGACTAAGGATTAAGGATAAAGCAAAACAAAAGATTTCTAATCAACTTTTTTGTCTCTTTAGGTGTCAGACCACCAATTACTCCCTCCAATTTAGAAAGTATGTGAAAGTAGGCCTACTCGGACAAAAATAGTGCATTTGATGTCATTGTTTACTTAAACTAACCAACAAATTGGAAGAAATGAAACTTTTGGTGAAAGAGAAATATATTAAGACCATTTTGAGCAAAAATTTACTTGTCTATGAGTTTGCATTCAACAATGAGGATTAATGCACTTCATAGTATACTAATTTAAGATTTCCAGAAAACCAGGGGTTATTTTTAGTGGTACCTCTATTCGGGAGACCTCTTCTTTCTTATATGATTTTAAATGTATGTTGAAAATTGGCATGTAGAAAGCTGATACATGTACAATTCAGGATATACCTGGTTTCTATGAAGTTAAACTTAAGGTAAAATATTTAGAAAGCTGTGAAAATTGCAAAATTTGGTTGAACAGATAGGGACTTTTAATTGGTGGTCTGACACCTATATAATAACATTTGATTGTAAGATGTAAGCACCATGGTAAATGTCTTTGAAATACGTTTGTACTTTTTCTAAAGAAATTTTAAGTATAAATATTAAATTAGAATATGATACTGTGAAAGTGCTTTTATTCATGGGTATCAATTTTTGTGGTTTGAGCAAAAGTTACATGTTTGTGGGTCCGTAAATTTGTGGATTTTAGTTTTCTGAAAAAAATTGAGTGAAGAATTTGAAGCTATCTGAAACGAAGATTCTTGAAAATAATCAATGTTGTTTTATAATGATTTGTAGGACATTACAAAATATGGTGTTCATTTTCACTGACTTTCATTACTTACATCATTCTTCAAATTTTTAATAAAATAGAGGCTTTCAAAAATAAGCTGATTCATCTATGCTTACACATTGTCTTGATTAAAGGAAATTGCAAAGTTAACATTTTAGATGTTGCAAATGTGTAATCAGAAGTGATGACACTAATTAAACCCGTGATCGAATGATCAAAGGTGATAATTGGGCCATAACCATGTCACTTAAAGAAAACAATTACAAAAAATAATGCTACAAATGTACTTTGAATTGTAGAATTATTTCATATGAAATCAAAAAAGCATGCCCAAGACAAAGAATTATGAGGAGATAAAATTAACATGTCATCATCGCATATCATCACCAGAAGTCTGACTTTCATTGATCAAAACTAATTTTTCATGAGAATTACAGCAGAATGCATTGAGTGTGTAGGTGGAGGTTTAATCTTTGGTTAGCTTGCTTGTTAGCTGAACCGTAAAGTCATTATTAGGTGAGGTATACTTCCCTCCTTTCGGAGTAGTCTAGTCCTACGGACAGATAGATTGATTATCTGTGGGACTAGTCTACTCTTAAAGGAGGGTAGTTTACCTAACCTAATAATGACTTCACGGTTCAGCAAGCAAGCAAGCTAACCAAAGATATTACATTTACCTACACACTTGATGCATTCTGCTGTAAGGGTTAAAAATCATACAATTTAGGTTTTTCAAAGATCAAATGGGTAAAATCCTGTCTTAAGTTGTATATGCAGTTCATAGTGTGTTTGCTGATATTCAATGTATTCTCCAGACTATATGCCCGTATCCATGTAGTCAAACCTACATAGGGATCTTTACATGTCTTGATTTGGACAACAGTCGTTATTTTTTGTTGGACACTTAAATACGTGGATAAAGCCATCCAAGAAAGCCACGAAAATTGGTACTCCACGAATTAAAGTACTTTCACAGTATTCAAATAAAAGTAGACAAAAAAGGACACATTATCTCAATAACTCATTTTGAACAGACTCATCTTTGCTCTTCCTACTAAATACTGCAGACTTAACTTTACCTTATACGTATGGGGAGCATTCTACAATGAGACAAAAGAAGAAGGATATTACACATTTTAAAGGGCTTTTGCAAATTAACTTTTGCTTAATTTTTACAGAAAGCATAATGCTACTTTACTATCATACTGCTTATTTTTCAGTACCAACCAAGTAGTAGGTGTGATGTATTAGTGTGTGCCATTGGACATAAACCAATGTTAAAGGATCGAATGACCATCATCAAAGATTTATGGGCTGCTGGTCTCAAGGCAGAATTATTGCTTGAAACTATCCAGGTACAGGTCCTATTCTTTGATATGAATAAAAGGAGATTTACATTAACATTGATAGGACAACAACCTAACAACATTAAGTCTTAAAAATAGATATCTATAGATCATCATGTGATTTCCAACAATGGGGAAGAACTCATACACACTGTGTGGCAAGTTCTAAATTACTCCAAGTTTTTAAAATACAGTTAAACTAGTCTTGACCAAACCTCTAAAGGATTGAAGAATTTGTTTGGTTTATACAGGATCAAAATATATACAGTAGATATTGGTATATATTATTTGTATGCCCCTGCCACGTCATATGGGGCATTAAGTATTACCCTTGTCCGTCTGTACGGCCATCTGTATGTCCAAAAATTAGTTTAAGTTTGCCTCAACCAAATGTTATGAAACTTATATACAATGCTTATAACCACAAAACACAGATCAAGTTCCAATTTGTGTTGCATCACTTATACTGTTATGTCCCTTTATAATGTCATATGCAAGTGGGGGCATCATCTATGTCCCATGGGCGCATTCTCCATTTATTTGTATTAAGTCAGAAATCACAAATACAAACCAATAATTTTTGCTCAGACCACAGGAATAGGAGTCCACAAATTCAAATACATGTACTTTCATAGTACACAAATAGACATAACAGAAGCGACAACCATTGAAAAGATTTGTGATATGGGACAAGGGCATAAATATAACAGATTGTTGATGGAGAAATGTTCATTGTTATGTTGTTGAAATGGCAACAATACAGACAACAGTAGTTTACCAAGTTTAAATCTCATCAATCCATCAAGGGAAAAAAATTAAATCTGAGGGTATTTACCATTTCAGAATCTAATGCATTCTGGGTAATATTTTCAAAAGTGTACACCTAAATGTTGTGATTGGTTAAAAAAGGAAAACCAATGGAAATTCAACCAATGATGTGATGTTATTTTCATTTTGGGGTACGAACAATTGAATTACCCATAGTCCTTTAGTTTCTGAAACGGCCTCTGGGGCGGATCCAGCCATTTTTAAAAGGGGGGGTTCCCATACCTGCCAACTTTCACGATTTAGGCGTATACTACACGATTTTGACCTTTTGTGACGATTGCATGGTTGGGATCGTGAAAAAACCTCTAAAACACGATTTTGTGAAAATCTACACGAAAAATATGATTGTTCCCGATTTTGAATTGTACCGAAGGAAGACAATCGTCATCAGCCAATCAAATTCTGTGTTTCTCATGATCAAATTAATAAGCCAATCAAAAACGTTTTCTCTTAAGATTATTCTAACATGCTAGATTTTGAACTTGTGTTGTATTCCTCTGTGGGTTAGTCAGAATTGTAAAATCATGCACATGGAAGGTTAATTTTCATCTGCAAGGAGGTTCTTAAACAGCTTAAGAATAAAAGCATGGCTGATTGACAAAATTCAATGATGCAGTACTACCATAAAGATAATAAATAGTTTATTCACTAATTTATTGACATTACACTTGCTGTAACATATGTCATTTTTGTATTCAATTAAATTACCAAATGGGACAAATCATTTAAAGTACAATGTACTATACATTTTGTACTTCTTTTTTTTTTAATGAGGTACTGTCCCCAATACATAAAGACAAGGGGTCATTTTACTGTTGTAAAAAAGAAAAAAAAAAAATTTAGATTTTTAAACTTAAAAGTGGGAAAATTCATTATATTTGGAACAACTTTAAAGTCTTTTCTAAATGAGGGGTCCAATTATTTTTAATAATAAACATTATAAAGAAGATAAAAATCCAGTAACATTGCAAAATTCTTGGACATGTTTTGACCACATAATACCAGATAGATGTATAATTCTTTAGGAAAAGTTTCTTCAAATGATATCGATATATGCTCATTTGTACTTAAAACAAGAAAATAAATCCTGGTCTTCTAGCTACAGATTCATCTTTTTTACTGATATATTAATAATAACTAGAATCATGCTAATAAACGTAAGAAAAAGGCTTGTAAGCTCATCATACAAATATGACACTTTTTCTAGACCACAAAACAGCACGCGCAAAATATGTCGCAAAGAATTGTTGTCACGCACTAAAACCCCCATGGGGACTTTCAAAAGTTGGCAGGTATGGGTTCCCAACCCGAGATAAAGGGGGGGTTCCAACTATATGTCCCCATTCAAATGCATTGATCGTCCAAAAAAAAGGGGGGGGTTCCAACCTCGAAACACCCCCCCCCCCCCTCTGGATCCACCACTGGGCCTATTTCATGAACTCCAAAAGGAGAGAGAATAGTTTAGATGACAGGGTTTGTGTCCCCATGCTATGAATACATCACTTGCAATGCAAATCTGCACTAAGTTAAAATGTTAAAAAATTTTAAGCTGTGCATATGAGTGGATCTTGAATTTCAGGTTTGGAAGAGGCATTGCCAATGTGTATTCCAAAACTTTAGTAATTCATTATAATTATTAATGAAAAATTTATTATGAACTACATTCTTGACTTACTTTAATCAGGATGTGCTTGATACAGTCCCCTGAATTATCCTCCCGTTGATAAAAATTATTATACATATGTGACAGTATTTATGGAAGACGGACTTGGAATTGAATAAAAACAATTGTTTTTTTTTTACTTTTTCTTTGATGAAGCAAATTGTTCTTTCTTGTTTTACAGGCGCAAGAAGACATACAAGATATTTGTAGGTCAGCTGGCATATCACATATGGTGGTGATAAAAGATGGGGATAGTGTAAAGGTAAACAGAACTGTAGAGACAAGTTTCAATTTGGTTTCATGAATGATATGCCTTTGTTGACATGGGATCATTTAAAGAAAATGTGTCATAAGACTTTGTGACATGAAGACATTTGCTTTGTGACATCAAATTTGTCAAGGAAATTGCACTTATTGGAAGATTATGTATTATTGTTATTATAAAACTAAAATTAAGAAATAATTCTCTCATGCCATGCTCTATGCTCATTTTAACATGGGTAGGCATTATACTTGTCAATATCTTTATACCGTTGACAAATATAATGCCTACCCATGTTAAAATTAGCAAAGAACATGGCATGATAGAATTATTTCGATTCAAATAGGAAAATTTAAAACATTTGTACTTCAAAGTGGACCTATAATACATGTTCAAAAGGCATCCATTTAGATTTGTTGAAGCCAAAATGTTATAGAAAATCATCCCTTTCACTATAAACAAATGAAAAGATACATGTAAACTTACTTTTAGAATGATTTTATTTTATTTCCTAGCAAGCAACACCAAAACAAATGTCCATTTCGATTTCCGGCGTTGTTCAAAACACAGCTGACGTTGCAATTTCAATTGTGATGTCTTTCAAGTGCAGCCCCTATTTTATTGGAATTAGAACATGGATTTGTTTCCAAAGGGAAAGAAGAACGTCATATTAGAATAGAGAACAAAATATTTACAACTGAAGCCATACAAGTGCTAAAAAATTTTGTTGCAAGAAGACAATTCAGTATTTTTGTTATTTTACTATTTTCCATCATAATTTTAAGTGTTGTTTTAAAAAAATGGTAGGTGTTGAACCAAAGTGTTTTGGCACAGGGTAGAATTCAGGTATATCTTTGGTAGACCACTTTGAACAAAGTATTCAACAAAGGTATATTTATTTCAATACCTAACATTTTGTTAATATAGTTCTTGGTCAAATTCAGATTGAACTGACAATTTGCAAGAATATTTAACACATGATTGATTTATGTTGTGAAAAACTCTGTTCAATCAATCACAGATCAAATATTTAAAAGCTTGATTGGGGATAAAAAATTCTAAATGCTTCAATTTGTACAGTTGCTAGAAAATCCATATACTCAGTGAATAAGTGTCATGTTTAAGATATTTTGTCAAATAATTTCAGTATTGTGTACATTAATCAGGCATGGGGCGAATTACATTGCAATGTAATGCATTGTATTACAATTACTTTGACCAAACCATGCATTATATTACAATTACATGCATTTATCAAAGTAATGCATTATATTACAATTACTTTTGCAAAGTAATGCCTTGAATTACACATTACATTTGAAAACTTTATTAAGTGAATAGAAAAATTAAACATCTTGAAAAACAACTAGAAGTCACAAAAGATTCTAGCATATGCAGCAAATGTTCCATGAAATGAATATAAGTATACATGTAAAAAGTCTATTTAATTCGGCTTTTACAATTTTAATTTAATGTTGACTTTACTTTTATAAATATACTCTTTTTTGGTTTTTTTTAATTTTAAATGAAATATTTAATTACTGTGAATTACTTCCCTAATTATAAAATAAACATAGACCTTAATTAATGAACAATTGTCTAAATAGTGAAAACATTGATTGTAAAACAAACTAATTAGTGTTTTATAACAAAGTTTAATTATCTTTTATTTAAAGGGAAAATTCGCGATTTTTTACTTATCATCTTAATATGTTCATAATACCATAAAAAACATATTCACCAAGTTTTATCTGGATACGAACACTAATAAAGAAGAAAATTGGGAATTAATAATTTTATTTATTCGAACTTCCTGACTTCTGTGACGTAGTTTAAGTCTTTTTGCATGCCGGGAGTGGATTAATCTCATTTTAAGTCTTGTTCGTTAATCATCTTATAACGCGATTTAAAGCGCATCGACGACTTTTGACGTAGCTATTAACCAACTAATAATTCAGAAAGAAAAGTGATCAGCCGTGCAACTTTTAAAATTAAAATGCACCTTTTATATTTTAAGGATTTCTGATATGATTATAGTAATAAAAGTAAATCATACAATAGAATGTTTTTATGATTTTTTTTCCGACGGATATGTTGAACGAACATATATAACTGATAGTGTAATAAAAATGCATGTTTGTATTCTCACCTATTACTTCAGTCGAGGATTTGTCTTACTATACAAATTCTTGCTTCAGTCTAGTACTGTGAAATACAATGCATGTGTATTATACTGACACCACCTGGTAAAGGCGTGGTTAAATTCACGGTTATTAAAAGATTAGCATTATGTAATTTTAATCTTTTGATCTTCACAAGAGTTTTGTTTGGCCTCAAGGGTTCACCGTTGTAAGTATGAAAAAAAAACATGGGGAAAAAAAGGATAAAACAGAAGTGCTGGTTTGAGACAGGATTTTTTTTTTTAGTATTTGGGGAGGAATATGGTGGCAAAATAACTGAATCGCCGTTATATAATTTTTAATATTTTGCGTTAGCTCAATTTAAAAAAAAAATAGGTGATCATTTTGTTGTAACATCGAAATTCTGAATTACTTTCAATTAAATAAATTTATAGATAAAAATGGCTCACGAAAACGAGCGTATAAATCAAAACTGTACTATTTCAAATTATCATCGGTAACCTTGAATATTTATTTAAATGTGCAGAGAGAATTATCAGTTACATTAATATAGTTTGGTCCGTCCAAAGCGATCTACATTTACCTAATCGGGAGTGCCCTGATTAAAATATTCTAAATCTCACAACGTATAAATTCTTTAGCTATTTGACCAACGATGTTTTAAAAAATTAACAGAATCAATCTTACGTCAACTTTCCTTTTTTGAATGGAGAAAGACCGGCGGAATCAATTTTCAATGTGCTTTATATCTTGAACCTTTGCAAGACTTATCATTCATTCATAAACCCACTCTAAACCAGAGACATATATACGTCTGTTTAAACTGACAAGAATACTCCTAAAACGGACAAGCAGTATATCCTTTAAATTTCTGTGATTTAATACCAAGAAAGAAAAAAATCCCGAAATTAATTTGATACTCAATATTTTTCCTGGAAAATATTCACATCCTCACTGAAAAAAAGATAAAATTTGGTATACAGAACATGCAGAAGTGTGAATGTCATAAAACCTAATTGTTATATCAGAAACCATTATAAATGTGAACCTGTATACGTAAGACCTCATGGGACGTCACCTAAGATCACCTAACCACATACAGGTAATACACAAGTAGCTCTGTTATACCCGGAAATGTCACTACTGATACAGAATATACCAATGCAACGAAAATTCTGATGATTGTGAAGCATGACCATTCATTATTTTAGAGGCGTCTTACATGGGGGATTGCCGGAATGATTTAATTTAAATTCTGACTAGATTTTTTTTTTCTCAATTTAAATCACTGAACTAAAAAAAAAAGAAGAAAACTACGCCCAAGAACAGAATTCTTCTTGTAAATTCATAAATACACCGTTCTTATTTTGTAACTTTCGATAGACATGAACTCCAATCCCCCCCCCCTTCCCCAAACCTGGGAACAGTATATCTTACAATGTATATATTCCTGCCAAAATAACAAAAAAGGAGAAAAAGAAAGACCTGAACGGTAAATCACATCAGATTCAGATATTTATATAGTTGATTGTCGTTAGCTAGAGATGTATGAATGTAGGACAGAAAGTCACAGGACAAAAAGTCACGGACGAAAAGTCACAGGACAAAAAGTCACAATTCAGTTTTGAGATTATTTTTCTGTGAACAAGAAAACACTAAGTTTAAAAATAATTTTTTGATTTTTTCTTGAACTATAATATATCAAGCAACTTTATAATTAAAATTTATTCAATAAATATCAATGATGATCAAATAGTTGTTATGATAACAAAATGTCAAAGTGGTTAGGCACTTAAATGGCTTCATGGTGCCAATAAATATATCATTTGCATGATTAAAATTTAATAATTTTTCATTTATCAAGGCTTATGAACAATTTCCTAAACTTAAAAATGAATAAATATAAAAAGGAAATTTTTCGAAGATCTTTCTCTTATATATTCAAACAATTGTCGACAAATTATTTGTGACTTTTTGTTCTATCCAATTTGTGACTTTATGTCCTGTGACTTTTTGTCCTGTGACTTTCTGTCCGTTTACCGAGATGTATACATGTCTCTGCGTTAACTTATAAAAATAACAGGAAAGTATAAACTTGAAATAGATTTATGATGAATACTATGCAACTGCGACACCCCTTTTTATCACAGCGTACATGCATGTATTTAAATGAGTGTCCGTTATTTCTATTAAGAATGACAATCGTACGTAAAATCCTATAGTTCATGGTGAGACTTTTTGTACCAGATATGCGACTTTTCCGAATTTCGTATTCATATTTTCTCTTATATTACTCTCATTTGATATTTTATGCATAAGTGCAATATTGGGAATGGTTTATTACCACCACAAGCTAACTAAAAAAAATAATCAACCCTCTAGCTGACCAGACGTTAATACAACTACTATCAGTCTATTCGCAGTGAAGTTTCTTTATTTCTTCAAATAGGCTTTTTGGGGATCATTAGTGTACGTCCAGTGGCATATATATTACATGCATGTCGGAACAGGAAAATTGACATCAGGTACTTTTAGAACCATGTTCACATTATTATACATTATACCCAACAATTGTGATGATGACGAATTTCTTAAACTGTTAAAAATAATCTTATTGAAAAATAAATCTGTGATTTTACTATGTCTATTACTTCGATGAACCAAAGCAAGTTAGATATCGAACTGTATTTAAATCAGATTGGTTCCGGATGTTTCTCTCGTATATTCAATTTACATGTATATATTCTAAATTGCGACTATCTATAGTTCCGTAACCTTCTATCTAGGCGTATAAACCAATGATCGACAAGTGCATACATTTTGTTAAATCAATATTTGTATGTTTCAAGATGTCCATACTTATTGACAACGAGTATATACTTACATTTTCCCCAATTTACCCTTGGAAAATATGTAAATAGATTTTTTATTTTATCAAATCTTTTTTTGGGAATTATTTTGATTTTCATAAATATCATTCTTTACACCAGAAAGGTTATTTATAAACAAGCGTATGAGTTTAGTAATGACTAGTATATCACTATCGGACACGCAAGACAAAGATGTATATTACAACTGATAGTTTCAAAATGGAAAGTTACAAGTTATCGGCCGTGTACACTGATCAATACCCTCAGAAGTGAAGTGATGCACGAACTTGCTTTATGTAATTGTGTAATAAGAGTTTTAAAGCCCGACAGGAAATCGCTTGAATACCTGGACATGTCACCTCACAATACCTCTGGGATTTCTTCAGCCATGCTAGTGATCAGATAAGGGAAGGTCCGAATTTATTTAAATAAGTTTATTACATAAAAGAATTATGAACAAACTAGATTTTCGAAAACAATTTTACACGGAACACTTATTTATGACTTTGAACTTTGACTATAAACTAATTTCCATTAAAATTTTTTGTTTCAAAAACTTAGTTAAAAAAACAGTTTTAAAACGACAGACCATAGTACTAGTTATTTAAAAAAAAATATATAATTACATTTTCCGTATCAAGTTAGTTAGGAAAGGTTGCACAACCATGTCTATTATAATCTTTTTTGTGACCCGGGAAACTGTTTATGCTTTCCTTGTCGGATAAAACAACCGTACGCTTGACAAGATATCGACACTCAATTACGGCTACGTTAGGTTACTGCTTGTTTTGGTCCTTTGTGGTTTATAGATATATCGTGGTTTATATTCAGGGAGGATGTCAAAATGGCCGCATGCGGAGAATTGATACTCTAAATTTAAAATCGATGGTGATCTCTTATCTAGCAGAATAAAACTTTAATATTTATGAATTTGTGCTTTCTTATACATAATGAACATAATATCAATTTTTCATTTTTTTGCGAAGTTTCCCTTTAAGCAAGACAAGATATTCTTTGATCTTATGACAACAATACAGTTATGCTTTTCAAATATCAATCTTTTTATGCAGGAAAATGTATGAAATAAGATGAAATAAAGAATATATTCTCATGATTAACATATTCTTAGTTAATCAAGAAATCTTAAATTTGGTTTATTTAAAACTCCAACAATATGTTAAAGATGTGGTATGTGAAAAAAGTAATGACATGTAATGCCATGTAATGCATGAAATTACACAACTTTTTGCTAAAGTAATGCATTATATTACAATTACATGTAATGTACAAATTGCTGCATTACACATTACATGCAATTACTTGAAAAAATGTAATGCATTACCATGCATTACAATTACAAATTTGCATTACCCCATGCCTGACATTAATATTACAATGTAAGTGTTGTGCAGTTGTTACAAAAAAAAATACAAAAGTAAAGAACTGATCAAAGGTACACTACCAGTTATATATATACAATATTAGGTCAATGTCAGAAAAATATAAACTTTTTTGTATGAGACTGAGAAACTGGGGATGGATGAGGTTTTACCAAGCCCTTCCCCAGTTTTGTGCCAAATACAAAAAAGTTTATATTTTTCTGACATTGACCTAATATTGTTATTATACTGCAACTTAAATTAATACATTGATAGCTATTTAAATTGTAACATACATTTCAAACTTATTTTCATCCCTTAATGAACCCCTGATTGTGGAAAAAGTGATCCATGATGAAATTGACATTGCACTAAATATAGCTTTGTTACTATATTTAGGAAATAAACACAACTAGTTACAGTATAACAACATGATAGAAGGTAAAAACACCAAAATCAAAAAACAATAAAAGCTAATAACACGAAATAGGGTCCCATTATTTTGAACTTATGGATCTTTATCAAGGAATTTTAAAAATTATAAAAACTTCTAGATCATATAAGGACGGAGTGATGACCCTTTTATAGCTGGTGTTGTACATGTTACCTTCTTATAAAATTCATATTACATTTGTTTTAATATGTTTCTAGGTTAGATCAATTGACAAAGACAAGATAGCAGAGAAGAAATTGACACCTAATGATCAGTCACTGACTGAATTCTTACTGCAGAAAATACAGTCAAATAAAATGTAAGAATTATTGATTAAATTAGAAATTAACCTGTAATAATCTGTGACTGACCATATATTTATTATAAAGTGTACAATTTCAATAACAATCCAAATTTATACAAATGTAAACTTCTGTCCTTCATTTGATCTAAATTCGCATGAATTTAGAGTAGAGCTTTTCAAACAGCTAGTATCATGAAAAAAATTCTGTAAAAAATGTTATATATTCTACATAGTTTGATATTTACATGTAAAAATAGGAACTATTTTGATTTAAATATGTACTACTTTCCAGCATAATCTTTTTTGATCATGCCCTATTTGGTGGTGTTTCATCTTACAGCTCTGTGTTGAAGACCTCACTGTGACTTTGAAATGAAGAACAGCAATAAAAGAGCTGCTCCAGTGTTTTTTGTTGTGCATGTACTGATTTGGGTCATGGATGGATACCCCATATCCTTTGTTTTTCTATTATCTTGCAATCATATCTTATAGAGATATCTCCCCTTTGCAGGTTTGAAACAGTTGATACCTATATGGCATATATATCTATATGATAACAAGATAGGTACTTTTTCCTGCAGTGGTGCAATACATCTATTCCTTGTTGTACTGCATAGACAAAAGTTTTAAATGGGACAGTGTTCCAATTCTCAAGAAACCTAATATATTGGATTTGTACTTATTATTTTGCAGTGAACAAAATGACACAAAGAGCCAATTAGGAGTGTGCAATATTACATTTTCTCAGCCTCATTCTGAAACTGTCCAATCACAATCAAACTATTCAAACATGACATTGAACTTTATATTCATCATGATGGAAGGAAAACTTGCTCTCAATACCAGAAAGAAGTATGAACTACAGGTAAGTCTTAATAAATTATTTGTCTTGTATTGTGTTAAGTGCATTATAGCCTTTGAACTGAAATTATTAAAAACGTTCATTGGCGCATATTGTAAAGGAAGTAAAACAATTCCAGGGGCATATATTGTAAAGGAAGTAAAACAATTTCAGTGGCTCCAGTGGCATATATTGTAAAGGAAGTAAAACAATTTCAGTGGCTCCAGTGGCATATATTGTAAAAGAAGTAAAACAATTCCAGTGGCATATATTGTAAATAAAGTCTCAAACCTCTTGTGGCATACTTTTGGCATATATTGTAAATGAAGTCTTAAACCTCTGGTGGCATGTATTGTAACTGAAATCTTAAACCTCTGATGGAATATATTGTAAATGAAATCTTAAACCTCTGGTGGAATATGTTGTAACTGAAGTCTAAAATCTCAAGTGGCATACATTGTAGAATTAGTCTAAAATGTCCAGTTGCATATATTGTAGCTAAATTTTAAAATTCCAGTGGCATATATTTTATAATTACACACCTGGAAAAAAGTATCGAACCACCATGATTTTTCTAATAAACAAAAATATAACCCATATTATTTATGGCCCAAAAAGTATATAACTTATTCCTTTTTGTTGCTGACAAGAACTCTGGCATTAATGAAATAAAAAGTTTGAAAAAAGTAATGATTTTAACTAACTAATTTTTTTTGTCAAACAAAAGCCAGTCAATAGTACAAAAAACTGACAATGTTTAACTTTGGATACATCGAAAAAGAAAAATCCGATAGCAAAATTAATTTTTTTTGGAAAGTGACAATAGGTGTCAGCGGTTATAATAAACATGATAATGTTCAATACCAAGCGTAACCACCGTTCACACGAATCACCGAAGTCTAAAATATCAAGTGGACTATATTGTTGAAGGCAAATAGGTTCCAGCTGACACAGTAAAAATATTATAATACATTAAATTCAGAAATTGGTGGATGCATTTATAATTTGGAATACCTGATGTTAAATAAGGGTTTGGGACCAGATTTTGTAGTTCACTGCACATAAATTTATGAGTGCAAATCGGGCAATCCCCCCCGGCATTGTGTCCTGTGGACTTGTATTATTGTTTTTCAAGGATTTTCTTTACCCTTATAAAAATATTTAATAAATATATTGAAATAAGTTTTCAAATGATGAGACAAAAGTGGAGCTCTTGTGTTTCTTTTTAATTTTATTTCAAAATGGTTTCCGTATTGTTATTTCTCTTCAGATATTTGAAATATTGTAAACTTTAAAACATACCATTGCAGATTCATGGAAAGGTAACAACAAGTTTGTCATGGTTACCTGGGAAATCATGTGATGTTGTGGCAGTAGAACTGAATGCTCCAGTCATAAAGACAGTTGCTGCCTATCTTGAGGTACTGTATTTAGAAAATAAGACTAAAAATTATAATAAACCACTTTAAAGGGCTAAACCACCAGTTGCATACAAAATGATTAATAAAACATAATTTAACAGTGTGATTTTGAAATGTTGAATTGAAAATCTTATCAATGTCACATAATAAATTGCAATATTATTATTACGCTTTTTTTGCCATACCTTTTGAAGGACAGAACTTTTTTCAAAAATAAATCCAACCACATTTTTTATCTGCTTGTTCCAGTTCAGTGGTTTGTAATTTAGTGGTTGTGGTTGGTTGCTGTCTGTCAATTCAGCGGTTTGTAATTTAGTGGTTGTGGTTGCTTACTGTCTGTCATGTTTTTTTTCTTGTTTTGTCATAAATCAGGCTGTTGGTTTTCTTGTTTTGTCTCGCCTGCGACGAAAGTCGCAGTATGGGAGACATAGGTATTACAATCTGGTGACGGAGACAGCGTAAACTATTTGTTTAAAGCTTTATATATCAGAAGGTAAAAGACCTGGATGCTTCTTGCCTTGTGTGCAGATACCCAATATTATGAAGTTTCTCTTTGTCATATGTCCATTGACCTTGACCTCATTTTCATGGTTCAGTGACTGCTTGAAAAAAAAGTAACAAATTTTTTGTTAAGTGAAATACTCACTTATTATGAGTAATAGGATAACTATTTGGTATATGGGTACCTTGCAATGTCTACATGTCTGTCAAGTAGGGTTTACCTGACCTCGACCTTATTCCATGGATCAGTGATCAAGGAAAAAGTTATGTGGTCAACTCAGTATCTTAGATACTATAAGCAATAGGTCAACTATATTTGGTGAATAGAATGATTGTAAGGTGTACATGTCCGACTGACAGTTTCTCCTGACCTCGACCTCATTTTCATAGTTCATTGGACGATTTTTAGTTTTTGTGGTTTGGTCTATTTTTATACAACCACAAAAAAATGTTTGCGTCGTATAATGCTATGGTGTCGTCTGCGTCACACTTTTGGTTTCCGGACAATAACATTAGTTTAAGTGAAAGGATCTCTTAGAAATTTTACCAGAAGGTTCAATACCACAATAGGAAGGTTGGGATTGATTTTTGGGGTTATGGTACCAACTGTTTAGGAAAAAGGGGCCAAAAAGAAGCATTTTTGTGGTTTTTGGACAATAACTTGTGTGTTAGTGTATAGATCTCTCAGAAATTGTACCACAAGGTTCCATATCATAAAGTGAAGGCTGGGATTGAGTTTGGGGGTAATTGCCCAAATGGTTCAGGAATTAGGGGCAAAAAAGGGGCCAAAAACAAGCATTTTTCTAGTTTTCAGACAGTAACTTGTGTTTAAGTGTACGGATCTCTCTAAAATTGTACTACAAGGTTCCATACCACAAAGGGAAATTTATTTTTGGATTTCATATTTTTTTTTCTTCAAAATTTTTGAAATTTCAAATGATGCATCAATATTGTGCAATAGCAAGTAATCTTCAATTGCACAGTATTGCGCAATAGCAAGAAATCTTCAATTGCACAGTATTGTGCAATAGTAAGAAATCTTCAATTGCACAGTAATGAGCAATAGCACATTATTGCACAATAGCAAAGTATTGAGCAATAGCACAGTATTGCGCAATAGCAAGAAATCTGCAATTGCACTGTATTGCGCAATAGCAGGAAATCTCCAATTGCACAGTATTGCGCAATAGCAAGAAATCTTCAATTGCACTGTACATGTATTGGGCAATAGCAAGAAATCTTCAATTGCACAGTATTGGGCAATAGCAAGAAATCTCCAATTGCACAATATTGCGCAATAGCAAGAAATCTTCAATTGCACAGTATTGCGCAATAGCACAGTATTGGACAATAGCAAGACATCTTCAATTGCACAGTATTGCGCAATAGCAAGAAATCTTCAATTGCACTGTATTGCACAATAGTAAGAAATCTTCAATTGCACAGTAATGTGCAATAGCACAGTATTGCACAATAGCACAGTATTGAGCAATAGCGCTGTTTTGGGCAATAGCAAGAAATCTCCAATTGCACAGTATTGCGCAATAGCAAGAAATCTCCAATTGCACAGTATTGCGCAATAGCAAGAAATCTTCAATTGCACAGTAATGTGAATAGCATAGTATTGCACAACAACAAAGTATTGTGCAATAACACAGTATTGTGCAATAGCAAGAAATCTTCAATTGCACAGTATTGCGCAGTAGCACAGTATTGCACATTAGCACAGTATTGCGTTATAGCAAGAAATCTTCAATTATACAGTATTGCGCAATAGCAAGAAATCTTCAATTGCACAATTGCAAGAAATCTTCATTCGCAGTTTTGCACATTAAATTGATCAGTATTACCCAATAGCAAGAAATCTTTAATTTTTGGGGGTTCTAACCTTGTATTACTTTTTTGGATATTTTAAATTTTAGATTGGTCTACATTGAGGTCAAAAGGGTCCAAAATTAAACTGTTTGATTTCATCAAAAACTGAATTATTGCGGCTGTATGATATGCTGAATCTTACTGTGCATTAAGATTTTTTATTTTGGGCACTGTTTTCAAATAAGCCAATATTAAGGTTTGAAGGGTCTAAAATTCAATCTTGTTTGATTTCAACTAAAATCAAATTTTTGATTTTTATACGCCCGTTTATTATACGCCCGTTTACGGGACGTATTATGGTATACCGTTGTCTGTCCGTCCGTCCGTCCGTCCGTCCGTCGTCAACATGTCGGACATTAACTCGAAAAAGCTTTTACCAATATGCATGAAACTTTGGTGAATTGTTTATATCTATTGACGTGAGCTCCCTTTCGTTTTTTATAAATTTCAGATTTACTGTTTCCGAGTTTTGGGGTTTTATTCATTAAAAAAGGGGGGATTTTCCAGTTTTCCGACAATAACTCAAGAATGCTTTCACCAACTTGCAAGAAATTTTGGTGAATTGTTTATATCTATTGACATGAGCTCCCTTTCGATTTTTATGAATTTTAGATTTTACGTTTCCAAGCTACAGGGTATTATTCATAAAAAAAGGGGGATTTTCCAGTTTTCGGACAATAACTAAATAATGCTTTCAGCAGTTCTCATGAAACTTTGGTGAATTGTTTATATCTGTTTATGTAAGCTCCCTTTTGAATTTTATAAATTTTAGATTATACATTTCTGAGTTATAGGGTTTTATTCATTAAAAAAGGGGGGATTTTCCAGTTTTTCGACAATAACTCAAAAATGCTTTCATCAGTTCTCATGAAACTTTGGTGAATTATTTATAGCTATTGATGTAATTTCCCTATTGATTTTCATAAATTTCAAATATGACATTGAGGAGAAATTGAACTTTATTTGTTTATAGTCTGACAACAGATTTATTTAGTATTGCGCAACAGCACAGTGTATTGCACAACAGCAAGAAATCTTTAATTGAATATAAATTCAATTCATATAACCAATTTCAAGTTCTTTGACTACATTTATACAGAAACCTTTAATATGTCAAATATTTAATTACAATCCAAATTCAGACCGGTATCAAGCTTGAATATTGTGTCCATTTTTGCCCCAACTGTTCAGGGTTGGACCTCTGCGGGCGTATCCAGCTGCACTTAGCGAAGCAGTTTATTTTTTATATGCTGAATCTAACTATATTGTTAGATTATGGATATCAGACCATTCTAAGTAAATTAAATGTCCCATTTCAAATTTTTAAGATCTTTGACCACATTTATTTTGTGTCAGAAACCTATATTATGTCAAAAATTTGATCACAATCCAAATTCAGACAGTATCAAGCTTGAATATTGTGTCCAAACTTGCCCCAACTGTTCAGGGTTAGACCTCTGCGGTCGTATCTGGCTGCGCTCAGCGAAGCATTTTATTTAGATATATAAAGCAATAGGTCGACTATATTTAGTGTAGTGAAACAATTTTGAGGTGTACATGTCTGTCTGGCATGGTTCATCTGACTGTGACCTCGTTTTCATAGAACGTTGATTATGTGATACTTGTAGTAAAACCTTCATAGTACAGACTTTCAACATCAATTCAATGATAAGTAAAACAGGCAAGACATTTTAGCTTGTGCACTCTTGTATATATATTGGTGTGAAAATATGCCAATAAGACATAACACAAAATTTTTATATGAAAAAAGATCAAAAGAAGAAATTTTTAACTGTGTAATGAAATTGAAGGCTAAACCTCTTGAGAAGAAGGTTTTTGTAAAAAATCTTGATTATTATGCCTCGCAAACAATAGTATAGGAACATTATGCTTCTTGTGCTCTCTTCACAAAATATCTTACGAAAGTAAGTTACACTGAAATTTTGAGGACTTGCAAGTTTTTTTTGTGAAATGAGTCTCTCTTTTGTGCATCCATCTGTCCCACATCAGACGTCCCATATCAGGTTTAAGTTTTGGTTTAAGGCAGGTGCAAGGTTTGATTTAAGGTAGTTATTGGTTTCACCAACTTGAAACTTGAAAATGTGATAGTGCAATCAGGGCATGGTTTTCGATGGACACATATTTTTAACTTTGGTTTTTGTTTGAAATATATTGTAGTATTATTCCTTGTATCTTTGTTTTACAGTTAAACGGTAACCAAAAGGATTTTAACTTGAGTATCGGCAGCATTATAGAAAAGTAAGTACATCTTTTATGTAATTTTCAATTAGTGTAGTTCTCTCCCTTGCCATCTGAAAAGACAAAAATATTTTTTTGTAGTAGTCAGTCACCTTCCTAGCAACAGAGAAATTCTTGCTGGTTACAAATTCTCCACTTCATACTTTATTGTTTGTAAAACTGAATGGACAAGTATTCATTTCATATCCAGATTTGACCTGCCATTTATTGTTTCTGTATAAAAATAAGGAGAAGTTGTATGATTACCAATGAGACAACTATCCAATGGAAAACATTATGTGGATGTAAGGGAGCTACCATTTGATTTTTAGGGGGGGGGGGGGGGGCTAGGATGAAATTTGAAAAAGAAGGCAGGACAGAAGTTTTGAGTAAAAAAAAGGCAGAATGAGCAACTTGGCAAAAAAAAAAGGCAGGATGACAAATTATTATAAAAAGTCAGGATAAACTAATAAAAAAAAGGCAGGACCTAATAAAGTGAAAAATAAAAAGGCAGGACCGAGATTACAACTAAAAAAAATGCAGGACACAATTTTTCATCCTAGCCCCCCATAAAAATCAAATGGTAGCTCCCTAAGCAACTATAAGTCAACGTAGGACTTTCAATGTTGAGCAGCACCCATACCGTATAGTCAGTTAAAAAAAATTCTTTCATGTTTTATGACTTTTATTCTTGCATAAAAATAGGATGGCAAGAAATCCTTCTTGATGAGAACTATTCTCTCTACTGTACAATTGTGTATGTTACTATATTTATTTGAAACAATAAAATACTTCAATTAAATCCTGCCATTTTTTCTATACAAATAAAAGGTGTTCAAATACTGTAAACCAACTTATTTTTGCAGATACTTTATTTTGCATTTAGCTCTTTCTATATGACTTTGCTGCTATTTTTTACGCAGTTTCTTATTTTTTTTTTTTACATAACACATTATTTTCCTACTAGGGAAAATCAAGAAACAAAATCCCATGCAAAAATGATTTGGTTTACCTTATACATATGCAATAGTCATACAGTATACAAATATTGCCTCCTGGTATCCTGATTCTGTTATGAGCAAAAGGTAATATTCAAATTACTGTTATTGTCACTCAATAAATGTCACAGTTTTTATGGTCCTCTTCATGGTCTGCATCCAAGCAATGTCAATTTTTATTAAAAGATAAAGACACTGGTGGCATGTATGTGTATGTTTTAATCTATTGGTGAAGTCCACAAAACGGTAACAGATCCAGGGTTTCATCTTTTTACAACTTACCAGTTAGACATGTATTTTCAGGTTTTTAGATTTTACTGTTTTCATTTCATTTTAGGCATCCAAAACATCGTAAATATCTGAGTAATGTATTTGATCAGATATTTGAGTTAAAGTTTGAGAGGAAGACTGGTAATGATAAAGGGTAAGATATCTACCTTTATTTCAAAAACTTTTTATTAATACTCAACAGTTCAGGTGTCTTTTGAACCCCAAGCATTGAGTGGGCAATAGACATACGTGTATGGTCATCCTGGACTTTTCCAGTGTTGCAGTAAAACCTTTGCCAAGTGTGCTGTGTAGGGTGTATTAATACACAGCCATGTCTGGTTGGAATGGGGAAGTTAAATCTCAATTCTCATATAGGGTTTGTGCTACATTCTCTGCATAATACAGAACCCTTGCAACTGTTCTGTATGTGGCCTGTTGCAGGACAAAATTTATGTCCCAATGCAACTATTATCCCTTTCCATCGACAATCCAAAATTTCCCCCTTCATCCAGGTCGATTTACCCTGTAGAGCCTACATATTGTATTAATTGCTAATGTGTTCTCCTCTTGAATATGCATGAACTACTTGCAACTAGACATTAAGAAAGCAAGAATCAATTAGATCATTTCCAACCATTCACAGTCCCTAGTGAACCAATTTTAGTCTTAAACTGTCATCTTGATCTTAGCATCATCTGATAAGTCTGAACAATAAATTATTCAGTAATAGTCAGTCTTTCAGTCAATTTTCAGGCTTATTCTTTGCTGCAAAAAACTTTTAGAAGATTCCCTTTGTCAAACACATAGATTTGATTTACCCATAAAGTAGCAAAAAAGGGACTTTTGACACTTGATGATTAAGGCCATTCATGTCCCCATTATGTTGTTACCAAAATACCAAAAATAATACATTTATGTAATCATTTCATGTATTATAAGTTTTAACGATGAATGAATTTGATGATTTAGTCTATGCACTTTAATGCAGAAATGTCATTTGAGATGTTATAATCAATGTATATCAATGGACCTAGATGAGTGTAAAACATTTATGCAAAATCTTGTTTACTTTAGTTTATATTTTATCAAAAAACTTGAGATATTTTTTTACATGTTGGTTGATAGCATAGAACATAATCATAATTTTAGGTACTATAATAGTTAAGTGCTAGATTTCACTTGATTTTTTAATTCAACTCCAAGATTCTTCATATTAAAAAAACCTTTCAATAGCTCTCTGAGGGGTTTGTAGTTGTCCTGTTGCCATCAAAATTTCTACAAATATCCTTCATACTCTCCTTTTTCAATTGCAGTTCAAATTTCACATCATTCATCCCAGTCAAACTACCTTGTTAAGCTTACCTATTGTATTACAGTGTAATTGTTAAATTGATTTCCTCAATTAATATTCATGAAATATATGCTAGTACATGTTAAACAAGCGACAATCAATCAACCATATATAGGAATGGAACAGAGTGATGACAAGTATATTGTACTGTGACATCATTTATATTAATAGAGAACATTTAAACAAAAATTAGCAAAATTGTTTCAGTAAAGTGGCTTAAAAGCACTTTGGGATTTGTTTGACAGAAATGGAAACATTTTGGCGAGGCAGACATGTTAAGGGAGATGAGCACTTTTGAGAAAGTTACATATATTTTATATTACCGGTAAAATGCATTTTTTATTTTTACTTTTAGGTGTGACTTTATAGTATTATATGGACTAAAGGATGATAGTGTCAAACTTTTGTCATGACCAAGGAACAGGGATACTCATATTTAGTCTGTGATAAATAATTGTATATGGTGTACTAGAAAATGTATAAAACATTATGATTTAGGGTCAATAAGGGTATATATATTATATAAATATTATATTTATGCCAAATTTTATTTAAGTTTTCATGAAATATATGTATTGTCACAAACTGTCAAATTTTGATAGAAAAAAAACTTTTAACTTTTAAAATTTGAGTTGAAGAAGTGAAACCAGTCTTTGTATTTATTTATATCTGACAATAAGATTTAGAGTTATTGCCCTTTGTAAAATTAGAAAAATAGTACACTATATTGAGAATATTCTGTCTGTTGTCACACTGGCCTTAAATCTTGTTTGGATGAAAATAATTTGAAGATTTCAGATAGAAAAGAGTTTTCATTTGTCATTTGTTTTCAGATTCAGGCAATATGTACATTGTAAGAGTTCAGTTTCAGAGTTTTTATGCTAATTCTGTTATTTTTACTGTGACTTGATTGTAAGTGTTGCTCTCCACCTATTGTAGTTCATTCAAAATTCTGACCAAATTGCAATTTGTTTCATCAAATCAAACTGTTTAACTAGTCAGAAATTGTAACCATTTTTTATCACTTAATACATTTGTACTTTGATGACTTGACTATGGATTTTTACAGCAGTTCATTAAATTTCTGACCCATTGAACACTTAAATAAGATATTTTTAAACTAAGCCAACTTCATATCAAGTTATATACCAGTATGCTTCAATCAATGACAACTTACACTGCTAAAACAAATGTGCCTTTTGATTAAACAGAGGAACACAAAAAGTAGCATTTGTACATCTTTTTACCATAAGAATGCAACTTGTATAAAGTCTCTTGTACAAAGGCTCTCATATTTAGAAAGACATATAGTGGCACAAGTTGTACCCAATTTTGATACTGTGATTTTCACAAGGGTTCTGGCTTTTAACACCTGTATTCCTATAAATCATAAAATGTGAAGGCATATCAATTGTTTTCTTACCCGTCCTTTATTGTAGGTTGAAGGGTCTAGAAGTGTAGATGATCATGTTATCAGTGTTTCCACTGTCTGTATCACTCTGCTCAGCTCTTCATAAATTTGCATATCATGGCTTTGTAATGTCAAATACGTCAACTTGGCCTAAATAATTTTGACCAGACATATCCCCGACGTCATAATGAACGAAACCAACGTTGATAAGTTTGACCAGAACTTATCATGGTATCTTCAGGTTTGCTGCTGAAACAAAGAGCAAATATAAACCGATAAATAGATTCTCATATTTTATCATATCTCTATTGTAAAATTTCAACTCAAGCAACAATATGAAGCTTTTTTGAACTCATTCACTGCGCTCACTTGACAAAAAGCTTCATATTGTGACTCACAGCTGATATTTTACAATATCAATATGCTGACAACCTGATAATCGGTACTTATCTTGCCATTTTGTTTTTAAAGAAGTTCTGATCCTTTCACAATATTATTGATTTTTGAGATTTCATTTCATTTTTTTTTCAAATGCAGACAATTCGTAAGATAAAGTGTAACCATCTTTTTAATTATTTCATGCAAATACCTTCTCTTTATCCCTATTATTAAGGAGCTAAAAAAGGGGTTTAAAGTGAGGGTGGTAAAGGGTTATTTTCGTGCAACGTGTTTTGCCATTTTTATTTCACGTGCAGCCGTGAAAAAGGTTCGTTATTCACCGTGTTTCGTGAAATTGGTAAAAAGATCAACGTGCAAGAAATTTTTAATTGTTCGTTCATCGTGAAATGGCAATTTTATTTCTAGTTCTTCCGTGCAGATATCCCCTCTTTACGCCCCTCTAAAGTTGTTATTATCTTTGGCAACCTCATTGCTTATCTGAAGACCTAATTTCTCATAAATATTGCAATTACTAGAGATATTAATGTGGAGAGAATCTCATACTTGAATATTAGTAAGAATCAGCTATAATTTAACAGCAACCCTACAACACAATTGAATCAAAACAAATACATGAAAAGGAAATTGAATAAATGAATATATTGACATGAATATTTCTTGCATCGACCCCAAGAAAACATTGATTCTGGTGCTAATTTAAATTCCACTTTCTTTACAATAATGAAACAGTTTTCACAAAATCTTGTATAATCTCATTAAAGATACCAGGATTAAAATTTTGTACGACAGACACATGTTTCTTCTTCAAAATATTCATCAGTGATGCTCAAATCAAAAAGTTAAAAAGGCCATATAAATTATGAAGTTGTAGACCATTGAGGACCCAAAATTGCAAAAGGTTTTGCCAAATACAGCTACGGTAATCTATTCCTGGAGTAGAAAAATCCTTAGTTATTTGAAAAATTCAAAGTTTTGTTAACAGTTAATTTATATTATTATGACCTTATCAATGATATATCATGTCAGTACAGAAGTGCTGACCACAGGGCTGGTGATAAGATTGATATAAAAAATTTAAAGCAAAGACCATTAAAGTGTCAATCAATTTTCAACAATGAAATTTGAATTATCAAAAACTATTTTAAAGATTATCAGGTGTTGAAATCAATATTATTCTGGTGAAACAGCTTCATTAGGGTGACTTTACCTTTCAGCAGATTAACCTGAGAAACAACTTAGAAATCTGGGTTTCAATACCAGGCATTTTTCAAATAGTTGAAAATTAAAATTAATTGTAAGAAAATTGGTTAACACTTCTATGGTTTAAGTTGTAAATGGAAAGTTGAGCATGCTGTTAAAAGAAAACTTCTGATATTGTCAAAGACCTTATGATTACCTCTGAAATTTTCTTTGTTGAAACAGTTTTACTCGTTTGGTTAAAGTCTCGCTATTCAAATGTTACATATGTTATATATCAAGTTACTTAAGCCGCTTGTTTATTTTTCCCTGTTACTGAGTACATGTATTCTTTTTAAAATTCTGTTAATGTTAATATTTGTTATTTCCTTTATTTGTAAAAATCATTGGACCATAAAATGATTATTATTATATTCATGTAACATCCTTATTATGATAAATATATAAAATTGCTCAAGATTTAAATTATCCATGTGTAAATCTTTTACGTTAAGAAAATCTTTAAAGGTAAATATCACGAATTTCATATTTGTAATATATTCTATATTTAGATATAAATTACAAGCAATGGTATTTAGATTACCTGCATTTTTTCAAATAGATTTTTCATCACACTGCAATTTCAAAATCGAATGATTATGCAATTTTCTGCTGAACCGTTGGTGTACTTTTATATTTCATAGGAGTTCAGCAGTTGGGTAATCAAGTATATATGTCAAATCTGTCAACTGAAAAATTGCTTAAAGGTGTCAAGGTTCTTAACAAATGTTACAACTGTTTTTTTTTATTATCAATTGATTTGACTGTAAAAACTGATTTTTGCACAAATGAGATGCACTGGATAAAGGGACTCGTGATAACATTTAATAGCTGAACTCTGACCTAGGTAAAGGTGATTTCCTACTATGGTTGAGATACTCCACTGTTTATATAGGTAAAAGTCATAATATTATTGTCATGGTCTACAAATATGATGTGTTGTTATGGTTAAAATTTATAACAATGTAAAAATTAAAAATAAAGAAATAAAAATATTTAAAACTTTATCAATTGTCCTTCATATATACTGCATACAATTTTATTCATAAACTGAAATGTTTGCTGTAGGTCTTTTTATTGATGTTGAATTATATTTGTGTTTGTATGTTTTTTTGTAACAGCTGATCTGTTCTCATTATTTAAAATTCCAGAGAGTAGGACTGTTTTATTAGTACGCCAGTTCTGGGATACAGTAGTTAGTTGAATCTGTCATGTGACTTCCATCACAATGTGACCAAAATGTAGGGTGAAAAAGTTTGATCTTATACTGCACAAATTATTTGGGAAATTAAAATCTAATAAGTTGGTCACCCTCCCTTCAGTCGTATGGGAATTAAGATTACGTACTTACGGAACATAAATTATTTATAGACTACCTTGCAGAATGATGATTCTGAAAGTGCTTGAAACTTTAATAGAGCAGGGATTCAGGCGTGCCTTCTATCTAGTAAATGACTTCATAAAGGATTGCGAAATTGACGATCTTTTCCGGTGAAAGACATGATTCCAGAAATAGCCTATCATGTAAATTACCTGCTTTCATTTAATTCCTGCCCTTCAAAAGTGTTCATGATGCTAAAGTGAATTAGTTGGTCCTAATGGGATAAATGTGTCAAAGATAATATAAATAAGAAGATGTGGTATGAGTGCCAATGAGATAACTCTCCATCCAAGTCACAATGTATAAAAAGTTAACAATTATAGGTCAAAGTACGGCCTTTAACATGGAGCCTTGGCTCACACCAAACAGAAAGCTATAAAGGGCCCCAATGACTAGTGTAAAACAATTCAATCAGGAAAACCAACGGTTTAATCTATATAAAATACCAGAAACGAGAAACCCCTATTAACCACATCAACATACGACAACCACTGAACAACAGGCTCCTGACTTAGGACCGGTGCATAAAAATGTATCAGGTTTAAACGTTTAAAGGTAGATCATAGGTATATGTTTCCCGAGATAGTATTTTCTATACTTTGCCAAAATGAAGATTTTACTATGCTCTTTTCAAAAATATAATAAAAAGGATGGGTCACCGTGCTATTTTTCAAGCTATGAGTCGTTGAAAATTGCCTAAATTTGGTTAGAATGATCATGAAAAAACATATTTTTGTGCATAAAAAAAAATCTATGAGATAGAATTTTAAAATAAATTGTGAGAAGATAGGTTTTATAATATGTTTTAAGAAAATAAAAAGAAAAAATGGTGTCACCGAACTTTTTTTCTTGCTACAAGTAAAAATTAAAAAATTTCCTATCAGTCCAGTATAAATGTTTACTAAAAGAGTTATCTCCCCTAAAATTGATTAGTTGAAAAAATTTATTCTAAAACACAAATGTTTGGTATTTGTTTAAATATTTTGGATAATGCAATAAATCAGCAAGTTTTCTTCATATGTATAAACTGTCTAATCAATAAAATTGCACATCTGTCTACAAATTTGCAGATTTGGGCAAATAACAAGACTGATAGTGTACTGCGATAGTACAATCCAAGATGGCGGTATACCATAAATCTACCTTAGCAGGTACTAACCTTCACCCTATCCTGATTGATGTGTCCCGATTGTTAACGTTGTAACCACAATCTCAACCTCCTTAAAGGTTTATGACTGAAGACTACAGACCACTCATTGCTAGAACTATGATTTATGGCAACACACCTGGTACCACTAATGGAGTTAACCCCCATCAAAAATACAAAAATTATTTTTCTAACCCAAGTCATATTGACCTACACCGGATTTGGAACAATCTTTTTAAATTATTTTTTTTTTCTTCAAAAATCTGCAAAATATTTTGATTCTAGTGTCACTGTTCAGTCTAGTCTAGAGGGAAGGCGTGTCTGGCATACTAGATTGTAAGCTTGGTATCTTTGATGCACTTTTAGAATTATGTTCCTGGTTGGATCTTGAATGTCTTCCCTTAAGCTACAGACATTCTATTTTCTTCCGTTTCAGGCAGTTGTGTTCTTAAATCTTTTTTTCTATAACTACCATTCATCTTACCTTGATTATGTTTCCTTCCGTTTTGCATAAGACAGATGCTTCATCTATCGTCTTCAATGCTTTTTTGTAGATCTTAATTTTTATATGCCCGACCAAAGGGGCATTATGTTTTTCGGTCTCTGCGTACGTTCGTTCGTCCGTTCGTCCGTCCGTTCGTCCGTCTGTCCCGCTTCAGGTTAAAGTTTTTGGTCAAGGTAGTTTTTGATGAAGTTTGAAGTCCAGTCAACTTGAAACTTAGTACACATGTTCCCTATGATATGATCCTTCTAATTTTTAAATTTTAATGCCAAATTAGAGTTTTTAACCCAATTTCACGGCCCACTGAACATAGAAAATGATAGTGCGAGTGGGGCATCCGTGTGCTATTGACACATTCTTGTTACTACCTGAGACTACTATAACACTACTATAACACAGTATCTATGTGTTATAGTAGTTACTACACATTTTTGACGAAAGTACTAGACCGACATAGTTGTCTTTGTATAATATGGTATGGTGTTTTCTGTCATATTTTGCAATGACACACGTCAAATAGTCTAGTCAATGTTATAGTTACAACATTAGAATAGAGGGTAGGATTTGAAATATTCTTATTTACATGAGACATCATATTCAGAGGTTAGAGGTTGGTAACTACAGAGACATTTTTTGTTAAGATTTCAAAATTTTGGTACGTGTTACTCTAGAGGGAATACATTTTGTTAACACAATATTAGGTTTCCAATATCAAGTAAAGCTTGACTTGAATATAACAACATTATCATTCTGTAATAATGCTTAAACGAAAATTATCAAGATATGGCTTTGCGAAAAGCGTACAAACTACGTTTTATACTGCCCTTTTTTGCCAAGAGATAACTTGTCTATCAAGTATAGAATGTAGGCCAGACAAGGTCGATCACAGGACAAAAAGTCACAATCTACCTAATTTTGGTTTCTAAATTACCATGACCTTTTTTAGCAAAATTATTTGGTATATAACGGGTCCATCCTTCAAAGTGCCGTTTCGGGGAAATATAATGGCGTTGCCAACGTTTTTCCTATTTTCATTTTAAAATTCCTTAAAATCAGATATCTAAATTAACTACTGATCTAATATATCAACAGACGATAGAAGTGATATGTTTTATGACATTTTTTAATCTGTTTGAATTATCAATTAATATTTCCCTCCCAACCAATCATTGTCCTTGATAATGTAAAAAAAAAATCACGAAAGACTAATATTGCCCGGCATTTTTTTTTTTACCATTTGAAAGCTGTTGTTTGAATACATTTAAAAAAAAATTAAATCAAGCAAAACAAACCAAAAGACACAAACAAAAGCGTCATGACTGACTCTCATGAGGTCACTTTATAGAGTTACCAAAACGGAAAGTATTTGTAAGATACCAGTAAGTATTTTTTTTCCATCATCAAAACATCAGAAGACAGAGAAATTTGTCTGAATTGTTTGATATATCACGTGTAAAGAAAGACGGGTTTTCCCCGAGTTCAAAAAGATCAAGATTTGTCAATGTTATAGTTACAACATTACAACAGAAAGTAGGATTTGAAATATTGTCTGTTTAAATTTACGTAAGGAATTATATTCACTTATAACGGCAGCAAAACTTTTCAGTTGTACTTTTTAAGTTTGTGGTTCTTGTTGCTCTGGAGGCCGGGACGCTTTTTGTAAATGTAAGTTTACATTTTTACATCAGAGGACCGTGAGGGCCTCGGGTGTATTGCCATCGCCTAAATTTCCGCCTAATTTGCATATATATGCATATATAATTAGTTTTGGAATGATAACCGACCTATAAAAATTATAGACCCGCGGACATTATATAGTGCAAAATAAAATTCCTTATCGCTTCTTTTAAATTCATGTTTTCAATGGATACTCAGATTTTTTTTTTTTTAAATGCAAATTAATAATATGAAAATGTTTTGTCGTTAGAAATTTTAGTATATTAATCAAACAATCTTCAATATCAATGACGTACCGAAAAATTGTTGTTGCGGATGAATACCACGAATCCGCACTCATCAAGAGGGTATGAGCGAACTTGAAGAAACACGAGAGAAAATCAATTCACGCAATTATACACAGAAAGGTAATTATATTTCAATTATTTGATTTGGAGTAACCTTTTTTAAACCGTTTGTAGCATATTTGTCTATAATATTAACGTAGCAAAACCAGGAATATTTAATCTGACACAATATTAAAATAATTTATCAGGCCGCGTCCCCCGCAGCCATTTTGAAAATACCAGCAGATTGGGTAGGAGTAACAAGAACCTGCAAGGCCTTTAAAGATAAGTTTACTTTTTGTGTATTCTTTATTGCAACAATTTGGTTTTTTTAAAAGATCTCAACAATTTTTGGAGTTAAATTTCTTTTCTTCGTAAATAACAAGTAGATTGATCACTTGGACACACACGTGGAACTATTTTCTGTTTTTTAAGATACTGTTTCGGATTTTCGCTCCTTCTCCGACTTAGTTTGTTGCATTAGTATATGTGAATAAGAATTGTGTCCCTTGACTGGAAAAAACGCGGATTTTGTAATGACTTTGACTATGTAAGTAATTCTAATATATAATTATTGGTTGAATTTATTGTATATATTATGTAATATTCAAAGAATCTTCGACTTCTTCTTCTTCCAATAGAGTTGGACTCTTTTTGAGTGTATAATGACTCTTGCTCGTAAAATCAAGAGTCTTACTTTACACTGAAATGTCAGAATTTGGGTAAATCACATTTACTGAATTACAATTAGTGGCGTTGTCCGTACCATTTACTAGCCTATAGATATATTGGGAGAATCCTTACAGTTTTGGAGATATAAATATAGAGTAACTGTCCTGTTTTTTCAGTCTTCCTTGAAGTATTGTATAATTTTGACCATACAAATGATACATGACATGTATTGCCATAATTATATGATAATTTGATGACGTGCTAATCATACTCTACAGCATTATTTAAATTGTGTAACCATA